TCTGACAGAAAATTGTCCTGTATTTGTTAGAAGCAAACGCTGCCAGACCGAGGAAGGAGAAGACTGGATGCTGCTGATGTACCCGAGCCCCGTGCGTAATGCGTAAAGCGCGCTATGCGTAACAGGTGTAGATCCATTCAGTGAAGAGGAGGCGTAGAGGTGCAAAGCTGTTTTCTAAAAGTCCCGTCCAGAGTTTCTAAAAAATGGAATAGAGCTAATATGCCTACAGTAATACAACATACAACCATTGCTCTACTAACAAGAGCGCACAGAGACGAGTCAGACAGGCGAGAGATGGGCGTGGGGAACAAAGTTTAGTGGAACTTGGCAACAGATGCGCGAGGGGGGTCCGGTGCAGGAAGCCTCTTAAGTTGGGTTGATCTATGTGTCCGTGCGCGTACACATATAGGCCTATTGCATTAGTGCACGTTCGTGCAGGAGAAGCGAAAGGACATGAGCGCACATTGAGAGCGCAGCTCTTTCACTCGGCGTGATCATTTCACGCTTCCCCCCGAAGCCCTTTTTCCACCTAAAGCGTTTAGTTGCAGCTGACTGAACACTTGCACAGAGTGCAATGGGAGCGGAAGGGTCGAATTATTTTAACTTACAGCTTGGCCCAAAACTACTGTAGGACGGAAGGGGGACACAAGAAAAAAGTTTTTGTTCTTTTCCTTTTTTCTTTCGCTCCATCACCTCCCCCCGCACCAACCATGAACATGGAGCAAGGGCCTAGGAGTCCCGCACAACGGGTCGGCAGAGCAGGTAAGCATCAGCTCGATTTGACATTTTTAACAGTCAAATATTAGAACATTGCGTTTTTATGAAATAATGGAAACTATTTTACTCTATTGTCTGTGCATTTCCGGGTTTTGAATATTCTGTACTGCAGTTTAACAAACTTTTATCAACATTTTAAAAACAGTTTTGTAGATTGGTTTTGGTTATTTAGGGTTTTGGCAAATTTGCACCAGGAGTTTATTAATTTGCTACAAATAGGCTACAAAACTTTTTTTTCCCCTTTAACATAAGAAAGAATATTTATGACTAAATAGGCAATCATTCAAAATGGCCAGTAGGCTGTTTGATTAGACAGTATTTTTGTTAGTCTCTTGTGGGTAGAATAAACATAAAGGTGTTTAAGTTTACTATTGTTCTCAAGTCATTATTGAACACTCGGTATACTGGCAAATTAGTTTGTGGATTTGTGTGTGCGTGCACGTGCATTATAGGCCTACTTTCTTCAACAGGTTCTCTGCGGCCCATTCATAAAACAGCAGGGTCTACTTTAGTCGATCGACTATTTGGCACCCAGTGGATATCATATAATTTCATATCACTGCCCGCTGCGGATATATTGAAAAACAAGTTAATGTTGTTTTTCCCTGATTTAGGAAATAAGATACGATTTTCTATATCAAGGTTCAGGTTGTGCATTGTGTGGGACAGAGTGAAATACGATATTATTGTATTATAAACATATGGTATGCGCACCATGTAGCCTAAGAAAAAATAATGCCCCTTTGCTGCTCTAGTGTTGGATAGGCCTTTAATCCCTGATAAATGCCGAAAGAAGTGGGATCCCTTGCAAAAGGATAATAACTCTTTAACCGCAGAGGAAATCAGAGTTTAAAGCGGGCCCTCCTTGGTTGCTTTACTGAGACTTTTGGGCCCACAGCCTCTACCTACTGCCTCTCCATTTGCTATCACTTTAAAATACGTGCCATGCGTACTAAGCAGCTAAATCAAAATGAATGTGGATCTAATGAGACCCGGCTTCTATTCCCGCTCTGGAGCCTGCCGTGCGTAAAGTACGCACACGGCCACTTCTTTCAATGAGCAATACATCCATGGCTCACAAGTGAACAATATGAGTTGTAAGATTTAAGGTTATTGTTTAACAAATAACTAATAACCAAGAAAAAAATAAATAAAAGAAAAATCAGGGACCACTTGAATCTTTGGAATTATCCCCATATACCATTCATTCTTCAGTTGTCAAAATGCCTAAAAAGGCCATTAGATCAAACTAGTTAACATGTGGTTATAATCTGAATCAAAGATTTAACAGTTACATAATGGGCCATATTTGATTCAACAAATCAAAGAAAGCTCAAAACGCAGGTCTAATTTGTGGCCACTGTATTAGGTCTAACTTTTCTTCTTTCAGGAAAAGAAGAAGGCTATATATGCACAAACCTCAAAAGGAAAACATATTAGCTTATGTGCATAATACTCGATTACTTAAAAAGCCGTAATCACACTAATAATGGATGAACTCGTTAATTACCAGAGCCTATATTAATTATTACGCATTAAAGTCACGTTTTTTGCGCAGAAAGTTTTTTGTATAACATGAGCATTGTAGCTGAGACATGAAGCCTATAGGTAAGATATGGGAGGGGTGAAGTGCATGCGATGACCTCATATGGCATTTATCTATTGACCTCAAGCGCCCTGTATAACGTGAGACTCCTGTATAATAATTGAAAGTGTACTGTAATCAAACTCACGGATGCACCCTCGTTACGTGATGGTGCGTGTCCATTTGGAAAGGCCTGAGTGGAAGAGGAGGCACACCTGTTTTGGATAGGCCTACCAGTTCCAACTCAAGACTCTGAGAAACTCCCTACTCCCAACATATTATTTATTAGTTTATATCTTATAAGCCAATGAAAAACTTAAAAAGAGATACGGAAGCTTTCTCATTATGTTTACAGTCAGCAGGCGTGTAATAAACGAGCCGGTGGAGTTAACATGCGCTATTAATTTTTCATTGCTTTTTTTTCTCGTTTTGAGACCCAGGCGCGAAAACACCAAAGCAGCCGGGCTTTGATGGAGGATGAAAACGGGAAGAGTGAAAGTGAGAAGCAATAGAGAAGAGAAACGGTTAAACAACAAACTGTGTCTCCAATTATTATCTCAACACATACTATGTTTTAAAAGTACACATCGTGATCTTCCCCCCAGCTCTCATCTCCAACACTGGAGTGGTAATGAAATATGGTAATGGCCCTGGACCCGCGGATTAGACTCGTGTCGTCCCACCCTGATGGAAGTTTTCTCCAAATTTCCAACCCTAAAGCGACAACAATTTGTATACATGATTGATTGTGTTTGGATTTTTAATTGCTTATGTGTTTAATTTGCAAATAACACAGACTGCAATTTACTTGTGCGCATGGAGGGTGGAAGAAAGGGGGTGCTCCTCGGCTCAGTATCTTAGTAAATAAATAAAAACAGTTTGCGTACAAGAAGCATCCAAAATAGAAACAGTATTGTCAGGATGTGGATGTGAATTATCATACACCTGGCATTTCCACTGTTGACTATTATAGGCTAAATCAAGAGAGAATATGATAAAAAAAAAAATAAATAAAAAATAATAATATATATTTATATATATTATGTATATATTTTGTTTAATGTACTTCATGTCAAATGTTAAATGTGTGATATGTTAAGTGTGTTATTTGTTCAGGTGGTTTTTGAATGGTTATTTTTTTGAAAATGCAAAATATTAGGGATTAAGTGCTACTTTATAATATCGTAAAGCTTTAGACCAAGCGCAATAAAGCAATATGGTGGGTAAGAGATTTATAGCTGAACAATATTGAGCTTTGTTTGGTTTGATGTAGGCCTACGGTTAACTGGATAGTATCTTAAATAACTATATAAAATATGAGTCGTCTGTTGTCGAAATATAAGCTAGTCATAGTCTCTATTCATTTTAAGTGCTGTTGTGTAGGCCCCAAAACTTAAACGCCCCCTCGTGGTGTACGTTGTAAATGCCAGCAGCCAAAAGAAAGCAAGGCCAACTCCAGCTATGTCTTGTGGCATTTCAGCATAGATCTATCAGCATAAACTCTGTTGGACTATTTTGATGGGTAAGCTGTATGGATGTGTCCTCCTTGGGGTCATTATGAGATCAAAGTCAGGTTTGCATTCAGGAAGGGTGCTATCCAAAGCAAAATCAAATCAAAACAGAAACGAAATACACTCATAAAAAATAGGGTATATTAACCTTTTCAAAATCCCTCTGCAACATCACACATTTTGTTAATATGGGGGAATGGTAAAAATATATCAAGGCATATCAGGGTTAGTTGATGAGGATTCAAGAATGAACAGACTAGAGATCAAGCTAAAGGTCTTCTTCCAAAGTGTAAACATGGAAAATCTAAAATGATTAACTGTCTAAAGAGGAAGAGGGGAAATAACAGTTTTTAATTTGGCTCCAGCTTTAGGCTATTTGTGTAGTTAATATTACAAGGGCGGGAGTTAGATCTGCCCTCTCAAATCAGGTGGGACCAGCATGTATTGAATGCCTTAGTTTGTTTAGACCAGAGCCTTACTGCTGCTCGTTGCAATTGCATTTCATTAAACACCACATCCGTTTGGATCCGCAATCAATTAAGTAATGAGTGCCAATGCATCTTTCATTTGCTCTCCCCTCAAATTTTCTCCTCAAGCTAAACATTTATAGCATTGTGTTCGAACAAGGAAATTACACATGCCAGTTGTTTTCGGGGAAACTGACATCTCACAAAAGATACTGATAGGCTGCAAGCAAAAATAGGCTATATTTTTATATTAAGCTCTGTATTTAGATTTTTTTTTTTTTCTTGGCTCAAATCTCTGAATATACATATGTGGCAATATAGGCTAATATTTACGTTTCTGTAAACACTTTAAAGGCTTAATCCTCATTTTTAATACACCATTAATTAGCTCTTTAATATTGACATGAATAAATTGAGCGCAAACTGTATGGAGCTAGGTTTTGCTTCCTTAATTGAAATTAAACATAAAATCATCCTCTCGGTGCGTCGCCTGCTCGTGCCTTCGCATTGGCTGCTTGACAGTACGTTCAGGGTGTCATTGGCCCGTGGGATAAGCATCAGCCAATCACTGAACCCCCCCTCCTTTTGCTGTCCAGAATTGACTGTGACGTGTCCTCAGCGCTCACTCTGTGATTGGCTGAAACGGAAGTGAGTGACGGGCAGGTGGCCGGCGCGTGGAGGTTAGGATTGCTGGCGCTGTCCGCACGAGAGCAGGTCCTGAAACGCTGTGCGCGCCACAGTGGACGCTGGGCGCCGCGAGTTTTTCTCCGTCTCATCATAACGCCGGTGTTTGTGTCCACGCCACGGCTCTGACGTCTTTGGGAGACAACTACTTGGACAAGTCAGGACTGTTTTTGCTTCTCTTTAAAGCCAACAATTTTGTCTCAAAAGTGACGTTCAGACCCGGATCCCCTGAGAGAGTCAGTGAGCTGTGAGACCCGGTTACAACAGAGAACTGCGGTTCAGCCTACTGCCATCTATTCACATTGGAGGACAGAACTGAACAGCTCAAGACTATTGCTGTGTTACGCTTTTTGTGCGTCAAGATTTAACACACTCAGAAGGATGCGGTTGTAGCATTCCCATGCTGCATTTTAACAGACAGGAGACAGTTGTCCGAAGACTCATCTCAGTCACTGGGGGACCAATCTATCTTGGACCAAATCCATTTAGTAATTTGTTATGTTATTTCTTTATTTCTCAAGTATCTTAAGTACATCTCAGAAACAAAAAAGTTATTTTAGAAGTCACACCATCGGACCGCACAGAAGAAGGACCGAGGGCAGACCACTAGAATTTTTTATTTTATTTTATTATTATTATTATTATTTTTAACCACAGCTTTTTGATTAAAGATAAATAGAAGGAATGAGCGCTGCCGCTGTGGTGAAGCTCCTCTGGTTTTGGAGACACCAGAACAGAGCTTGGTGCGTCCCGTCCCCATGAGGTGGAAGTCTGTATCCGATTCTCACTATTCTCACTGTTATTTGTTCATCAGCCAAGTATTTTTTATATCCCAAACACGTTACAACTATGAGTGTTTTTTACTAAACTAATCTGGCAGCAATTCTGCGGGCATAGAATTGTAATAACTTGAAACATTTACGCTTTGCCCTTGTGCGCTTCTTTGGCTGTCGAAGTGGAAAAGGCGGCAGGCTGAAACTGGGGGTCCAGTGGTATTTTGAAGAGCCTCGTTCTGAAACGGGGCCCCGCAGCCCCACATCACTCATGGAGATTCACTGTAAGCACGACCCGTTCGCAGCAATGCACAGTAAGTTTACACCTTGATTTATGTACTTGCATTCCTCCACGTTGTTTTAAACCAGCCACATGTTCAAGCCTTTTTAGTCTAATAGTTTCAAAATTTGAAAAATGAATAGTTTGACACTCAAACCCTACATAACGTCACCACCGCTCTTGTAAAACTGGATAATAGGCCTAAATAGTTGAATGTGCTGAATATTTTATTTTCCTATTTATTAGTATCTGGTTGAAGTTTCACTTGATGAAAAAGTTTGGCGCATACTGTGAACAACATGCAAACAATTTCCATGGAGGTAGTTGTTTTATTTTTAAATAGATGCATTTCTATGAGCAACACAGGCCTGAAATTTTATTACTGAATAAATGTTTATTGCGATCATTATATTAATTTGCAAAGCCATACCCAACTGAAAGACAATTGTTCATGGCATTTTTGTTTAAAAAGTTGGTGATTTTGGTCCCAGGTTCCATTGCTTTGTTGTGGTTTGGTGTGTGTGGGTGAGCCTTGTGTTGCGTGTCCGCCCTGTCCCTTTCCTGAGGGCCACAGGGAGAGAATGAGGGGGAGAGGATCTAACAAAGCATGACTAAAAGCTGAACTTGATCCACAAACTGGGTTAGACGCAGAACACGTAGCGCACATTACGCACGAGGTCTGCTCAGGTCTTCTTATAAAAAACAAGGCTAGACTTTGTTGTTGACCCTTAACAGTGACTGAAAAGGTGCACGCACACTGTCCACACGGTGTACTCATCCACCCACGCGCACACGCACAGAAGCAGAGCAGGTGCGCGCGGGATGTGGGACTTGGTTACTCAGTCGTGACATGGCCGGTCTTGCACTGTTGTTTTACTATATTATAATTATGACTTATTTGCTTGTCTTTTGTCGCATGAATTCAAAAAAGTGAAATGTAGCTTATATGAATGAGACAGTTTTTTTGGCTTTATGATCCGGGGGAACTGATTACATACGTGTGACACAGGTTCCCATGGTGCGTTATTTTTGCGACACTAAATGTGCTCCCCACATTCATTCACATTCAAAACTAGAACGAATCATCTTTGCTATCGGTGTTGATTTTACCACAGCCAATGATTCGCACTACTGGTGTTGCTGGTAGAGCCTGGAGCGTAGCTTAAGTTATAGTTTATATGTCACAGTCTCGGGACGGTTTAAAACGCCAAGGCCTACATGCTAAAATGTTAAAGGTTAAAAGTAATCAAATGCGTTTATGTCTCTCCTCCTTATATGAATATAAGACTTAAGCTTTATTTAATCATGAACCGTGATATTTTTTTTCGTTAAAGTTGTATGTTTGGATTTATGCACACGAACGGTGGTGTGACTTTTTGAATCGTATGAACACAACATTATAAAAACCTAAAAACCTTTTATATACAATTCTGATTATTATGAGCAATATTTTTTATTGCACAGGGCCTTCCTTCTAGGGTGTTTTGAGGTCAAATATATTGCAGCAATGTTTGAAAAATCTATAGCAGGTAATTGTGATGGTAATGAGTTGAATTTCATAATAACGCATTGTAATGTTAATGATGGTATGCTGAATATTAAGCAGGCAGGACTGCGGCCTATACCTTGGTCATCCATTCCTGAGTCAGTCAAAAGAAAAACACAGAATCACTGACGAATGGAAACTAAACGAAGAATGACATAGCCTATTGTTTAAAAGTGACAATATTACTCCAACATTAACTCATGGATTTGTGCGCAAATAGACGCTGTGGAACCTCGGCCTAGTGACGATACCTTTACGCAGCGTGTTTTAACAATAAAACAATACATCTTCAAATAAAGCATTTAAAACAATTTAAAGGAATTTAAAATCTTTGGACATCTCGGAGACCGGAGGAGTGTTTGCTGAAGGAAATGCGTTTCATCTGTATTCCAATGTGCAACTTCCAGCATTCAAGCCAAAAGTAATTTCTGCCTGCTATTTTATAGCAAGAAAAAAGAGGGGGGAAAAAACGCTGGCGTTGAGTAGTGATTTTCTCCTTTGCTTTATTTTTGAGGCGTCAGGCCGTGACGAGGCAGAGGAGTAGGAGAGAGATAGAGCCGTGGACAGAAGAGGAAAAGGGGGGACAGGAGAACTCTGAGAGACACAGAGACTAATAGAGCTTATTTTCTGGATGGAGAAGCGCAAATACATTTGGCGTTATCTTCTCCTAGGTAACACTGAATCAATCAAACATTTAGGGAGGAAGCAGGGCTATAAAAAGCTAAATAAATAAAATACAAGTGGTATGCATAATGACCTCTATAGTCCTGTCTGATTTGTTTTTTTCCTCAAAACTGAAAATAAACTGCCTCTGCTGCTTCACTGCAGCCTCCTGAGACTCAAGGCCCAGAAACAAAAATGCTCTAATTTGGCACAATCTTTGGTTAAGTAAACCTTACAAGGCGCTGCTGTTAATTGAATAGGCATAGGTGTCCACATTTGTTTGGTAGTTTATAATTTGCTTTTACGCGCATGTTATCTGAAATCTGAAGCTCTCCAAACCAAAATGAAGCATACTCTATCCACAATGACAGTGTAAACAGGAGAATTTCTTACTTATTTTGTGTGAAGTCAATGATAAACAAATGCTTTCAAGTGTTGGTATTTATTATCAGTATATTTCTGGGCTCAGAAAATAAATTTCAAACACATAATCCCAAGAATGTGAGAGCCTCAACAGCTAATGCTAACAGTAAATACACAGATAAGTGAATAAATAGTTATCGGAAAAGCCTTTTTGTAGGCTACAGTCATTCCTTTCCATCGCCTTACAAAGCATGGCACATTCCATGCCGTGGCCTAGATAGGTAAGTGGGAAAGGACCCATTTCATTTACTCTTATCTGAGGAGAAGGCACGGAGTGAAAAAGGGAAGAATGGAGAGATCTGTGGAGATACATGTAGTCAGGAGCAGTAGGCTGCTATACGCCTGCAGCCAAAGGTCTCAGAACATAATGATCATAATAAAATGCATGGAGGAATCAGGCCTTTGTAAAACTCTTCTACAAAAGCATCCTGACAGCACAGAAGACCTGAATCAGGCCAGGTCACCAGAGAGTCTGTGTTAGCACTTTTGGACATTGGCAAAATAAACCTGGAGAAAAGTTCCATAATGAAAATAATTTATTATATTTCTCATATTGTACTGCATTGTGCAGTAGTTTTTGCACAGTACTTTATTTTACAGGACAGTCTCATCCAGACTGGGCATCTTTTTGATATGGGAATACAAGCACATGTCCTATCTTACAAAAATGCCAAATTCAGGGTTAAATTAAAAGTGCTATGAATATATAACATTTTATATTTTGAGGCTTGTATTTTTACTCTCAAAATGATGCAGAATAACTATAAGTGTATAGGATGGGTTTATCTGACATCATAATATGCTCAAAAGTGAAGGTGGTTGTGTTCAAAATGTCTAATTTGTTTTATAAATAATATTTTCATCCCTCTTAATATCCCTCTTAGTACCTTTGAACCTTGTATGGTTTTTATTATATTTATTTTGGCTACTTTAATTCCTCTTTCTGTTTAAAAGATGCTTCTAAAATGACTTCCTGCTTCAGTCCCCCTATAATTATGTCTTGTTTCTTTAAATGTGCTCATAAATGTCACTTGTTACTGATCCAGCTAATGTGATTATGTAGTCTTAGAAGTTCAGTGCTTGTTACATTTCATGGCATTTGGAGGCCCACTGCTGCTGGAGCTCACATGACATAAAGAGCTTGGTCTGTCTCTATATTGCTGCCTTTTGTGAAAAGTGATTGCTTTTTTAAATTGTGCTGTCTGCAGCCACAATCTGCATAATGAGCCTTCTTCTATCTCAAAAAAATAAAGTGGGAGAGGGTGTCATTTGGAAATAGCATGTTTTGTTTGGTAGAATGTAAGGGTTTTGACTCCACATTGGTGCATGTGTGTAATGGGAATGTGCAATCTATGGACATATCACAATCTTCCAATAACAAATATAAGAAGACTTCAGTTCTTAGAGTTCTTAAGGTTCATACCACCAAACCTTACTGGAAACAAGATGATTTTAATTAGACATAGAGTAAGGTTTTCATAGATAAAGATAGAGACAGAATAAGAAGAGTTTAGACTTTTTGTAACTTACGTTGTCTGAAAATATATCTGTATTTATTCAAATATGTAGATCATAGTGTTTTTAATAATTTTAAGTGCATGTGCTTGTGTACTTACTGCTGACGGAGAAATGAGTTGGACAGGTTCGGGACCAGCTTTGTGTTTTAGGGGGTATCCCTGCTGGGCTAATGTGTTTAAAATCTATTACCCCCACAGCAAGGATTAGTGTGCATGTGTGTGCTTCCCCCTAAAGACGTAATCACCATGGTAATACAAAAAGCCATGTGCTGGATTATGGGCAGGAGAGATTCTGGATTTACTGTGCCTTTGGTCACATATGTGCACAATATACAGTATTTGCCTAAGACAGAGATGCATGCTAAAATTTTGTGCTGAGATACATGTACACCCAGCCGCTGTTTTTGTTTGGATTTGGAGACTGGAGGATCATAATGATAAAATATTGCTTTTTTGTTTGTTTGTTTGTTTTTTAATTTGGGCATATTTGGTGAGTTGGTGAATATACCCAAAATGTCAAGGTCAAAGAAAAAACAGTTGCCATCTCCATTCAGCCATTTGATTTTAATCTTTATAACATTGCTCAAATTTTACCAGTAACCTCCAAAATATTTATGTGTAATGTAATGAGGATTTAAAAAATATGAGTAAAAATATAGTATATGTTTTCCATACTGTCCTTCTGTTGTGTTGTTAGCATTCTGTCCTTTTAGCAGCAGTCTTGGTTCTGCTATCCCTCAGGGGGAATATTAGCTGTATCTTTCAGTAAAAGGGGTCGGGGCCAGGCCTTGGTCAATAATTAATTGAAATCCCTTCATTTACTTGCAGTGTTAGCTTAGCCTGCCTGCGGTGAAAATGGGCCAAGATTGCACTTTTGGAAGAGTTTCGACTGCTGCCATTATGCTGAACAAGATAAATAAGTGGCAGAAAGGAAATCACTGGTGTTTGAGTTAAACTGACTCCAGCCGTGGGCACAGGACCTGACCAAGTGGCTCTGCTAACTTTGCATACCATTATATAAGTTACATCGGGTTTGCGTCTTTTTCATTCACTTGGTCTTAATGTGCATGTTACAAACAAAACAAAACAGGTCAAAATCTGTTTATAATGATTGAAAAATGGAGGTAACAGGTGCATTTATGATCATTTTTATCACAGTATTGTCTTTGCCAGTCCTAAGCATGGATAATGGTGTTTTGTATATAGCTGAGATATATTTGTAGGACTATATTTCTATATTTTATTTACTTGTACATATACATTTATATAATTATGCCTTATTTGACACCAGTCTCTTTGCTACTTATTTTGTGATATAAGAGCTACTGTGTCCAAATAATTTCCATCATGGATCAATAAAGTTTGTCTAAGTCTAAATCTAAGCAACAGATTTATTTCAGATTATTTGTGTCACAGTATAAGTACATTGTCTTTGCCATAAAAAGAGAGTATCTAGTGTGTAACTCTTGTAGTGGTACTTCAATAGTGCTATCTGTGCTTAAACCTTGATCTGATCCTGTCTCTTGTAGGACATGGAGGTGTGAACCAGCTCGGAGGCGTGTTTGTAAACGGACGCCCTCTTCCAGATGTGGTTCGGCAGCGAATAGTGGAACTCGCTCACCAAGGAGTACGGCCCTGTGATATTTCACGACAACTACGAGTTAGCCACGGATGTGTAAGCAAGATACTGGGCAGGTAAGACACAGGAAATATCTGTACTGTGGTCCAAAGCAACAAAAAGAAATGATTTAACAAAGGTATTTTGCTGAAACTAAAATTAAAGACGCTTTGGACACTGGTCATCTGAGTGTCCATTGCTTTTTTTTTCACTTTCAAGGAGTAGGAAATATAATATAATAACAGTATTTTTTTAGTTTAATTCTTAGAGAGACCAAGCAAATATTTTTCTAACTTATTCCCCTTCTTCACCAAATGCCTTTTTCAAATTTAGTTTTGCTGATCAAAAATGCATTAAACTGCTAAAAATATTGAAATTGCTTTAATACTCTTGATATCCACCAGTGTTATTTAATTCTAGTCCAAACCTCAAAGCATCAGCCAAGTTGATTAATTGGAACTCATGTATTTCTTCATAAAAAGATACATAGTCATAGGACAATTTAGCGACATCCTCTGTTCAAAGTACTATATAATAATTCAAGACATGTTATTCCCATCTTGACCTCTCCTCCCTTTTTCCACATCCATGTCTGTCTACCTCTGCCTTTTCAAAGCTAAATCCAAGACTAAAATCCATGCTCGTTCCGTCCCCTGGAGAAGAAAGGCCCACAAAGGGGGAACAGATTCATCACTTTTTTGGAAATTTGCATCAAAATGAAAAAAGTGGCACCATATTTCTGCACCCCTCCCCGAAATGAAGGGAACAAGGAAACTGGCGAATGGTTATAAAAGACAATCAGAATGTTCGGAAAAAGTACTAGACACAGAGACCGTTTTGTGGGGACAGAAAAAGGGGGAAGGATTAGCCGGTAGCGACCCGTAGCTATATCAAAAAATGTGTTGCTCATTGTTCTCCCTTTGGTCTCTCTCTCTTTTCTCTTCTCTCTTTGCCTCTGTATCTCTCTCTCTCTCCCCTGTCCTGGACGTTCAACTCACTGAAGCGTTACTGCGAGGAGGAGGGGGGAGAGTTAGTGGAGAGGGTGGTGTTGGTGGGATGCGTTTGTTTTATCCTCTTCTGTGTCTCTGTGGTGCCAACAGGAAAAAAAAAAACAAAAAAAAAACCATCAACTTGAATTCTCTATGTGTGCTATCAATAACCACTTTATTCACTGATGATTTGCCTGTGAATCATTTAAATCCATTTTGGTAGTATTTTTCGTGAGCGGTGCTTATGAAAAAAATATCAAATGGTTAAAATGAGCAGAATGGAAACGGGGAAGACAAGAAAATGTGGCATTGCTTTTTACAGAACACACATCTAGAGGGAAGGGATTACTCTAGCATACAGTGCAAGGGAGAGAATGAGAAGGGGAAACAGGCAGAGCAGCAGGTTTAAGACTGACTGACAGCTTGCATCCGCTCTCCGCATCCCCCCATTTTTTTTTTTCAAGCTTTGTAGCGCATTTGCTGTTCCCCCTGCCCCCTGTGCCCCATGCGCATGCAAATACATTCATGAAATAGCCATGGTGGACACTTGACTATCTGTGCGAAGATCTGTGGTCCTCTTTACCTCACTCTGGAGGAAATAACAATAATGGATGAAGTGTGTTAAGCAATGTAGTTTTGTCATTATCTTGTGAACTTGATTGAGAGAAGATCATAGTTTAATGCATGTTTTACTTTTTAAATGTTGTGTTAAATGACTCAGTTCAACTGTAGAAAGCTGGCAGCAAGATAAGTCATGTAGTAAAACTCAATTTCAATTCAAAATAGTTACTAGTTTCAATATCTTTTGGAATATATCTATAATTACAAATTGAACAAAGCAAAATTTGAAAAGCAGTTAATTGAGTCTTAAAAGTTCATCCTATACTTGTTATCTTTGGCTCGTAAGGGCTAAAATCTGAGGCAGAAATTAATGAAAATGTGATGAATATAACACTTTGTAATAGAAGACATACCTTATACCAGACAGAGTAGATTGCAGACTTGGCTGGATATAACAGTTAAAAAATAATTTGACTATTTTTATTCAATGTGTTTTTTTTTGTTTTTTTTTGCAGGTACTATGAGACAGGCAGCATCCGCCCCGGCGTTATCGGGGGCTCCAAACCAAAGGTTGCTACACCCAAAGTGGTTGACAAAATAGCCGATTACAAACGCCAAAACCCCACCATGTTTGCCTGGGAGATCCGGGACAGACTGCTCGCGGAGAGAGTGTGTGACAACGACAGCGTCCCCAGCGTCAGCTCCATCAACAGGTGATGCCATAGCACGTATAGCAACAGGTATCCAGGGTGGAGGTAGGATATACTGTTTCATATGCGTGCGGAATAGTGACCAGCTAAGAGACCTCCATATGTATGAAGGGGCTGCAGCTCAGTGGTTCAACACGGTAGTACAATGACAAGGCTTTCCCCCTGAGCACAGCACTACGAAGGAGGGATAGTGTAATAAGAGAGTGAGAGGGGGCAAAATAGGTGAACAAAAGGAACGTAAGGTGTGCTGGAGCAAGGAAGGGAATAAGCATCATATAAAAGGGCCATGCTTTGGAGGAAAAAAAAAGGTCCGGAGTAACAGAGGGGAGCAGGGGAGGAGAGGAAAAGAAAGGATGGAGAGAGGAGGAATAGGGTTTGCATGAGCAGCCAAGCAGGAAGTGTGAGGCCCCTTTGCCATGTCAGCCTGCCTCAGCCACTTCACACACACAAATACACACATACACAGACTGGCACACATACAGGGCTGTTCCCACAACGCTCATGTTCCTGTGTCACCCAGATCCTCGCTAATATCTGCTCTCCTCTCTCCACCAGGATCATTCGGACTAAGGTTCAGCAGCCGGGCCAAACAGGCTCAGTGGCGGCTCACAACTTAGGTAAGTGCTGCCTGCGAAGATGCACAGTTCAGTGGGAGCAAAGCTTGGACTGTGAAAATAGACAGCGGTAGATCAAATACAGAAACAGTCTTCACATCAGCACTGTTTGACAAATGTAACACATCGTAAGGGCTTTCAAATTCCAATGCATTCTTGTCATTTATATCATACAATTTCAATCACGTTAATAATACCGTTCATTCATTCATTTTATTTTATTTAAGCAATTTAGTACACAGTGTAACATGAAGAAAGAAGAGTGACACAGTAATGCTCAAAAGGATTATGCAGAATCTAATGTCTAACCCCTTTCACATATAACACTGGTGGAAAACCGCTGTTTGATTGTTAAACTCAGTACCATGCAAGAAAGAAGCGTCACGTTCAATACCCACGTTTGGTTACAGCTAGTGGCAAAAAATCTGTCAAAAAAGTATTTCTCAAACGTTTAACATACAACCAAGCCTAACCTGTAAAGCTTGAGACCAGAGATGACAGGGTCTTTACCTCAACAGTTTATGCATCAAACATCTGTATGTAAATCTCAAACACACTTATTTGCGTTGTGTTGTGGAGGTCCTCTGTGCCAATATTGACATGTTTCCCCAATGAATAAACTCACAATTCATTTACAGTTTGCTTAAAATTACCGTTTTTCCTCAATCGATTTTATTCTGCTAACACCATACATGCAAATGCCAGTGCTGGTGTGACATCATGTCAAGAATCCAGTCTCTTTATTATTATGCTAATTTACATGCACAACTCCAGATATCAGATTGTGTTGGATTTAAGTCTCCCAAAGCCATATATCTATTACCGTATTTCATACTATAGTCGTGCACATACATTACACAGCGCAGTCAATCTCCCACTCCGCCCCAAAGTGGATTCCCTGTCTCTCGTATCTTCATAATCATGCATTGTCTATTAATCTAAATTAATTTCACACGCAGCGCTACTTGCCTCTTTCGCGCACACACCTAGCTGCACCTAGACGCACATCGACACACTGAGATTACACAGATAAATGGTCCCACTCCCGGGCGGAAAATTGAACATTTGGATTTGCCGAATAAAAGCGTTGCGTTCCAGATTAAAAAAAAGAAAGAGAAAAGAAAATCAGATAATTGAAGTGCTAAATCAAGTGTTGGAGAAAAAGGAGGGATATGCATTCATTATCGCCCCCTTGTTGTTAGCAGAAGTGGCTAGAAGGGACCTTGATCCTGTGAGTTTGTCTATTTTTATTTAGATCCTACTTTCTATGTGTATGTGTGTGTGTTCGGGGGTCTGCTGGGAGTATGGATTAGGATGTCTGTCTCTCTGCACCTTTCTTGTCCCTCCTGGGATACCATACTGTCACTCAGCACCACCGTCCGCTCACAGGGCGCTGATAAGAGACCAGAAAGTGACTGACTCCATGTTGTGTGTGTGTCAGTGAAGCGATGACGAGTACGCCGCTGTGTCGCCCACAAACCAACTTGTCTCCTTCAGGGAAAGATTAGAGCAGTACAAATACTCTCACTCATACTACACTGCCTGGCCTATGTCCTTTTTCTTCTTTTTAAGGTTCACTGTTGTCACTAAAAAAGAAGATTAAACAAGATCCACTTATTTAGAGATTATGGAAGATTTGTGACTTTAAAACACATTATTAACACCTGGTGATTAAAACCATACGACTATCAACAACAAGTGTTTCAAGTTTTAATCTGGCAAATACTTCTGACTTAATCTCAAGAATCAATACATTTAAGATGAACTATAATTTTACACACAATAACATATAGATCTGTAGTCTATTCACGATACTTTTGGCATTTGAAGGGGCAAGCACAATAGTTTCAAACATCCATATTTACAACAGCTAACTTCAGTCAGTGTCTGAAACTACTAGTCCTTGTTCTTTCCATCTGTGTGATCACAACAACAGAATACCTATATCCTTTCATTTTTGATACTTTTATCAGTTTTACTCATTTTCTATTTTTGCTGTTATTAATTCTCTTTTTATTCTTTTTTGCAGGGACATCTGTAGCTGCCACCCAGGTTTCTGCAGTGACCAGTGATTCAGCAGGCTCCTCCTACTCAATCAGTGGGATTCTGGGTATCAGCTCGGCAACTGATGTGGGCAAGAGGAAGAGAGATGAAGGTAGGATAATAGACTCTCAGACTCTTAGTGGATGTGATTTTCTTAAGCTGTCCATTGTCTGTCCATGGATATGATCAAATTAAATTACACCAAAAACTACACTTGAAATACACAGTAGGAGACTTGACCCCGTTTCAGATGCATGCTTCTGACTTATTGTACTGGGTATATGTTTGAAGGCTCTCTTTAGAAAAACAGCACTGACCGTCATGTACGCAAATGCTTATCCCATTAAAACATTTCATAACTCATGTTTCAGTTTCATTAAAGCCCTGATGTATATTGGTTTGAATTCCACTTATTCAAATATCCAGACAAATAACACTTAGCTTACGTAGCTTACGAGTTTGTGGTTTCAGCAGGAGTGCCACAAAAAGTTTGGACACATGTATGTGGTAAAGAAAAAAGGTAGAAACTAGAAGAAGGTAGAAGAAAAACTCATCTGAATATATATTATATATTTTATATTCAAATCCTCCATGTAGCCATCCTTTGCTTTGGTGAAAGCACTAAAAACCCTTGGCCTTCTCTCCATGAGCTTCGTGATGAAGTTTCCTGAAATGGTTTTCACCTCAGAGGTGTGCGATGTCAGGGTCAAGAAAGACCAAGATGCAGGGTTCAAAGCAAAGGGTGGATATTTTTAATTGATTTTAATCTAAAAGAAGTTTTGAGTTCTTTTTGTTTGCTACAGTCCATATGTGTCCATTCATAGTTTTGATGCTTTCAGTGAGAATATATAGTGTAAATAATCACAGAAATAAAGTAGGAAAAGTGTGTCCAAACTTTTGACTGGTTTTCCACAAATTAAAACCAGCCTAAAGCAATATGCACTTTTAACAACTCTAAACCTTGATAAATGTCGATATTTCATTAGAATAGTCATCTGGCTTATTGAAACTATAACCCAGGCAAACCTAAACATTCAGTTTCTGTTTTCACTGTACATCAAGAGAACAACACACAAACAACTTCTAAGTTGTGTCCACACCTGAGAATCAATGCCAGATGTGAGTGTTGCATCATGGGAGTTTCTAAACCAAACATCTCCATCCCGCACCACTTTTTTGTTTACTAACATCCAGATCTAGCTGAGAAGCCAGTTTATGCATGCACTATTGATCGTATATGCTGTCATAGTGGATCAATGCGGCTTGCATGTTAATAGAGGGGAGCATGCTGATGTACATGTGTGTACGTAGCACTGTCAGTAGCATTAAAAAGCCATCACACCGACATTCTCCAACCGTAAATGAGACAGGACCAGATGTCGGAGCAAGAGGGGGGGTGACAGAGCGCCACTGGGGGCTTTCACACACACTCAGAGAGACACACAAAGGCAGCGCTCATGATGAGGAATACAGTAATGCTGGAGCTGAAAGAAGAAGAAGCCAGGACAAGAGGCTCAGGTGAAGGTTAGACTTGGACCCTTTTACTGCATATTATGGGAAAACAACCAATAATAACACTGAAGGAGATGACATGTGTTTTTAAAGTGTTATGAAATAATTTTTTAACACTTTAACATGTTAAAGCCTTAGCTGTAGTATTTAGCTGTAGTAGTGATCGTAATTATCACAGTCACAGAGATTATCCTAATCCTATTCTCAAAACTACAAAACTACAATTTACCAAACAACACAATACAGTTTGGGATTTTTCTTACTCCTCTAAACAGACATTTAATAGATTGACCATGCAGCTGTGTAACTAAATAGTTGACAGCCTCTTTGGACTATTCAGTGACATTACTGTGTAGAAAAACACATTCTGAATTTATAATAATGAATAAATAAATACAAACTGCTGACACAGCTCTAGCGACATTAGCTTGTGCTGTGCTAAAGATTAAACTGCACATAATTTCAGTCAGGTTCAGCACTGTCCTTCTTTTTCCATGTTTTTACATTGCTAATCCCTATTTCATTTTGGACACTTGACATTTGGTCAAAGCAGGTTCCAGATAATACTGTATTTTATGTTTTGTGATTACAAGTCACCTTCTAGGAGACAGGGACATTACACTTGCTGCCTTCAAAGTGGCCTATAATATTTTCATAGAGTCAGTATTTTTTTCTAACATATGTAATTGCACAAATGTAGCACAAAGTATTCACCCTGTAGTCAGTGATGGGAAGAACAAAATGTATTTAGTTACAGAATACTCAATACCTGCGCTAGAATGTATTTTATAATGTATTCCGATACATGGTCCAATCAGAGTACTGTATTCTGAATATTTAGTACTTTTTAATCAAGTTGCATTTAAATTATTGTTAAATGAAACATATAAGTCAAAACAGCTTTATGTTTGTCTGACATTTATTTATTACTAATTGGAGATGGAAAAATCACATATGCCTCACCACAAGAGCAGAGTTGTCTATTTTTCTCACTGTTTCTGTGCAGTTTGAAGCCTAAATTGTGTGATCGAGAACAACAATGTATTCCTATGAATTTAGAACAGTAACTGTATTCTGAATACTACCAAATGAAAGAATAACTGTACCAGAATACAAGAACCCAAATTATATTCAAGATATATTATTCCCAGTACATGTATTCAGTTACTTCCCAACACTTCCTGTAGAGTATGGCTATAACTGTGTTGCCAAATCTGCAGTTCAAGTATAAGTAATTAGCCGCATCATTGTTTGTCTTTGTTCACTACATGTGCGGTCTGTTAGTCATTTCACTAGAGCTGCTTTTGTGTTTGAAGATAAATACTTAGACCTCTGTTGCACTTACACTGGCTGGCTGAAGCATCATGTTGGCCCCTGCATCCCATCTCTTTGTGTGTGTGCATGTGTGTCTGTGTGTGCGTGCAGTTTTCTGTGGCAGAGGTCCGCACGCCCGGCTCGGTGGTCTAATTAACAGCATTGCTAATCACAGCTTCCATTAGAGCAGCCCCCACTGGATAATGACACACACACAGCGAGGGGCAACAGGGAGAACAGCATGCACCAACATGGACAGACACAGACATACATTACACAGCAGCCTCTCACACACTCACACACAGTCACACACACAGTCACACAAACACACAGTCACACAAACACACATGCTTCTGTGTGACAACATGCGGACGCACAAAGATGAGACATGACAGTGGGGTTTATCTGCATGAAATCTGAAGCAAGGATATAGTTTTGCCAAGTACTAAAATGTTATTGTCAGATTTAAAGTCATATGGTTTAAATCTTTATATTAATATAAAAGTTATAGGAAGTTTTTGTCAGAAATACAGTAGTTCTAAACTGCAACATCCCACACATTAGCCTGTTATATTTTAACCAAAATGCACAAAACTATTGTCTATAATTGTTTTTCAATGTAGCGAGTATCACTGCTATAGATAATGAATTAATATTCATTAATATCATGATAATGTTATAATACTACTAAAAGCACTTCTATTTGCAGCAGCACATCCCAAAAAAAAAAGTTAAGCCCTGCTTTCTCAAATACTTAGTTTAGTCATGTTACTAAAGTCATTACAAAATTCTTACTTCAGGTGTGTGTCTGCTCTGAATCACATGGCTGCTCTTGACTCAAAACACAAAACATGTCTCGCGACTATGACAATATCACAATCCGATGTGGTGTGGTAATCAATATGTTATATATATGATATTCTATGATATATCACTGTTTTAAAAGAAAGAAATACATTTTTACAATGGCATTTCTTTGTAAAACCACTACATGCACATTCTATGAAATATACACAATTTAATATTAACACAGTAAATATGCTGAGTGCATGACAGGGATAGATTTATTTTTCTCTAAATAAGCTCTGCCACTGCTTGGATTTGTTGAATGTTGGCACACCTCTAGTGTCTATCAAATAAAATACAATCTTAGATTTTAAATATGTGATGTATTCTTATTGCTTTATTCTGAGTATCCCCCTGAATTGTTTGTCTTTTTGAACATTACATTTTGGATTAGAATTGCATGAAAAAAACCTTGCTTTCTTTGTAGTTTGAATCAAACTACGTTGACACCAAAAGCTGCATTAACGTTTTCTTAACATCTTGATCATATCTCCCTTTTTTCATTTCCAAGACAATGTGTGCACGTTGAAAAAAGCTTTGAATTTTGCTGTAACTGATAAAATGGCAGCTGCCGAAGAGATGGGAACACAGGAAGGCGTCTCCGCAGCATATGTGTGTGTGTATATTCAGAATTGTGCGGGGGTAAAGCCCTGTGGTGACCTTTGACCCCAGCCAAAGTGAAGGGAAGTGAGGGGGTGACCGGGTTTGAATCATGTTGAATTGGATTGAATGGGAGAACTTGACTCACGGGGCCAGGGGGGACTTTTGTGTCTTAACCTATTATCTGAACTCCAGAGAATAGATATGTTTATGTGTGTGTGTGCGCCACCTCATACAGCGCCAGGCCAGGTGGCTGTTAGTCAAAACTACTTTCGGACTTACTATTGTTTTAAACCTGAATTTGAGTCAGAAATCACATGATGAGTAATAGTATCAGTTACATTTACTCACAAAGCTGACCCTTCACCCCGCTGTGCATCCACTGTGACTCTGGGAGATAAAGGGTCTCTGTACCGGGCAGCACATAAAGAAGAGAAGAACATGGGGGGCTCTGTCCTTCACCCCAGCTTCCTCTGTTTAACCCCCGCCCTCAGAAATAACTTTGATCAGTGAATCCATCCGGGACCCTGGTAAAGGCCCTGTGTGGGGTCAGACTGTTGTGTACATGAGGGAGCCAACATTGTCAAGTGCAAAAAGCATTATTTTAAATTCTACTTTCCAAACAAGGGACATCGTGGAGCATGCTATGTGTCAGAAAAATTTATCTTAAAGGGGTACTATATAACTTCTAAGGTGGAGGACCTGCTACTTGCTTATCTCCCTGGAAATGTTATTTAATGTTATTATATTTCCCTTGCATTAGTTCAATTACATTTGTTTTATAGCCCAAAAATACCTTAAAAACATGGATTCTTACCATATCCAGACTTGCTTTTCCATAGATCTGGCCATTAATTTGTCTCAATTGTGATTGCCATTTATATTGCCTTCAGAAGGTAACAAAAATATTTCTGAGAGTTCACATTTCACTATGATTTGCCAAATCCACTTGTCACTCAGAGCATCACCCAGCCCTATAAGGACCATTTTCTTTTAGTCTCGTTGCAGTGTGTTTTTTCAAAGTTTTCACTACAATTATTCTGCCTTACGTCTGTGTAAAAAGCGTGTTAATTTCAAGAGGCGTATTAGACAGTGGAGAACCAAATTGTGGCGCAATATTACATCTGCAAGTCCAAAGTTGTGATATAGAACTTGATTTTTAAATATCGTATGTCAGATCTGAATGTGCGCTACCACTGTTTTGGTGTTGACTAGGAACATGTCTTTCAATTTTCTTTCTAAATTTCTAAAGTTTATATGCACATTTTCATACCAGATGTCCTTCCCAACACAATTTACATTTGTTTATGCTTAGAACCTGCACAAAATTATATACTTGCTTTTTGAGCCCATACATCTTAATCCTTTCAGAACATATCAAGTCAATTTTCCCCAAAGGTACATTTCAAGGCAACTTTTATTTTTTAGCAGTCTTAAATCTCTCAGCACTAAATAAGTCAAAAATGCTAAAAGTCCAAAATGAAAATCAATATTATTATCCTGGGTATTTCCATTTTAAACACGACTGTCCTTGAATAGTGGGATACCTGCATATACGAGTAGTAATGAGCGACCAGTATCAAAGAGAGAGAGAAGAGGAATTGAAAACGAGTTAAGGAGATAGACAGAGCAGCCGGAAGAGAGTGGCAAAAGGCAGAGAGGCCAGAACAATAAGGCGTCATTGTTTGTTTTGTTCTGCTCTAAAAAAGAGGCAAGACGAGCGCTTCCCTTCTGAGACCGCCGCGCACAGATAGAGGCTGCTGTGTGAATGGGACTTAACCCGTCACGCCAATGAGTTTCTTTACCCATCCGCTAATACAATGAGACCGGATATCAAGCTTCCACCGCACAACATGCTCTAACATACACCCAAATGGACACTGATTATTTTAATATGTTAATGTCTTTATGGTGAGAATACAGTGTGTGTGTGTATAGCCTGGTCAGTATCTCAGGTGGTGTTTATGTGTGAGGCAGAGTGACAGCAGAAAGCAATAAGGTAGCTGAAATGGTGCCATCAGAGCTACATGATTGATCAATTGAATTCCATGATGGGGACTGGCCAGTGGGATTAAATGGGTCGCCGTGGGTTACCAGGCTAAAGCATCATACGGGCTTTATCTCCACCCCGATTGGTCTGTCACCGGGGACCAGCTCCATACACTGACTGCACTCTGAAGGTGTACGCGAGGGGCTACAGACCAGAGGGGAGAGATTACGATCGAAAAGGAGTGTTTGTGAGAGAAGGAGAAAGAGGTTTTTGTGGACTAGGGAGGAATGGGGAGTTTTGTTGAGTTGCTCATAGTGAGATACAGTTGGGATATCTATACACTGTGCACTGCTTCAATACCTCTACTCCAAAGATCCTAATGTCTGGGCAAATAACACAACAATATACTATGTAATGTTGATACAGGGATCAAACCTCTTTTCAGTTCGTAGGTTTAAAAAACATCTAAGCCACTGTCAATCTTCCTCGTTTTCCTTTTGGTTTCATTTATTAATTTCTTTGGTTTACTTAATTTCTGCACATTCTGCCTGGGGATTTTGAGTTTCACTTAAAGGTTCTATATTATGCAAAATTAACCCTTGTGACCTTTAGGCCGTGTTAGACTGTTGTTGCATTCTGAAAAACATATCTGGAGTTGTGTTTGGTTTCAGTCACACATGTTTGAGTAACCTTACATTATCAGGTTGTCTACAGTGTTTTCTGTTTGAGAAAAGAACTCAAGCCTAAATATGCAGAAGTGGTGTATTAAACGTGTGTGAATGAAACAAAACAATATTATAACATAGCTGAAAATAGCATTATATGGGCCCTTTAACTTAACCTCTTTCTTACCATCTCAGTCTGGCTTCTCATTGTTTTTTCCTCCTTTTGATCAGTGTTATAATATCAAAATTGCCTTGTATTGTTCTTTATTTTTATTTTTGACTCCTTTGATACCCACCTTTGGCTCAGGTAGTAGCATGATCTTGGTTAAAAATTCGATCCCAAGTCTAGCCAGCGCTTTCTCTCAGAATGAATGTGGAGTGATTAGTGGTGGTCTCAGAAGGCACGCTTGTGTCTTTGTCTACCAGCCTCAGGGCAGCAATGGCTAAAAAAAAGTAGATGAAAAATACAAGGTTACCAGTCCCTTTTGATAAAAATAACTCAACATTACTCTATAAATTATGTATATTAAAAATGCCTTAAAAGACCTATAAATTCGATTGGCATGTACCTCATTTATGACATCAGCCTGTCCAAGAACTGAAGGAGGAAATGAGCTATTTTGCTATAACCTGGCACAAACATATTACCTCTTTGTGAAGGTCATTGTTTTTGTATGTGCATTGTGCCTGATAAACAAACAAATAAACTAAACTAAACTAAAATCTAACCTCTGTATGCATAGCTATTTTTAAAAGCTATTCCAGATATCATGCTCTCTTTTTGCTTCATCACATTGGACTTGGTCTGAGGTACAGATGACTCAGAAGCAGAATGGTAATAGACATTTGATCCCCCAACCCCCACCCCACCTGCCTGTCATATCACTCTCCCCACACCAAGCGCACCTTCTCACCAAACCCAAACACACAGTGACCCCAGGACTAAAATGGACTCTCGGCAGCGGTTTGCCCAATGAATTGAGCCCATAGCAGGGGATTTTCTCCCTCATCCCCCCTTTCTCTTTATCTTTTTTTTCTAATCATGTGTGGGGCACGACTCTTCAGGGTTCTTGTAATTGTCTCGTTCAGTCCCTCAGCTTCGCAATAACTGCAGGATACAGGAGCTCACAGACAATAAGTAGAGCCAAGAAATATATATTTGTGTCTCTGGGAGTGTAACTAGATGGGTAGTGAAAAGGATCATATGTGAAGTAATAGATTGCATTTGTATAGCATCAGTCCAGGAGAGTTCTAGACCTGAATTTTCTCATGAACTGAATCTTTTTAGCTATAATAACTCAATTTCTCAATCAGATGTTCTATCTAATGTGGCTCTTATTTTTGCACAGGTATGCAGGAGTCGCCGCTGGCCAATGGGCATGGCCACAGTGGGCGGGACTTCCTCCGAAAACAGATGAGAGGGGAGCTATTCTCGCCGCAACAGATCGAGGTATTGGATCGCCTGTTTGACAGACAGATGTCCAGTCCAATGCAGGCCTGCCCCGAGCTGTATGTGGGCCTAGACTGTGGCAAGGTAAGGGCATAGTACTGTGCAGGCTCCAGGCTGGGGCTGGAGGGAGTGGAGTCAACCTGCTAGTCTATATATAAAATGTAATTTTCAGAAATAGCAAATACTGTGCTATATTATGGTGCTCATGTATTATTTAAAGGATCCATATTACACTATTTACTGCTTTATGTTATAATGTTGTTTCCTCCTCAAAAACATGCCTGGACTTGTGTTTAGTTTCATTTACACATGTCTTACTCACTAATCTTGCTGTGTTCTTCTCTCAAACTCAAAAACACTGTTCCACCTTGCGATGTCACGTGGTAATACAGGAAGTGCTCTACTGTGTTTTTAAACACCGTCACTTGAATCATTTAGATTATTTTAGCCCTGGAATTACCAATCTCCACTGAACTAAAGGTAGGTGTTAACTTGAAAATGACTACTTCATAACATCACAAGGTGGAACAGAGCATTTTGAGCTTTGGAGATAAAGACAGACGTGTGAATTAAACAAAACACAACTATGTTTTTGATGAGGTAACAACACTCTAACTTGGCTTAAAGCTCACAAGAGTCAATGTTGTGTAAAATAGGACCTTTAAAAGACTTTCAGAAATCCATTATGCGTGTCAGAGTAGGGTTAAATGGAAAATAAATGTTATGACACTTTGTTCATGCAAAATTAGCCCTGTTAGTTTGCCAGTACGTCCAAGCTTAGCATAAGCAATTGTTGCAGCTCCAGCTTTTGACTGGTTCTCTGTGCTTCTACTGATGCTCAAAGCCTGCCCTGCCTGCTATGCCTTGCCAAGCCATGTCACTCACATACAGCTGATCAATAATATTATGCTTGTATGAGTCTGTGAGAGAGTGTTTTGGGCTTTTAAAATGCAGTACCACACAATATAAATGACTAAATGAATAGAGACAAAGGAAACAAAATACAGCATATTTAAAGGTGCATTGTGTAATTTTTCTGGTTGAGGGTCTGTCACCTGCTTGTTTGTATGGATATGTCATTGCTTTACCTTGAATGTTCCACAGTATGACTTTAAACAGCTCTACCTTACATTTATTCAATTACAGATGGTTTTACAGCTCAAAAATACCTAGAAAAACATTTTGCTCGAGTGGGGTTCCCTCTCCATAGATCTGACCTGTGACTTTTTCTGGTTTGGTCTCCATGAAGATAGAAAGACTTAATAGCATACTGTGAAATATTCCTGACAAAGCAATAACATTTCTGTGAAGAAAAGCATGTGACGAACCCTCCACTAGAAAAATTACACAATGCACCTTTAAAGTTCAATAATCGGCTAATATTACCTTTTCAAAGCTCACACTCTGATCTATTGCATGTATTGAATCACAACTACATAATCGTTCGCTTCTGAGTGTGTTTTTCTCTGCTCCTGACTGGTTAGACTTGTGAAGAGCCAGTCAGGAGTGTCCTATTGATGTTCGTATAATCGAGACACACTCCAGGGGTTAATGAGCATATTGACCTGGCGCCTCATTATGACCTCACTTCCTGCTGCTCAGGGACACCCCCAGAGCCGTCCGCATGCTGATGTATCTTGGGAATGTGTTTTTCCGTGTTTGAGTGTGAGAGACTATGCAGAGATGTGCTGTGTGTTTTTGTAGCTAAATACTGCATCTGAAATGACCTCCTGCCCTTTGTATTCTCTATAATGTAAATCTGAGTGGAATAGACAGGTGCATGGAGTCCACTGAATAACAAAATCAAAACAAATGCATTTGTATTCTTGCCACTGTTTCTCAGATATCTTCTAATCTGCAGCCCCTCTAGTCAATAATTAAGTAAAAATATTCTGTCTTAAAATGCTGTTTAGAAAAGCTTTGAAGATCTGCCTTTTCTTGTTTATTTACTCAGCCAAAGTCAAGGCCAAAAGGACAAAAAACATTAGCTGTGTAGAAGTACATAGCAGCACAAGTAGGTTGCAGCCTTAGACCTATAGGGCAGATTTGGGCTTTTTAGGCTATTCAGACATCTCTGACTGACATGGGGAGTGGAGTGGGGTGAGGGCGAGAGGTCGGTTTGGGAGCAGCGCTAGTCCCTCTATAGACTGGTATGACTCAGGACTATAATGCACATGATTCCCAGGTCAGTGTCCTCCGTGAGCCCGGTCAAGCCGCTGGGGTCAGGCACTAGGATAGGGGAGGCATTAAGTCTTGGGTCACCACTGGGTCAAAATGGCTTTAGCGAACGGCATTGTGATTATAAAGAGGCACACACTCACATACGCACACACACACGTACATCACTATCTGTCTTGAACTGCGCTCCTGTCTCGTTGATCACCCCCCCTGCATTTCCCAGAGGGGTTGATTGACAGTCATATCCTTAACGGTGACACACTGACAGCCCCGGCCCGGCCTCTTTGTGTGCGCAGAGGTGTGGATGTGTGAGTGTGTGCCAGTGTGTGTGTGCGTATGTGTGCAGGGAGCTGGTCAAGGAGGGTCATGCTGTGTTGTGACGGACGCTCATGAAAAACGTGATGTTTGCTGCAGTGGTGGGGGCCTGTAGAGCAATGTTCATGGGACAAAAAAATATTTAGGTTTAGGTTTAGAAAAGTTTATTCATCCAGGAGGGGTAATTCTGTTTGCAGTCACAGATCGCAGCATAAAAAGACCACACACATACATGTCACACAAGTCAGGTGCTCATGCAATATCGATAAAGTTCAACAGTTACGTTCAATGCTATCATATAATGACACTAATAAGACATATGCAGCCTTATTAAAAATAGTATAGGGGTGCACTTAAGACATTGCTATTGGAAAATGCATTTGTATTGCACTTCAAATGAAATTTTAGGGTCTCTTACAAATAAAACATATGAATGGGACCCTTGATAATGAATGGTACAAAGCAGTTAAGAAAAATCTTACTATATCCACTCACAAGGGAATTACTGTAGCATTAACTACATAAGATTTTGGTTACTTTATTTTGCATTCCAGATTGTACTCTACAAAGGAAATAATAACAAACCATCTGGGTATCGTAATTCATTATTGCACTTACTATTTTTAAAACTGCAGACCTTCTACTCTGTTTACAAGCATGCTTCTTTGCAACTTCTGCATTGCAAGCCTCTCTCAGTTTCTTCTTTTACCAAATGGATAAAATTGCTCTTGTCGCTCATGCAGACAAGTCTTATTTTATCTGTCTGCTGTAGTTACTGGAGCCCTGTCCTGCTCAAACCTTTTCCTTTCTTACTAACAAGCCATCATTTGATCTCATCTCTCCCCCTTTCACTCTTCTCTATTAAGCCCTGCTATTAATGTGTGTGCACATGGGAGTGTGCATGTGGGTGCCTGTCCAACAGAGTTCATTTGAATTTCCCTTCAATCACTTCATATTACTCAGGTGATAAATCAGGGCTCCAGCAGAGACCCCACCCATCTGGGCTGCCCCTGGGTCCAAATGCACGCAGGAGTTCTATTGCAATAAAAATCCCAAAAGTATTTACTTATTGTTCACGTTAAATCACCTTTTAATACAATTTTTACAACATAGCTGACAATGGTAAAACAACTATAGACTTGTAAAATGCAAGTTGTTATTCATTGAAATTTTAGCAATAGTGAGTTGATATTAAACCAAGACAAACCAAGCAGAAAAATGTTATATTTAAAAAAAAAAAAAATCATACACCATATTATGCATAATTCCTATGATGTTTTTTAGCATTTAAGAGATTTCCACTGAAGTAGACACTGGCTGCTGCTCCCAGGCTCTTTCTAAGCACAGATTAATTGTTTCCCCACAGTGGCTGTCTCAGTTCGAGGGCCTCTGAGGGATTTGTTTGTTTATGGTCCAGCCTTTTTCTATCAGGGGCGACACAAGACAATGCCAGAGAGAGATGGAGAAATCAGAAGCTATTGGAGAATGGAGAAAAGGGGAAATACTATTATGCAAATAGTGTGGGTTGACAGCATATGCACGTGTGTGTGTGTGTGAGAGAGTCCAGGCCGATTAGGGCTCATCTGTTATTGATGTGAGATTTTGACCAAACCATTACACTTCCATCTCAGAGGCACTGTACCAATCTGCTGTGTGCGGAGAGAGAGCTTCATGTGCGGACAATACAAAAGATTTGGCCACTGTTTTAGTTTCACTTCATAATTAACTGGATAAGTGTTGGACAACTTTAATGCGTATGTATCCAGACCATAGTGTGTATATATAAATGAACATAGCTAAGTCACTATCTGCCGCGTTCCAAATAGGAAGTGAGCATGGATGCCCATCTGCCTCCGTCAACTCTGGCTCCAATTCACTTCGCATTAAAAAAACACCACCTCTGTCTCTGTAACTGCTCTGTAACTCATTTTGATGTCAGAATTTTCGTATTAACTTGCTCCACCTGATCCTGGTTATTTCAGTATTTGGCCGTAAATCAATTCTTATTCCTAATATGGAACTCAACTCCAAATTCACTCCTATAACTCTAGACTTGTGAACGCTAAGGGTGAACTCACACTCCCTCAGTCCACTTCTTTATACAGTCTATTATCCAGTATCAAGACAATGAAAGTTTTTTTTTTAAGTCAGCATCTTTCTTTTTGCATTCTAAGACTACGTTTATATGACGACGGTCTGAACAGAAGACGCTATAGTGGCTTTGCGTCTTCATGTTTTATTCCATGTTCAGGAGAGCATTTTCAGGAGGAAATCTCCGTGCATATGGTGATGCAAAAGTGTGTGGAATTCGATTGGAAATGCATGCCAGGCGGCTAGGTGGTGATGCTAGATGATGATGTATGTAAACGCGTATGCGACGTGAGCAGTTCTGATCAGAGTTTTGCGTCTTGGGCAGTGTAGATGGAAATGTTATGGCGGAGTGTATTCAGCTTTTCCACTCTGGAGGGTGGTTTCAGATTTTTGCGCTTTTAAGCCCCCAAAATGCCTTCGCCATCTAAACGAAAGGCACTTCTGACTAAATATTTAGTTGTTTTTACCCACAAGCGTTCTCATGTAAACAAGTCCTAAGTGCAGAAGCTGTAATGATCTGTAAATGGTTTTTGGTTTAATTACTTTTTAGGTGCTGAACATAAACATGTGATGAACATAAACAATGTTCCCCTAGTTGAAAATGTGTCTTTTCCTTGAAGAACTTGCATTGATATACTCATAAAAAGCGTGACGCATTTTCCCAATCAAGGAACCAGAACTAAAATATACTTGACTGTGCTCTCCAAAATTATTCAAAAATATTGAATAATAACCAAAGCCCATAGAGTGATTACAAAACCAGTCCAGCCCAGAACTGCCCTCAGTCCCCCTTTCTCTCGAACCCCAACCCTTCCTTTTGGCCCAGCGTACACCCCCCACCCCGCCCGCTTTTTGATGAGGGTTGATGGCGCTGTATGAATGGTGGAATTGACAACATTTACGGGGGCGAATGAGAATGATCCATCTTCCTTAGCGGGCCTGTCACCCCACTGGCCAAACTTCATCATGGCCAATTACTGGAGCACACCCCTTCTTGTGTCAGCCCCTGCCGCCTAGCCCCCCCATGCCCCCCTATCTACATGGAAACACGGACACATTAAACACCATTACAATAAGACAGGGGGGCGACTGAGGGGGGAGGAGAGGTAGCAAGGAAATAAAACTACAGATATGAAGTGAAAGGGTGAGACAAGAGAGAAAAAAGAAGTTAAAATGTGGTGGAATTCTTAAGAGGCAGACAGAGATGTGTGTACTGGGAGTAAAGCTGTTATTTGGCAGGTCACAGTCCAGTGGTTGTGTTGTGTGCAAGGGTGTTTAAGAGGTCAGTGAGCACAAACGCACACCTAACTTACAGGTCAGCTCCAACATGTACAGGCTCAGAGGGTAAAAGCAGCCACTTAATGCACGGAATTGAAAAAAAGAAGAAAAAAAAATCAGTGGGGCAGTAGTTTTATAGGGTTCATAAATATAGTTTTCTGTCACAGTGCCTGAGCCAAATTAGGTCAATAGAATTAGCACTCTTCTAGTAAGATTACATTTTTGTGTGTTTTGCTACTTGTTTGTTTTAAATGTATTATTACATTTATATTTTGCTCTTTATTAGTATATTTATTGTGATGTTTGAGCTACTGTGTCCAAAGAATTTCACTTGTGGATCAATAAAGTCTGTCCAAGTCTAAGTCCAAGTTCATGAGATATTATAAACAAAATTATGTTGGGTTTTATTTTGAAATACTAATCTCAAATAGATAAAAAATTTCAAAATAAAATAAAACATTAGAGATATGACAGTAGCTCCTTGTGGCCCTGAAACACTGCTGTATTTAATAGTTAATCTCCTGGTCGTCAGTGTCAGTGGCTGCTCTGTAAATCACCATACTCTGTGGATCACACACAGAGGAGCTGATAAGGATCGATGGTCACTGATGGAGAGATGGGGTCACACACAGGTGACGAGACTCTCCATTCATTCATCTGCGTTTAAGGAGGCAGGGGACAGTCCGTTTTACTCTGGCCTCCATTATGACATTTCTATCTACAGACAAGGTAAAACTGGAATAGATGTGAGATATTTTTGAACACATATCATCTGTAGATTTGACTACATTGACTTCATTTTGCATGTTTTGGGATGATGAAACTGCCTACAAACACAGAAGGGCCTGGGCAACAGAAGACTCAAACCCAGAACCTTGCCGTGACAGTTTCTTTAAAGGTGCACTGTGCAACTTTAGATGAAGAGATGTTATTACTTTGCCAGAAATGCTCCATGGTTTAACTCTTAACATATCCATAGCATTTATTAAAATACAATAATTCCCTCTGTGAATAGGGGCGACTTGGCCAGGCTGGTGCCACCTAGTGCCTCCACTCAATTTCATTTCTCTCCAGCGACTAGATCAGGAATCGGAATACACTAGACCGGAAGTGTGAGTCCAGTCACCAGCCAAGCGAAGAGCCATACGTTCTGTGTTGGCAACGATTGCTGTGATCGAGGATTTAAAGCCAGAACAAAGAAAATGCTTGGTGAATTTTATCAAGGGGAAAGACTTTATTGCCATTCTTCCTACTGGATTTGGGAAAAGCTTAATATACCAGTTACCCCCGTTAGTGGCGCATTACATACGTTACAACCAAATAGCAGCGATTGGTTAAATAAAAAAAGTACCCATCTACGGTCGAGCAAACAAATTCCACTGCTGTGAGGTCAGATGGTTTCCATGAAGTGCAACTGGCTGATGAATCAGTCTAGGGGCTCCTCTCCACAGATCTTAATTGTAATGTAGAGTAATGCTATAACCTGCTTGTCTCCCTCGTGATATATAGGTTTAATCTATACTGTGGAACATTCTAGACAAAGCAACAACTTTTCCATGGAGATAAGCAGATGGCGGACACTCCACTAGAAATGTTACACAGTGCACCCTTAATGTTAACAGTTGTCTCAGAATAGTTCTGAAATAAATCAAGATCATTCTAAAACTATTCAAGCAAGGCCCAATCCCTTTCAGTTTTGCTATTTAAATGAGTGTCTAGTTTCAATACTAGTTTTGGTAACTCTTTATTTAAGGGTACACTTATTAACGTCTAACTACCTCCTAATTAGCATAGTTGTAAATGGTTAATTGGTCATTAATTAGTATTTATTCAGCCCTTATTATTGTCTGCATAAACGTATCTTTTTTTTTGTCATCCCTGACCATTTGATAAACACCATCTCTGTCATATTTTTTTCTTTGACTGAAATCCATGTGTTCAGGGCATCTGACACAATGTTGGTGTGCGGAGATGATCACAGTTGTTATTGTTGAGAGTATCTGGGGAGACAAGGCTTTGTGTTAGCTGTGGTCTCTGTGACGCTGCTCTAGTGTGGTATGTTGGACAAAGTGTGAGTGTGTGTGCTTGTTTGTGTGTGTGTGTGGATGAGGAGAGATGAAGAGAAAGAGCAAGTTGATCCCGTGGTTATAGACTGTTGGACTTGGTTGTACAGTAAATCCCTGTCTTTGTAAACAGATCAATAACTCTGTGTGCGCAGTTAAGTGTGTGTGTGTGTGCATGTGCGTGTGTGTGTGTGTGTGTGTGTGTATAGGGGAGAAACAGCTACATGCAGGAGATGCACTCAGATTGATCTTAGCTGTAAGGAACAACTGTATATTTATGTAGCACCAGAAAATGTTATATTTGTTGATCTGTTGTTGTGATTGCAGACGTCAGATTACTCGGCCATGGCCTCGCTCGCTGGTGGACTTGATGAGATGAAGAGTAGTTTGGCCAATCCGGGCACAGGAGCAGATTTGGGAGCTGGTGTTTCTGGGCCTCAGTCCTACTCACTAGTGCCAGGTAAGGAAGCCATGGGTTACTTATATATTGAACAAGAAATTACAGGTGACAATTTTAGTCAAGGGACCACATATTAAATCGCTAACTAAGTGGTGTTAATTGGTCTTTATCAAACGCGTATTAATGCTTATTGAGATTTTATACAAAAATATGTATTGTAGTTCCCACAACTTTAATGGGAGGAAATTAGTTAATGGTTAAGTACAAAAAGTGCATTGAAAGTACATTATAAATACTAACAAAGATGTGATTATTAAGTAAGTTTGCATTTTACTATTTTTAGCTATTAATATTGTGGTCTGCAAACTAAAATGTTACCAAATTGTGTTTATCAGTTGAACTACAAGAGACTGAATGCAAAAAGATTATGGGTTCGTACCCTAGAGTCATTCTGTTATATTGTGCAGAAGATTTAAAGCTGGGGTAAATAATTTTCAAACGGTGAAAGAAGGAAGTCAGTATTTGCATATATCTAACTGGTTTCTAGCTCTCACAAACCATTTTGGACATTTCTAGTGTTCACATGCACAAACTTTTACACACAAAATTGTGGATCACCCTGACTCATCACCTCTCACCCCAAAGTGTTATTTAATGACTAATATGGCTCTTTCTTGTAAGATGGTAAAAGATAAAATGTATAAATAATAATTAGATGAAGACACTGTGTAGAGGTCTGTTTTTCAGTTCTGCTTTTTTTGAGGGCTGTTATCTCCTCAAAAACATACCTGCAGTTGTGTTTTGTTTCATTAAAAAATTAAGCTGACAGCTACTTTTTACCTTTAATTCAATAAAGGGCTGAAATTATTCAAATGATTCTAGTGAAGGGGTCTGGAGTTTAAAAACACAGTGGAGCACTTCCTGTATTATCACATGAGAAGAACTCAGCCTAAATATGCATGTGAATGAATTAAACACAACTCACATTATGTTTTTTGAAGAGTTAACAAGATTATAACATAGATCAGAAAATACTGTAATATATGTTTTTAACAATTTTGATGCAAACAAAACCAGTGTATATATCTGTCCAAGCACTTATGCATCTTCAAACCTCCAAAATCTGACCTACTGATGCTCTGCTCCACTTCAGTCTGAGCTCACATCCCTTCATTCAGATTTGAGCCACTTAATATTATGAAAAAAAAAAAAGAAACCCTCTCATTTCTCTCCTTTCTGACTGTAAATGAACATAACTATTCAAAGTATTCAACCTGTTTAAAGAGCTCAGTGTCCCTCTGGAGAGACAGAAAGCCCAGAGCAAAGACGAAGCAGAGCAGTGGAGGGATGGAGCAGAAGTCAGGCTCTATTCAGGGGCACTGGGAACGGCGCTGCTTAATTAAGAGTAGACCGGGGAGCACTTGGACAAGCCTTTAACGTTCCCATCTGTAATGAGGGGAATCATAGAGCTGGGATTTTGGGATATCGGGGAATGGGCTCTTTCTCCTGGCCTTCCAAACCACTGAGGAATATTACCTGCTCCAAACGAGTGCAGGAATAGAGAGAAGGAAGGAGAAGCAGCAACATAGACGTGAGGAAAAAGGGGGAGAGGGAGATAATATTTCCATTTCAGCTTATGCATGCAAACACATATGCGCACACCTTTGGAATATTATGCATGCATTTTGTTTCCTGACTTTGGCCTCAGAACAGAGCTCCCTCTAGGGGATCACACGTCTGCATGTTTCACACAGCATTATTAAAGCAGTGAGGTCTTCATATTTCAATTGTACATTTTAACCTTTCTTTACATGGGTCATAGGCTTGATACGATAACACATTTTGAAGTGTGATATATTGCTGACGTAAATATAGACGATAAATAATAATATTTAAACCAAACCACAAAGCAGAATTATTAACAAAAAAGTATTCTAAAAGTACAATATTGTTAAATATTGTTGAGCTGTATAAATAAATAGAATTCAACACTTAGTTTCTGTAATTTTAGTTTCAGCCTTTTACAGCTCAAATCTGATCAGAATTTCCCACTACTACAAAGAAAAAGTACCCATAATAAATACTGACAGCCAAAAATGATTGTTCTATTTAAGGTGTCATCTCGTGTGCTAGAGATGACAAAACCAAAACTGTAGTCATAATACAATGGATAACCTCATTTTGTCTATTTGGCAACTGAAGAACATTAACTTCTGCTGCATCTCCCCATTAAGCTTCTTAACAGGACATCTTAACAGATCTCTTAATTGCGCCAGTTCAGTTGGTAATTTCCAAATCATCAAATGCGCTGATGTTATACTTCCAGATGAGGAGACCGTTTTCCCCATTGATTACATTGTACTTTACCATGAAATAACCAAAAGGTAAATTCACAAATGTTAAAGCTGATAATTTCTGTTAGTGCCTAGACCACATAACTCACTATATAACAACAAAAATCTGGAGTTTATCAATATTAATTTGGCTGAACCCCGTCCGTTAATTATATTAATTAATATTGGTCTATATGTTGTGATTAGGGTTGGGAATCACAGGGTCACTCATGATTTGATATGATGCGCGATACATGACTCATAATATTATCACAATATGGCAATACATGCCATAATAGATATGTTGTACACAATATATTGCTGTTTTTAAGAACCAAATATATTTTAACAACAATATATCTTTGTTAAAACACTACTTGTGCAAAGTAAATATGAAATATGTCTATTTTAATCATCAACACAGTGAATATGTCAATATTATGATAAATTATTATATCAATATAATTGCTACTAACTGATACCAAAAAATCCTCTTGGCGATACAGCAGCCCACGATAAAAACACTGTATCATCAAATTTAGTATCCCGATATTTTGATATTTTTGCACATCCCAAGTTGTGATATTATCCAAAACACAGCAATAAGTTTAAGACCTCCTTTATATGCAAAACACATATTTGACCACCAACCCCAAAAGAATCCCCTGTGAATAATTTGTAGAAAATTCTCCTTTTCCGATTTGCTGTTTTCATTAGGGATCTCAAATTCAATGCACGTCATTATTATTTTTTTTTTAGCTTCGTCTTTGAAAATACAATACAAGCTTAAGTTATAAAGGCTTAGTGACATGACTCCCACGTAGTTGGATTTTGCATAAACCATCAATAAAACAAACCTCACAAAGCTAATCTTTTATAGCATGTAAACATAATAGTAGTACCAGAGGGGCTCTGTAAACCCCCAGCCTCCCTTATGTCTGACTGGTGTTGGATTCAGTGGATAGATAGACAGTCTATGAGAGGCACAAAGCATGTTCATCTGTAGCCGTTCAGAGGAGACTTGTACTGTCTGCTTGACCTCTACAGCAAAGAGGTAGAAAACAGACACATCAACACAACTGGCGTACATTTTCACAAACACACACGCACCTCTGAGGATGTGGCCCTGTCTGGCCCCTCTAAGTTGGGCAGTGGAGAGTCTGTGTGAGCTGTGGTCCACCCTCTCCTCCCTCCTCTCCTCCCTCCTCTCCTCCCTTTCCTCCCTCTCCTCTTGCCCTGTGCACTGACCCTGAGCGGATGAGTAGACCGTCTGCGCTAATGCCTGGCTGTCGCGTCAAACACTGAGAAAAACTTTACTACGCCGAGACAGCAGAGAGGACAGAGGAGCGGGGAGGGAGCAAACAAATGCACTGCCAGGGCAAGAGCATGGGAATATGTGGAGAATTGCTTGAATAAATTACGATGAAAAATTAACACACTTGAGAGGTTTTTGATATTTAACGTGTATCAATTTCTACTTAGACTTCGAAAGAAAGAGACCAAAAAATATAAATGATGAATGAATGAATAATAATGAATGAATACTAAATTCAAAATAAATAGCAAAAGTAACAAGACATTGGTGTCAAAGAAGGCATAATTCTATAAATATATAAGTAAAAATAAAAATACATTGTAACAAATAAATCTCAAATCTACAGTATATACAAGAAGTCGTAAGGAGAAAAGACGCAAAGATGAAATAGTGATTGACATGACAGAATAAGCAATATATAGCAACATGACATCTAAAATTATTTCATTGTTTTTATCCCAAGCCCAAATAAATGGATAGAACACAGTCCAAATAAAGGGAAAAAAATATTGTGGATGAAAATATAAAATTATTCACGCTCATTCAAACCATTCATTGCAACATAGAGCCACAAAAGGGTTGGGTTGGTACAATGTTGATTCAGTTGTCACATCTTTGCCCAATATAAGGATTTGGGATACTACACTCTCTAATGAACTTAATTTTATGGATTAATTTGGTTGCCTTGTATATTTTTGTATCCTCTTTTTCCTTAAAAAAAACAAAACAAAAAAAACCCAAACCATGGACTGAATAATGTTGGTGTCTGAAATAAATGAACATGAACATGTAATAAATTTGTGACCAGTGGTAACCTTAGCAGCAGTCTATGCATTTTGTCATATATTTTTCTCAAGAGGAAGAAAATCAGGACTCATACAGTGAAGGTTTGTGCGCTTACCTGGTTTTACTATTACATAGAACAACGGTTTGTTAAGGAATTCTATGATTTAATCAAAATTACACCTAAATTAAAGCTCTGCAAATTACCTTAATGCTAAGTGAATATCGAGCACCAGTTGACATGCACCAATGATTTAATTTCCCCAACGCAAATTAATGAACACAGCCTCCATTAATTTGCAAATTCCAGTAATATTAAGAAAACTACATTTCCTCTAGTTTCCCTGTTTCTTCCATCTTGGTGTTGTTCTCCCTTCCCCTCTTCCTCTGGCGTGCAGTTAGTTAGCGCTGGTTAAGTGGAGGGGAAGTGAATGGGATTGATGGTGTTAGCATGTGAGGTGTTTATGATTATGATAAATGTTGGGAGCGCAGGACGGGGGGAAGAAGAGGAGGGGCTGTGATCATGATGAATGGTGGTCTCGCTCTCAGCGCACTCCCAGTGTCGACTACGAGCAAACACAGAGAAATGATTTGGGCCGACAGACTGTCATGTAGTCTAATGCAGTTATAGATCCTATCCTGCAAGTGACAGGGCGAAGGAGGGGGGAGGCTAACAGTAAAGGGTGCTATGGGATAGAAACAAAGAGAATGTAAACAATGTGTTATAGCATGATTAATTGCTATACTATAAATTTATCTAAAATAAATATGCTATGTTTGCTATTTGAATCAAGTAAGGTGCTTTTTTTGTGTCAAAACTTAAAGCCCTTAAACATACGAGAAATAGTATTTAAATTCCTTCCGCTGTTTCAAGTGACATTTGAGCAACGCCATTAACAGCCAAAAATATTCACTTAAACCAGAACAAAAATTTTTACCTCATAGCTGTGATGTTTAAATATGTATTATTGGTTGCCTGATCAGCCAGTCCCTTTTACATTCTGTTTTAATCCAGAAGGGTGTGAAACTGTAGCCAGGCTGGCGCCACCTAGTGCCACCACTCAATTTAATTTCTCTCCAGCAACTAGGTCAGGAATCAAAATACAATTAAAGGTTCGCAAAAACCCCAGAAGTGCAAGTTCGGGCACCAGTCAATCAGCAAAGAGCCATATATTCATGTGCTGTCAACGATCCTCGAGATCGAGAATATAAAGCCAGAATAAAGAGAATATTTGGTGAATTTCATCACGGGGAAAGACGTTATTGCCCTTCTTCCTACAGGATATGGGGAAAAGCTTTATATACTAGTTAGCCCCGTTAGCGGTGCATTACATACTTGACTCACAAATAGCAGTGATTGGTTAAATGATAAAAAGTATCCGCCTACTGTCGAGTGAACAAATTCTAACACTGCGAGGTCAGACGGTTTCTACGAAGTGAAACTAGCTGATGAATCAGGCTACTGGAACCGGACCACAGAGCATGAAAAACATCCATCTAACAACAGCAGCTAATTTGTATCACATCTCCTCTCCAAAATTCTTATAACATTCAGAACAAAATAAATAACTTGTTCTACCTCAGATAAATAATTGTTTAGTGCGTTGGTTGTTGATTTTCAGAAAATCAGCATTGTTTCTCAGTCCTTAGTCCTCCTTTTTTATGTGTGTAAGTGTTTTACATGTTTGTTTTTAATCCAAATGGACCATATGTCTCTCTGATTGGTTAATTTGGATATGGTTCCAAATCCACTTATCTTTGTAAGGTTTTGCAAAAGCATAGTAATGTAAAGTAAAGCCATGTAATATTTTGCTGTCTTCCTGTGCTGTGTCTGTGCGGGAAAACCAGCCTTGCAATATGGCTGACACCACCCGGAGAGAGTTCTCCTGGGAAACCTCTTTTATGTCTTTAGCCATATTACAAGAGAAGAAATGGGGAAGAAAAACTCTGCGGGAGCTCTATCGTCATTTACTTAGTTCTGCTTTAAGTGGAAGAATTATCAGATGTATGCTTCAGTTTCTCAATAGAAAACATGTGTTCACTGAGCCTTCACCCACAATTGAATTACAACATAGCATAGTTCAAATGAGTATTGTAAATAGACAAGCAACCTGACTGGCTAACTGTATAAACAAGAACATGTATTATTGTGGTTACAGGTCGAGACTTAGCCAGCACAACTCTACCAGGCTACCCTCCTCATGTCCCTCCCACTGGACAGGGCAGCTACTCCACCCCTTCGCTCACAGGCATGGTAGCTGGTAAGTCTGTACATATACACATTTGATCATCACGAAATTACTCTCTGTTTCTGTCTGTTCAATACACTGGGCTTTACATAAGGCAATATTAAATGTCTGTTTAATATTGCCAGGAGCTGTTGAAATCTGTTTGCCTCCTTTGGCTAGGTGGTTTACAGAATGTTCTTGTCAGTAGCAATGCTGATAGATACTATTTATCCCAAAGGAAATTCAAGTTTAGCTACAGGAACATACTGCACTTCACAGTCGCCTCCGTGTCTCAGTTAAAGGTCTCAGTGCATGTTAACAGAAAGGCTGGTCACGCAGGGTCAGCAGATCCTGTGTCAGAGCAGTTTGAGGGGAATAACAGCACTCAGAACAAAAATGTCCCTCCGCTGTGTTCTGCAGAATTACAGCAGCCTCCAGTGTTGAGTTCACTTAGAGCTAGAAGCCAAGGTTTGTTTTCATCTGTTGCTCTGTGTAACAGAATGAATATACGAGTCGTTAAGTGTTATAATTATACCTTGGTCTAAAACAATGGTTCCCTGCCTTTTCTTTTTCCCAATGACCCCCTTTTACCATGTCATGCACTTTCATCTACATGAGAAGATGAGAAGAAGTCTTATAGGCCAGTCTATTATCATCTAAAAAAAAATAAACTAAACAAAAAACTAAACTAAAAGCAGTTACCAGCCATGCCTTTATTATAATTCAATAATTCAATTCAGAATCTTTGAGTGCTGAACTCCAGGTTGGGAAACTAAAATATAATAGTCTCTGAAATAATAAATCAAAATGTACTTCTTGGTATGATAAATCCTTTAAATGTTGTTGAGATGCTGACTCAAATCTCACATTGTAGGAGACCATAGTTTTGTTCATTTCTCTCTAGTCTTAACTTCCGTCACTTGCACACACCCTCTTACCGTAACCCAGCCGCCCTTCCCGCAGAGCTAACCTGTAACTGTACCCAGTCCCCTGAATTCCCCCCGGAGCTTCTCTTTGTGTATATCTTCAGAGGCTGTATTTAGCTTTGCCACTTCCTTCTTCTTGTCTCCCTCCACTCTGCCTGACAGAGCTCCCAGGGGGCCTTGTGTGTTTGCATGCATCTGTATAGGTGTGTGTTGAGTGTTTGCGTGCGTGTGTGTATCATTAGAAAACAGCCACAGTAGCACAGCTGTCCCTCCTCAACATTAGTAATTTGTTTTTAATGAGAATCACCAGTGACCCACGACTAATTCATTCATTCCCTTCCACTCCGCCTTCCACGGAGCTTTTGTGTTTCAATCTTGGACCAGATTCTCTTGGCTTTCCCTCTGCTTTCTAATATTGGTCAGTGCAAAGTATACCTCAGAGGATAAGACGAAAAAACATCCCCCAAACAACATCAAAACAGTGTTTACAAGTTCTGTCCTCTTTGTATTCCCACTCATTCACTCTCACACATTCTCAGCGGACATGTCGCAACAGCACGTCTAAAGATGGCTAACCCTGTCACCCCCCTGCACTGCCCCGTCCTGCGTTCAGGTTTGACAGCATATTTGTGTGTGTGTGTGTTGGCATGCGATTGTTTGGAAGTGTGCGACCTTGACACAGAGCTACACCCGGGAGAGCCCCCTTAGCCTCCTACAGCTTCCCTCTCTTGCCCACGTCTGCGTCTCCCACACAACCTGACACGTCGCCGTCACTACGGTGATGACAAGGGGAGGGATGCTCGAACCCGGGGATGCCATGGAGACCGCATCACGACCCCACCTGACAGACGCAGATAAACACAAATATATATAGAGGCTTCAGCAAAACAAGAGAAGTCGGTCCACAACTGGATGCGAGCATTGGACAGACCACATAAATACAATATGTTATCCTACTATACTGTTCCACACTATTCTATTCTTAATATTCTACTCTGGTTTAGTGGGTATTTTGAATCAAAAGACAACAACAAGTAACAACAAGTAATTTAATTTAGTTTTATTTTATAAGTGTGTAAAAGAACACAAGGAAACTTATCTTCATAAAATTCATTAGATTTTCATAATGTACGTTATTAGTGCACTACCATCCACTCTCACTTTTCCATTGGGTCTAGTGATAGATCTAAGACATTATTAAGTAATTCTTTCAGGTAAATCTAATTATAATTATACAGAAATGCCAAGAAGAATATCTTCTCTTGCAATGTCAAAACACTTTACACTACACTAACAATTTTACTTAATTTGTGATATAACTAAAATGTACCCATCGCTTACATTGATATTAAGATGACTGTTGTGTTGATTTGTTTCTTCTTCATCTTACCATCATACAATATTAGGGTACCTAAGCTGCTAAACTGCTTCTAAACTCTCCTTTTTGTGGAGCTCTCTTAATGCTGGCTAGAATGAGTGGAGGGGATAATCTCCCAAGTTTGCTTCTTGGACTTGGACGTGTTTTATCTCAGCACTTCTCAGGCAAATTATCCTTCTTTTTGTCCGCTCTGTCTAATATCATACCTTCATTAAGCGAGCAACTCTCTTCCCCTGTTCTTCTTCTGCTGCTGCTCCGTGCGCTCTGTCTGCGCGTGCAGCAGGGGGCTGACACTCGGAGGGGGTGTAGAAGAGCACTGAGGCAGAACCGACAGAACCGAGGCAGAGGGAGGAGGGGGCACTGGGGTCTGTGACTGTCAGCGATGGGAGAGGGATCCCCCGGGACGAGTGAAGGTTCAGGAGAAAAACCAAAGAAAAGAAAGAAAGAGAAAAAATAAAAACGCTGGAGAGTCAGAAGAGGAGAGGGAGAATGTTGTTTTGATGTGAAGGGTGACGGGCGAGCGAGAGCCAGACGTCAGCAGAGAGAGAGAGGGAGTATATAGTGAAGAGGATGAAGGGAAGACGAAAGAACGAGTAGACCCCAGACAGCAAGTAGTAAATGAGGGAGAAAAGCTACGCTATCATCCACAAGGCCGTTACACACCAGCTCAGCTCAACAGTCACTTCCAATAGCCCTCAGGCCAGTACTGCCCATATGAATGTGGACGTACAAGGTTATACCATTTAATGCAATAGAAAAGATCATTATATCCATAAAAGCACTGAGGTGCTTATTCTCCCTCTTGCACAAATGTTTTGTAGGTGTTATATACTAAAATGATAATTTCATAGATTACATTAAAGGCACTACATTATGCAAAAATGACTCTTGTGAGCTTTAAGCCATGTTAGATTGTAGTTATCTCATCAAAAAACATACGGAGAGTTGTGCTTTTTTGCATTCACACATTATTATTAGTCTGTCTGCATCTCCAAAGTTCAAAATGCTCTGTTCCACCTTGTGATGTCATAACAACTGGTAGTTTTCAGGTTAACAGCTCCTTTTACCTTTGAGATTAGAAATTCCAGGGCTGAAATTATCCAAATATTCTAGTGAAGGTTTATGGAGTTTAAAAACACAGTGGAACACATTTTGTATTACCACATGACATCACAAGGTGGAACAGAAAGTTTGAGAAAAAACAGCCTAAATGTGCAGGGTTTGTGTGTTAAACATATGTGAATAAAACAAAACACAACTCCAGGTATGTTTATTTTGAAGAAACATTATATTATATATAATACATTATTGCAAAATAGATCAGAAAATAGTGTAATATGGGCCCTTTAATACGAATGCTTTTGTGAACTCATCTTTATTTCTTGTCTTTTTTGCAGGAGGAGATTTCTCTGGAAGCCCATATTCTCATCCTCAGTATTCAACTTACAATGAATCATGGAGATTTCCAAACCCCAGTTTATTAGGTACGTACAAACACACATCAGACCTCACCTCTAATACTGAACAGTTATTTCTGCTATAAACAAAAATGAATTGTGAATTGTAACCATAGACTGTATATATAAATGGACATAGCTAACCCGAGTAAATTCCTATCAGGAATATGGAACTCGGTTCCAAATTCGCTCCTATAACTGCTAGCATCGTGAGCTTCATTTGACTGGAACCGAACGCTATGGGTCTCTTAGTTCACTTCTTTATGTAGTCTATGATTGTAACATAAGAAGCACGCAACACATCAAATCAATCACATCAGCTATCTACTTATAATTTATAAACAATTCCTGAGCTACTCTGTCATAGGAATTGCTTTGGGGGAACATTTGGGGGTCATATACAAAAGGGAATAAGTCAAGGCCTTTCCTGTTTAAAGATCAAAAGGTGACAAGTCCAAATTAACTTTTAGAAGCTTTTCTCTCACCTCTCCTTCTCTCTTTCTTCGCAGTGTTTCAGCAGGACTATGGCTCTATCCTGGGCACAGAAATCGGCTGCTCCTCCAGTCTCTTCACCAGCCAGGCCGGACAGATGCAAGGTACGCTGAAAAGAGAGAGACAGTGATCCCTAAGTGACAAACTGTAGAAGAAGTGTGGCAAAGGTGCCCTAAAGTCCTGGATGAGACTACATAGTTTATCAGAGGAGCTTACTGCCTCACTTCCCAAAGAGCCCCATGAGATTACCTGCGCTGTAGACAGACATAACCTGCCAGTGTGCGGCCATCTTGATGGATGGAAGTGACAGAGACAGGTGTGAGTGTGGCGGTTTCACTGTGTGTGCTTTTGAGGTTACAGTATTGAATTGACCTCTTCCCTGAGGAGAGAATAGACTCAGGGGATCAGTAGCTTAAACTGGCACTTAGATAGGCTGTTTAAGGTGTGTGTGGGTTACGAGATGAAAAGAAAATCATCAGAAAGAAGAAAGTGGGCTGGCTCGGAGTTCACCTCATTGATCAAACAGTCTGAGAGAAAGCTTTTATAGTCATTAGATTCATCTGCTCATGTCATCTCATAGTCATCCTTTCAGTTCTTACATTAAAAGTACAATACAATCTGTAGACGCTATTGTAACTGGTCATTTCACATTTGCCACAGAGTCAAAGGATAGCTCTATTACATATGCATGTCATTTACTCCTCTGATAACAGTATTCTTGAGTCATTGAGATTCAGAAAGTGGCAGATCATTCAGACAATTAACATTTTCCACATTTGTACTCTGCGATAGAGGACAGCTCCCTTTAAATGAATTGTACCATATAATGTTTTATTAAGTGGCTCAGGGAACAATCATCTGATAACAAGGAGGTTGGTAGGTCAGTCCCAGGCCCAGTCAGTGCACGCTTTTGTCGTGTCCTTGAGCAAGCAGCTTTGCCCATCTTGCCTCTGTGTTATGTGTAGTAGAAGTGGTTGTTGTAGGTGCTTGAATTGGAGGTTGGCAGCCATATTTCTATCAGTAAACCCCAGAACAATTGTGGCTAGAAAGAAAGCATTCACAAGTTTTTTAGACTACTGTAAAATTAAACAAATTCATATCTATGAGGTGCTTTTTGGTGCGGTCATGTGAAATCATGGACTTGAACGATATGATGCCATGATAAAGCAAGCAGCGCATTTACCAGTGTGTCAGAAAATTAACTGATTATTGGTACATTGCAAAAAAGTAAAGTCTTGCCAAGTTAAAATTACTTGAATTAAGAAAATGTGTAAATTTCACATGACAAGTAAAAATTATCTACCAATGGAGCAAGTACTTAGAATAGAAAAATACATTCTCTTTGCTCTAAAATAAGAAACTAAATCGTATTAAATTTCAATCGAGAACAAAATAACTTATTCCATTGGTAAATAATTTAATTTGTTGAGTCAAATCTACTGAAATCAAACTAAATGTTCTTCATTTGCATTTAAACTTACATAGATATTACTTTTTGCAGTGTACATGAAATAATTAACCACTGTTACTGAGATTCTAATTCTGTCTTAATTGTCCAGTATCGATTTGTATTGATGTTAACTCATTCACATGTCCACAGGGTCACCATACTACTATAGTGCGACGTCCAGAGGGGCTGGCCCTGCTGCTACTGCTACAGCCTCAGCCTACGACCGCCACTGACCCCCAGGACAACATGTGGGAGGGAGTGATAGCACCAGGACATCTCAGAACTTAACATTGTGAAGACCATTCCAGTTAGTTAGGCTGACGAATAGTTTAGCAGCAGCTGTTGACATCATGGACATGTTTCTGAACAAGTCAGTGGGATCAGAGTGCAGTTGAGTGAGTTCATCAGTGTAAACCTTTCTGCAAATTCACTGTCAATCAATCTTGTATCTATGCCATCCAACAGTGATGTAAAGACAATCCAACTCCCAAAACTATTAATGACCAAAATCCACCAAATCATTGTCATTTTGTCACCTTTTCTGAAATATCTCAAGCAGGAAAACAGACATAGTTGCCATCCAATTCCCACTGCATTTTAAGCTTTACAAAACAAAAGACATTTAAACCAGATGAAAAGCACAGCCCCAAATCTAAATGAGCCAGGGAGTGTCACTAAATGAAGGTGCTATCCTGCCCCCACAGCCCAGATATAAGAGCTATTTATAATGAAGGAGAAACAGAGTAATATATTATGAAGCTTTTCTGTGCTATGGGAGTGACTACTGCCTGTAATGATTTATAATGTGTGTCAAGCTGTTGTGATAGAATAGTGATGATGACCGAGCTGACGCAGTGACATTTCTTCATATTACAAAGTCTTTGTTCATAAATGTAAACTGACTGCGATATTTCTCGCCTGGTATCAGTCGACACAAATGCCATGTTGATTCCTGAAAACAGGAAGTTATGGAACTTAATACTGTCTTTCTATTTCTCTTGAAACTCCCCAAAGATGGGCCCCCCTAGTGGATCGGCTGACAACAACAAAAGCACAAAGAGACTCAATCATTTCTGCATTTTCTCCTCCCTTTTCTTCTGTTACTTTACATCTTAAAACTGTTCTATGGTGTTAATGAAACTGCCTGGTGAATTATAAGTAAACAAATGTCTGCCACATTGGTTCTGCGCAGTGACAATGCATGATGCCAGGGTTGAGGCCTTACCCATTCACATTCATCAGAGAAGCATAACTTTTCCCTCTTTCTGCTTAATATAAACTGTTTTTGTAACTTTCCATCCAGACAATTTTGTACAGTGATCAGTGAAATAGAAAAATACAAAGTCACAATGTTGATAGGTATTTGAAATACTCCCATGAAAATTTAGCTTTTAGTGATGAAGCTTTCTTTGACAAAGGTGTGTGGTGTTGTTTTAGCCATTGTCTGCGAGTGTTAATCCCAGTTTCATTGTTTTGGGTAAGACTGTTCATTGCTTCTGTAGTTTACTAGAGAACATTTTGGACACACCACATAGTATGTGGCATAACATAAAAATATATAAAAGTATACAACTAAACAAAGCTATTAGTTTCTCAACCTGTCGTTGTTTCTGAGTTTTGAGCAAGTAAATAGAGCTTATCCTTTTGTAGAGTTTGAAAGTTGTGAGCAAACAACTCTAAAAAACATTTTAATGAACGGCTTGCCCGCTGTGCCGAGCAGTGGGGAGCATTTTTCTTTCCATCCTGTATTTTCTCTCAAACTTTGAGGCATTATCAAACCTGAACCACACCAGCTAAAAACAAGGACAGTGCCTTTAGTTTTCTATGTCGACAGCCCCCTTTGCTGACCACGTGTCTCTAAAACCGGATTCAGCCACCCTTGTATGAACTTTTTAAAGCAGACGGTGATATTAGTACCAACATATTATTGTACAAACTGCAGTGAAATACTAAAAAGGCACAACAAATTAAAAAGCCACAATGTTGTTACCCTGTACAAAAGCATTACGTCACACACTAGCGTAAACAGGAGTCAATCCTTGAGGAAGTCCTTGAGGCGGTGAATCAGCTGTGTCCAAGAAGCTGTGACACCAAACAAGTCTCTTCTCCATTAACAGGATTATTTGTTAACTATGCATCTTCATAAGGACACATCCGGGCTTGCCATTGCTTTGACCTAATTGGCTCACATTGTTGGGGGAGAGGACAGATGCCAGAGTCGATTGGTAGCCGTGACATTGACTGCAGTTGGTGGTACGTACATACACTTTACGCTACAGTACAGGCACATGAGGACACACCCCCTTTTGTCCTTTAGCGCTGTGGCCCCTCCCTCGTGCCCTGCATTCCCAAGGGGCGCCCAAACCTGCTGTGCCATCAGAAGCTCATCCCGTTTTTTTGCTCTAATCTCATCAGAATATCTCTCCTCATGCCGTTCCTCTGCCACACACCGGGCCAGATTAGGAATATTAAAACTGCTCCGCCGACCTCCCTCAAAAAGCTCTTTTCTTCACACAGCGCATTAATCCCCTTTCCTCTCTTTTGCGGACTTCTCTATCTGACCATTCGCACAGCTGTGTAATGAAGAAGTCCCGTTTGTATAAAGCCGGGTCATTTCAATGGCAAAATCACACATTTAATTTACACTGAACCATAGACTGTATATAAAAATGGACATAGCTAACCTACTAGTCGCTGCATTACAAAGAAGAAGTGAACACGGGGGCACTTCCGGCTAGGCTGATTCATCAGCCGGTTTCACTTTATGGAAACCGTCTGACCTTGCAGCATTAGGATTCGTTCGGTCGACAGTAGGCCGGTACTTTTTTTTATTTAACCAATCACTGCTATTTGGTTGTCACGCATGTAATGCGCCAAATCCCCTAGGAAGAAGGGCAATAACGTCTTTCTCCTTGATAAATTTCACCAAACCTTCTCTTTGTTCCGGCTTTAAATCCTCAATCTCGGGAATTGTTGCCAACACAGAATGTATGGCTTCGTCTAAATCTCAACCACTTTGTTTACTATTATGTTGGACTACAAAAGGAACCCAGACAGGTGCTTGATTTTGACATCATGGCTTCACAGCTCTTCGTTGATTGACTGATGCCCGGACTCGCACTTCCGGTGTTCTTGCAAACCGTATAGTGTATTCCGATTCCTGACCTAGTCGCTGGAGAGAAATTAAATTGAGCGTAGGCACTAGGTGGTGCCGGCCTGGCTATCTTCCAGCTCCATCGACTCTGTTTCCATTTAACTTTATATTGAAAAATTGTCACCCCTCTCTTTGTAACTGCTGCAGTGACCCGCGTGATTTTGGTTTGGTTTTTATTTCACTATTTTATACATAAATTCAAAAAAAAAAAAAAAAACTATTCCCAGTATGAACCTGGCTCCAAATTCGCCCCTATAACTGCTAGCCTCATGAAATTCATTTGACTGGAGCTGAATGTTAAGGATGGCGTCACATTCTGTTAGTCCACTTCTTTATACAGTCTATGGGTCGAAAATGCTTTTGCAACCACAGGCAGTAGAAGAATAAAGGCTATACCTAAAGTGGCTCCAAGATGCTAGAGGCAACTCTCAGAATTATCTCAGTATCTTGATGAAATTATAGTACCTGATTTTCAACTGTAACCACTGAGTTCCAAAGTCCTTTTTCAATAGTATAGTACAAAAAATCCATTGGTTTACTAAGCAGTTCTAGTCTACGTTAATAACATTCCCTTTTTTCCATATCAATTGATTTTCTCTGTCACCTTTGAAATTTCTCATGAGTATCACTAGACCCAGTGATGTAGATAATGGATTCCAATTCTGAATTATGCCTAAACTGTAATTCTTGTACCAGAGTTTCTTCTGTCTGTGGTTTCAGTATTCAAAAATATCACCCCGAACTCTCTCGTCCAAGTCAAAAAGGGAAATACATGTAAATGAGCTTTCTTTTTTATTATGACTTCTCTCAGCAAGTGTGTAGCGTCTGACTGTATCTCAATACTAGCCCTTGAAGATGGCTACTGCCTGGTGTAAAACCTGGGGGGATTCCGGCATCACTTCTTGACAGCAATTAGTGGCACAATCTGTTTCACGCTTGCTAATATAACTAGGCTTTGGACATATCTGCTACTGAAGTCTTACAATGCTCTGTACATCTTAATATTATTCAACTGTGGAAAAAGGGAGACGAACATAGGACTGAACCTACAAAATCGACTGCTGTTTTGTAATCCGATCAATCCAATCAAAAAATACATACGTTTTCACCTTACTGTGGCCTTTCGTGTAACAATCCCGAGTTTGTATTGTCCATGGCCTCCTATTTGAGGTGTTAAAGGGGTATTTAACCTATGGCATTTTAGAAATAATATCAAAGCATCAAAAACAGAAAATATCCGCTTGATCGATCCTTCAAAAGTCAAACTAAAATGTCAGCATATCTGTACTGCTCACCAAAGCCTGTGATGCCTGTTTAAACAACATAGTCTTGTACAGAAAACTATTAAATTAACAGAAAAGAATTTCAGATACAAACATTAGATTAAGTTCAGAATTGCCTTCAAATATTCTGGAGGGGAGGATTTAAAAAAGTAAAACAAACGCTTCTTTAAGAAAATGTGTATGTTTTATATTCAATTTTCTAGTAGTTGCAAACAAAACTTGGTGTTTTTTCTTCTTGTGTGTTGTGTGTTGTCTTAATATTTGAATGTATTTTACTGCAGTGAGAATTTGCCAAAGATATCATATCACTGAATTTTGTTTTTCCCTCTGGTTTAGTTTTTCATAATTGTGACCAATTTCTGTCAAGAAAATTGTGTATTTGATATTCAGCTTTTTTATTATTGCTATTAATATTATTGTTATTTTATTCCTTTTTTTTTTAGTTTACTGTGAAATGGACAAATAAATTGCAGTTTGCTTGATGCATCTTCATACTCTGTGTACCTGTCCATCACCTGAGTGACTGTTGTTGGTGAATTATTCCATTTATGTACCTGTAATGTGAAGCTAAGAAGTAATTATTTGTAAATATTTGCCATAATTTTATTGATCCTTCAGAATAAAAAAAATAATTTTGGAAGTTAAATGTGTGTCCCTGCAGCTCTGTTTCTGTCCTAAAGCATTCTGCAATTACATTCTTATAACAAAATATTGACTATTATATTAAAAGTATATTAGCTGGTTAAAATATATTACATGAAAGTTGTGTTTAGAGAAAGAACATTTAATTTAATTTTGTATTGTTTTAACTTTAGTTTAATGAAACACATCCATGTATAAAGCCTACAAAACCTTTCAGGGAGTCCCGGCCTGGTCTGCAGTTTGGCTCGGGGCCCACTGTTGACAGGGGCAGTAGCGTGCGTGTGTGGATGAATATTTATCACATTGTGGGGACTAAAATCTGTACACACTCTCATTATGGGGACCTCTCTCCCTTATCGGCACAAAATCCACCATCGCATAAATCAGTTAGACATGGGTTAAAATAAGTCAAGGTTAAGGTTTGGGTGAAGATTAAGCAAGTAGTAACTATGGTTAAGGTTATGATCAGTCTACAGGAAATTAATGTAAGTCGATGTAAAGTCCCCGGGAAGCATGGAAACCCTACATTAGTGTGAGCGTTTGTGTGGGGGTGATAATAGGACACAAGGCACGACATGGTAACAACACAGCAACAACAGTACTCCTCCATCTTGAGAAACAGGTCACACTGTCCGCACTCCGGGCTCATGTCCAGGACTCTGCTCACTGCTGTGTGTCTATATCACGGGTGTCCAAACTGTGGCCCAGGGTCAAATGTGGCCCTCAGAACAGTTTTTGTGGACCCTCAGGCTTCCAGCTTAATTTGCACAAATGATCATGGCATTACGTTTTAATGGCAATAAGTTAAGCTTTGTGTATCACCTAAAAGTACAGTTCAGAGGACCCAAAACACAGGACTGCAGTTCAAGCTCTTTAATAACAAACGAAAAGACCCAAAAATCCATAAAACCAAAAATTAAAAAAACACTGACAATGACAATTACAATGGTTTACCCTGCGTTCCATTATCCTTCTGAATCGGTTTTTCGAGCAAGTTGCCTAGAGACACGTGTGACATGCCCCCTTTCCTGGGATGGCACAACTCGGACCTCGGTAGCAGCAAGGATTCCGAGTCAGAATCCAAGATGGCTGCTCACACTGTGACATGTAAACATGAACAGTTTTCATTGTGTTTGGACACTTTGGTGGTTTAAATAGCAATTTCAGTCACTCGTATTACTCCAATACCTTACCACGTCCGTATCACTGCCTACGGGTATGGTAGTCAGTGTTGTGGTGAGGTTCTCTGAGTCTGACACTCAAAACATAATAATATGCTTCAAGCTCGGACATGACGTCAAAACTGAGGTTCATGTGGGAGTCAGAAAATAATCGAACACAGGGCTACAAAGGGCACAGGAGAACACAGGGTGTTCACAAATATAGGTGTAACACTTTAGGGCGGGGCAAACAATCAACAGAAAGGAAGTAAAACTCAAAACTAGAAGCAGAAAGGACAAATGTCAAAATAAAACACCAACGGCACACAACGCTAAAGGAAAAAGCTACACCAAAATAAGCAATAATAATAATAAGCAAACACAATGACTACAAAAGATGAACCATGACTGTTCTAGGGATATTAAATAGACACTGCATTGACCATTGATCTGTGTCCCTCCTAAATGTGTTTCCATATTCTGCCCTCTGTAGAAAAAAAAAAAGAAAAAATGTTCAGAGACCCCTGATCTATATTTTAACATCATGTGCCTTTCTTGTGAGCCAGTCTCATGTTCTTGTATGAGAGATATTTTGCATTGCTATATTTCTACTTTTATTTTACCTGTACACATACATTTTTATGGTTATGCCTTATTTGACACCAATCTCTTGGTATTTTGGGGACTTATTTTGAATGTATTATTATCATTTATATTATTGCTCTGTGTTATTGTAATATATTGTGATATGTGAGCTACTGTGTCCAAATAATTTCCCTTGTGGATGAATAAGTTTTGTTTAAGTCTAAATCTATACATGTGTAATTGTAATTGTGTTCCCATTAAAAAAGGAACTTACAGGAAATTATATTAGGCTATGGCAGCAAGTTTGTGTTGTTGCTTTTTAAGAAGTTACTCTGTCTATTCATTAGAAAACAAACTGAGAAACTGGCAAAGTCAGTAACCAGACCTGTTGCCCCCAAACCATCTTGTGGAAAAAAAACAAAGAAAAACAAAGAATGTTGAAGTAGAGTTGTGTATCTGAGCAGAGCTGTGCTTGTAAGCGAACATTACGATGGTTTATCAGCTCAGTGTTTGACAGAGTTTAGTTTAACATCCATGTGACATTATATGGCCCTTGACTCTTCTGCCTCTTCTTTGATTACATAACACTAAATACTGACAGCTCTATCTCTCCTATACCCTCTTGTTCTTCCTCTGCACACGAAGCAGACACACAACAATGGTACTTATGGAGGCCAAGAAGTCATGCAAATTAACGTCAGTCAGCATTGGTACTTTTTGGCCCTCCCATGCCCCTGTAGGGGGGAGGTGTGGTGCCAGCTGAATATAATTGGGCCTCAACTTATTAGTGAAAAGCAGTTTGTACAGAAAAAATGAGTAGAGCTTTTAAGAGCCAAGTCCTGCAGATAGAAAAGGAAAGAATGACCAAACAGGAAATGAACTGATTCAACACAAAAGCTGCACGTTCTGCTGCTGTTTCATTTATTCTATTTTCTCCACTGGTCATTAATGCGCAATTATGCTTATGTAAAGTATATTTGAGTTTCTCACACATAATTCATTAGGAAAAACTGCCCTGATTAAGCTATCTTGGTAGAAAACAGTTTTAAAAAGTCTAGTTATTTCTATTTAACTCGCTGATAACTACTGTAATAATTGTCCTCAAATTCAAAACAATGAAAGATACAAAATTATAGAGATTACATTATCAAGCTATATGTGAAGCAAAGATTTCAGTGTTTTTTATTTATACATTCTACAGTTTTTTGTTTCAGTAGACAGGCCACAAATGGTGATATTTAAGGGCTTACTTGCATATATAAAGTTTATAAAGTTTAGACACATATTTGTAGAAGCAACTACATTAAAAGTAATCATTAAAACAAACAAAAAGTAAAGTAAGAAAGTATGTATGATATCGCCTATGCATTTTAATAGGCAATTTATTGGATGGGAACCATAAAGTAACAACTAGGAGTGACACCTCATTTTGTCCAATTAGGCATGTTGTTGGACGAGAAATATGTGGAAGCAACTGCCTGGGACGAGAAGGGACTAAGGAGACACAGGGCAGAGAAAACAATTCAAGCAGAACCATGTTCCTCACTCATAAAGCAAAAATGATGCAAGGTAATGTTGTTCTCTTAATTATTCCAATGGTTTTAATACTTACATGATAAATAACCTTTTCAATGTGATCAATATTCTCAGAGACACCTAATAAAAGTTCTCTTTGGAAACTAAAAATAAACTGAAGTAGTCTGAAAGTTGGAAGAAGAGGCTTGACCCTGGAGTAACACAGAAAGTTTATTTTACAGTACAGGGAGTATTATACCTCTGATGATATAGACCAATATAAAAAGGAATGAGTTGGCAGTGAGAGCCCTCAGTACAGCACAGACATGGAATTTCTCTAAAAGTTACATTATAAACCTGAACCAGCCTTCTAATTTTAAGATATCAAAATAAAAAAAGTTATTTTTTTTTAAAAAGAAAAAAAGTTCAGAGACCCCTGATTTATATTTTTACATCATGTGTGTTTCTTGTGAGCCAGTCTCATGTTGATGTATGAGAGATATATTTGTATTGCCATATTTCTATTTTTACTTTACCTGTACATGTAAATGTTTATGCTTATGCCTTATTTGACTAGCCAGGCTGGTGCTACCTATTGCCTCCACTCAATTTCATTTCTTTCCAGTGACTAGGTCAGGAATCAGAATACACTAGACGGTTCACAAAAACCCCAGAAGTGAGAGTTCGGTCACCAGCCAATCAGACAAGAGCCATACATTCTGTGTTGGTAACGATTCCTGACATCGAGGATTTAAAGCCAGAACAAAGAGAATGGTGAATTTTATCAAGAGGAAAGATGTTATTGTCCTTCTTCCTATGGGATTTGGGAAAAGCTTAATATACCAGTTAGCTCCATTAGCGGCGCGTTACATACGTGTCAACCAAATAGCTGCGATTGGTTAAATAGAAAAAGTGCCTGCTTACCATTAAGCGAACGATTTCTGTCACTGTGAGGTTGAAACCGGCTGATGAATCAGACTATTATTTGACACCAGTCTCTCGATATTTTTTGTACTTACTTGGTAACTATTTTGAGTATTATCTCTAATGACATAGGCCAATATAAAAAGTAATGAGTTGGCAGTGAAAGCCCTCAGTACAGCACAGACATGGAATTAATCTAAAAGTTACATTATAAACCTGAACCAGCCCTCTAATTTAAAACATCAAAATATTGAAATCAATTTTATATATGCTCTCCCAACACTTTTACCTCTGATAGTTGCTGTCTCCATCAACCACACAAACACTCCTGGCTATCCCACTTCCACATGAGAAAATCTGGTTTGACCTTTTCCCAGATGACATGTCAACCTCACAGTATTCGTCCTACATGCTTCTCATTGCCCTTTTACAGCAAATCACCAACACGCACTACATTACACTGGCATGTACAGTACTTATGTCTGCCTGGTTATGTCTCCCACTGGACATCAGAAATCATGTTAACTTTTTATACACTATGTCTGTTCTGTCCCACATCATCAGATATACCTCAAGATGCTTCGCTGGCAGTCATTTAAACAGTGCAGTGAACTAATAGCTGGACTAATACGTCTACACTTCTGGGGTTTTTTCTGACACTATGGGGAGAGAGAGGGAGAGGGTTGACAAGCAGCAGACCCCTCTTTGCCCTCCCGTCTGACTCTGTCTATCTAGCACCAGCTCCCAGAGGGTTTGTCTCTAAGGATAGTGCTATGATGAATAGGCCTGTCTCAGCTAACCTAGCAGAGACCAATTAGAGAGAAGAAGAAAAAGAAAGAGGGGATAGGAAGCCAAAAGGAAGATATGGAGAGGATGGGAGAAGGGCAGATAGGTTAAAAAGGAGGTATAGGATTGGGGCAGGAAGTTGAGACAGTGCATTGACACTGGAGCGGTGTGTGTGGGCGAGCTGTCAGGGCTGAGGGAGAGGCTCTGTGTGTGAAGGGATACCAAGTCTTAACCTCGTACGCTGCTGCTGCTGCTGTGGAGACGCTGACAGCACAAACAGAGGACTTTTGCAAAAACACAAACTCCTCTAGAAAAAGCACTGTTATGCAATATCCCCACCTTCTTTATACATTATAACATTTTATAATACAGCCACTGGGAGAAACAGGTTAAGTCATTCCATGTGCCAGTTCCAAACCAGGATAAATGAGAAACGTTGTATCAGGAGGGCATCTATGGTTAAGGTTAAAGGTGCACTATGTAACTTTTTTGTTGGGGGTCCATCACCTACTCATTTGTATGGATATGTTATTTGTCTGCCTGTAATGTACCACAGTATGGTATTAAACAGTTTAATACATTTATTAAATTCCAAGTGGTTTTATAGCTCAAAAATGCCAAGAAAAACAGGCATTCTGTCTCTCCACAGGTCTGACCTGTGACTTGGTCTGGTTTGGTCTCCATAAAGATAGAAAGGTTTAATAGATAATACATTCAATACATTCCACCTGCCACCTGAAAAGTTATACATTGCACCTTTAATGACAAGATAAGATAAGATAAGACAAAATTTAATGTCCCAAAGGGGAAATTTGTCTTGGACTTAAAAACACAGTAACACTCACACACACACTACAGTCAGACAACAAACGGAACTTATCACAAGACACGTGTCCATTATTCATGTCCATTGTCCATTTGTGCTCTGCACAACCATAAAATATCTAAGTTATCCAAGCACCAGCCTAGTGACCCATTCTTCAATGCTTCTCTGTGATCTTGAGCTAGGCTTGGTCAGGACTACTTTAGCTGCAAGATTTTACCATGCATGTTTAGGATGAAGAGCCATATTTGCTGTTATTAAAAGGTTGGAAAAAGGCTTTGGTGTATGGTGGCACTGAATGTCTTTATTGTGCTAATGTGTACACTGGGGTTCTTTATGGGTTCTTGCACCTTTGGTAGTGCCCTTTACATCCAAACTATGCAGAGTTTGATGCTCTAACTATAATTTTGATGTTTTTCCATGACAATGACAATAAAACCTTTAATCTTTAATCTGAATTTAAAAAATCTGAACTGAAATTGAGCAAGAAATCAACAGTTTCTCTGGGGTCCTTCCAATACAATGCACTGTTGTCCAAAATTTACTTTAAAAGGTTGGGTCAAAATGGACTGCAAAGATTTCCTTATATGAACAGATTTTTTTTTTCAAATAGGCAAGGTGGCACGTGTGAAATAATGCAACAAAGACACACACATAAATTAAAATTGTGTTTGGCTACTCAAGTATTTATTCAAATATTTACAAGTTCCGTTTGGCATGAACTTAAACAAAAGTCATACTGTATATAGTCATTGTATCTTAAATGGCTGGTGTTCTTGTTAACCGTGTCAATAGAAATTTGTGACCCTTTTAATAGTTCTAATGCCCTTTAAATGTATTGTCAAACTTGATAAAAAACATTTTCTTTCTAGCTGGAATTTGGCCTTGTTTCACATCGCCCCACGTCCTCAGTGTTCACTGCCAAACTCATTTACAACTTTCCCAAATATTTGATAAATAGCTTTGGGCTGCTCTCCTATCACTTTCAGAATTAGGGAAGCTTTCTCTTGTTCTGTTCTTGTTCCTCTGCTCTATCAATGCCATCCTCTTCCCATCTCAGAGACAATTACAAACATCCCGCTTCCCCATTTATCACTAACAATTAAACCGCGCGGCAGACACAGGCTACTTCATAGAGAGAGGAAAGGGGAGAGTCAACAGTGAGACAGAGAGAGGAGGGCTGACAGCACAATTAAGGTTTTTAATTCTCTGCTTGAGTGGGCCGGTCCAGTCTTTATGCTAATTAGGATGCCACGGCCATGTAATAAATCTCTATGATCCAGCCTCATTTCCCCTCTGTCTTTTTGTCTGTCTCTTTTAACACACATGCGCACACCCACACGCACACACTCAAGCGCTAAAAGTTCACTCATTCTTTTCACATGATACCCAGTTTCATTTGTTTGTTGTTCGATCAATCATGTTTTTGTTTTTTTGTTTTTAAATAAGTGCAATTTTAAAGAAATATTTGAAGTCAAAGTAATACCATTTTAAGTTTTATATTTATGTTCATTTTCAGAAGAGTAACTTAAAATTAAATTCAATCCATTCAACGTAATAATATTATCCATGGACGGAAAAGATTTTTAAGGTGCACTGTGTAACTTGACGGGTAGACGGTTCACCATCTGTTAGTATGGAGATGTTACTGCTTTGGGCTGGAATGTTGTACTACAGTAAATGGTCACATTTTTATACAGCGCTTTTCCACCTTCAAGGCACTCAAAGCACTTTACAACAAGGAACCACCCATTCATACACCAGTGTACGCAGACACTGGGGCGAGGTGGGTTAAGTGTCTTGCCCAAGGACACAAAGACAGCATTCATGTGGGTACTGGAGATCTGACCGCTCATCCAATGATGTTTATGTCGAGAGCAGGAGTTGAATCGCCAACCTTCAGATCAGTGGACAAACGCTCTACCATCTGAGCTACTGCCGCCCAGTATGGAAATAAACGTATGTATCTCCATGGAGACGTCACCAACCCAAGTTACAGGTCAGATCTGTGACGAGGCGACACTAGTAACATAATGAATGCATGTTTGTATGGTATTTTTTCAATTAAAAGACCTGAAATAAATGCTCGATAGATGACTGTGTAACACTCCAGGCAAAGCAATAACGTTTCCATGGAGACAAGCAAGGGACAGACCAGAGAAATTACACAGTGCACCTTTAAATTATTTGCAACACTGGAATTTGCAGCATACATGAGGAGTGTATAGGAGTACAAGAGAATCCTTTGAAATGAGACAAATTAAAATACTACACTAATATTAACATACTAATACTAAGACTTCTTATAATTTGCTTCCATCTATAAAAGAAAAGTAGCACTGAGAATAATCTTTTGGGCTCCATCCTTCTCAAAAGCTGAAAATATAGCTTCATTGTTTTCATATATTGTTTGCTGTTCAAAATGTATTATGAACTGCTAGCGCAAACTGAAAAGGCTGAAAAGGGTCTTACAAAGAAAGACACCATTATTCTGTAAACACCAATTGGATTTCTAAAAGCCCGTGTGCACTCATGAACAGTTTTAACTCTTGTTTCTTGTGCTGTCCATTGCCTGTCCTGGTTAATGCCTGCTGGAGCAATCTTGCCTCAGTGCCCACGAAACTCACTTTCTACACTTTCTCTCACTGTTAACTCCCTTTATTAGTATTTCTCAGGACGATCTATTGCGATGTACACAGAAAACTTAATACCAGTCAAAAGCGGAAAACCTCCTTTTCTTCCTCTCTGCTGTTTCCCTTCTCCCTCGCTCATCTTCATTTGACGGACATATCTAATGAAAACACTGGTAGATAGGGAGAAAACAGTACAACAATCCGTAGATAATTGGGAGATAGATAAGTGGACTAGGGCTTGAAGAGGCAGCAAGCACATATATTTTCACCCTCATTTAGGTCACATGGACGCTCACTAATCAGAGCTTTTCTTCCTGTTGCTTCTCTAGTGCTTCTCTAAGCCAATTTACACACAGGGCCGGAGTAAAAATGTACTGTGAAATGTTAATTTAATAGATGAAGGTAAGGCAGCTCCAAACAAATTGACTTCAGCTTGGTATTTTCAGCCTTGATGTCCAACTCTACTTGTAGAAACTTTGTGCAGGCTCGATATATTCTTCTTTTTCATATCCTGTTTGGCCAAGTGGGATTTGGAGAGGGTCAAAATAGCAACAACCGCAAGCACCAAAGAGAGATGAAGAAGATACAGAGCCACTTGCAAAATGGTGAAGACGAATGAGAGACTAATAGAAGCAATGCACCATGGGAAGGCCATCAGCAAAAACCAGGAGTGATGCAGGATGTTTAGGACGAGAGCTGGAAGGGACAGGACCAGTCTGAGCGTGGTGGACATCAGCCAGGAGTACAGGGACAGAGGGGAGAGGAGCAGGGACACGGTGGAATCACTCAAAGAAACATCCTACAAAAAAAAAACAAACAGATATGCATAATTAAATATATTCTTCTTCTAAAATGTCTATTATAAGTTCAAATACAGTTAAACATGTATTCCTAGTCACATTTTTATAGAGTAGTTTTCCACCTGCAAGGCACTCAAAGTCCTTTACATCAAGGAACCACCCAGTCACACACACATTCATACACCACTGTACGCAGACACTGGGGAGAGGTGGGTTATGTGTCTTGCTCAAGGACACAACTCAAGCAGCATTCATCCATAGGAGCTTGAATCACAACTTAACCAATGGTATTTATGTTGCGAGAAATTCGAACCTCCAACCTTCAGATCAGTGGGGAAACACTACAAACTGAGCTACTATTGCCCACTCCTCACTCCTCAATTCCTCGTTCAACCTTCATGGTGGAGAACTACCCACAGGTACTTGCAGGCTTGTAACAATAACAAATTTGGAAGCATGATCCAGCATGATTCTATTGCGACAGAACTACTTAAGTCTTGCCCAAGTACACAATCCAAAAATATATTTCACGACCCTCTTTGTGAACTAACTAACTATTGCAATAAACGTAGCCAGACTTTATTGATCCACAAGGTAAATCATTTGGACACAGTAGCTCATGCATCACAATATATTATAATAACAAAGAACAACAATATAAACGTTAATAATAAATTCAAAAATAAGTAGCAAAAATAGCAAGAGACTGTTGTCAAATAAGGCATAATTATACAAATTTATATGTGCACGTAAAAATAAAATATAGAAATATAGTAATACAAAATATATCTTTGCTATATCCAAAAAGTAAATCTTATTAGAATATTTTTACCTTACAAGGAGTATAGTTGCTGCTGGACATGTGGGACTTCTGAAGCCCTACGTGTGGTACAAAATGGGTGTTAGCAGAGAGAATTGTAATGCATGAAAACTATTAAAATATGACTCCTACTTACACAAGAAAAGGAGAATAAGAGCCAGTCCAAGCAAACCCCTCATTGTGCTGCGTCTATATAAACAGTTACAAAAGAAGCTGGCATAAAGGTGGCATAATCCGCTCAGACATTTGACCCACATTTTGTATTTTAAGAAGTTTAAATGGAGCAGGACCAGGAGTGCAAACGTGATATAAAGATATAGAAAGTTTTCTGTTTCTTTCTTTTTTTTTTTTTTTTTTTTTTTTAAATAAAGCAAGATAACATGTCAATATGTAACAGACCATAAATATATTTAGCTAATATTCAACTCAAGCCTAAATTAAAAAATAAATAGGAAATCACAAAAATTTATTGAAATATTATTCTGTACCCTAACTCTGTACTGTGTCGCCAAAAGGTAAATAAACAATATTTGACCAAACATCAATTAAATATGGAGCATTCTTTGGAATTACAGTATAGATAAACTAATGTAATCTGACAAGTAATCATTTAGAACTTCATGATAATTTCCAAGTCAATAATAATCCAAGTAGGAAAAAAAAACGTACCAATATTGTTCCAGTCTGCAGCTCAAAAGCTCTGCCTCCCTCCTAATGCCCTGAGCATCTGATCACAGCTGCTATGTTTGGGACTGGCAAACTTTAGGGCTTCCTCTCAACAGGGTGGCACAATTTTGTATTTTAGCGCCATCTGTTTGAAAGGAGGGGTAAGGGCTGAACCTAAATGATGTAATCTTATTTACCACATTAGAGAATCAGTTTACAACAGTCAAATTATACTGATTAAAATAAAGTCTAATAATTCTACTTGCCCATATCCCCACAGTATACATATTTGTACAACATAATTAAAGGTAATATAATGCACAAAACTGAAGAAATGTTGTAGTGTTGACTGTTGTCATAGCAAAAACATACCTGGAGTTGTGTTTTGTTTCATTCATTCATGCCTGTTTGAGTAACCCTTTATTATTAGTTGGTTTAAATCTCCAAATCAAAATAAATGCTCTGTTCCACCTTGTGATGTCAAGAAGCGATATTTTCATCCAAATTATTGTAGTGAAGGTGTATGGATTTTAAAAACACAGTGGAGCATGACATCTCAAGATGGTACAAAATGTTTTCCGTTTGAGAGAACTCACCCTAAATATGAAGGATTTGTGTGTTAAACATGTGTGAATGAAACAAAACACAACTTGAGGTATGTTTTTAACAAAGAAATGTTATAACATGGATCATAAAATAGTGTAATATGGGCCCCTTAATCATTTCTAAATAAATTGTGAATAATTACAATAATCATATAACAACTTAACCCCCAACTTTACATATGGTCCTATTTCCTCGGTCCAGCTGTTGTCCACACATGACCAGTGAACCCATTTCCTGCAGGAGTCACAGCCCCTCATAGTACCATGATATATTTTTACTTGTTTACTCTCACCTTCACCTCTGTCTTAAACTGTCACGTACCCCCCACTCTCCTCAGACTCTATTAACCCTCCCTTATAATCACGGCAACCCATCTTTAATCTCCAGCCTCCTACCGAGATGCCAAGGAGAGCCTGCCCCAAATGCGTGCCCATCAAGCCCCACCACTGTCATGAATAAGTGGCCTCCTGCCTTTGAACATGTGGAGTGCAGGAATGCTCTATCTGTATTATGCACACGAGGTACATTTATTACATACAACACACAGCCCGGGGCAATGATCATTATTGAAATTGTGCTCCCAACTGCCGTTCTTGCAATAACAATGATCAGCCCCCATTTTCAGCGCACAAAATACATTTACAAGGCTTTGGTTGCACTGTTAGGTTTACAGTGGAGCAGGTGAGGAAGTGAAGCTGGATGTGTGGAAATGCTATGTAAATTGGATAGATTATGATTATGTAAACCTGTTCTAATTCTTCTAAATGCAAATACCAAATCAAACCACAAGCCAGCTCCACAATGAATTTTGACACAAGACATGTTCAGGGCAAAACTGCTGGAGACATTCAAACTAAACATTAGAAAAGGGAAGGTCTTTAGTGCTTACTGCATGTTTTGGTTTTTGTTTTTTTAAGATATTTTTCCAGGACATTCACTCTAAATGTCTATGCCATGAAAACCTTTGAAAATTATTTACCATCATGTGATAAGATCGATTACAATTTACATGTAGGATTTCTGTTTTGCCACTAATACTGCCACTGCTACTACTACTTCTTCTACTACTATTACTGCTGCTGGAATTGCATTCTTGGGAAAGACCACTGGTGATACCCAAACATTTGAATTTCTATTTTTACTAATGCTGCTGCCATTACTACACTGAAATTGCATTATTGAGAAAGACAACAGCAACATTGTGATTTCTATTTTACTACTAGTACTGCTACTGCTGGAAATGCAATATTGAGAAAGACACCATTCATGATACCAAAATTAGGGTGACCAAACATCCTTATTTACTTGGGACAGTCCCAGTTTTGAGCCCTGTGTCCCCTGTCCCAGCAGATTTATTCAAAACCAGTGATTTGTCCCAGTTTCATAAAAGAAATGTCCCAAATGTCCATATTTTTGACCAGTTTGATGCTTGCCAACAGTAAAGAGGCATAAAGAGACACTTGTTTAGGTAAAATACAGGAAAAACTGCTTAAAAATGACCAAAACATTAAGAAAATGTGATTATACTGAGTCAGATGTTTGTCATGAATGGGCCAAGTGCAGAACAATTCTCCTTAATTACGCACTTGTTTTATTATTACCAACCATCCCAAACCGGCGTCACAGTTTTTGATTTTGAAAATGTTATGACCCTAACCAAAATCCCAATCAAGTGTAAATGTGTATAAAAACAGCTTGCAAAGAAACACTTTTAACTTATCTCCATTATTAGAAATATAGCCATAAGTGTAGTTATCAAAACCAAACTAGTCGTACTCCCTGTGGTATAGAATGCTGTCTCTAATTTAAATATTCCCATCAATAAGATATATGGAAAACACAGGCAGAACAGGTGGGTGGTGACAGGGTGGAAAACTACTGTCAAACTACTGAATCAATGACAGTTCTTGACGTGAGCAAAGACACTTCTATCATTCAAGCAACTCCATCTCTAAAATGACAAAGTAGGGACCACAAACTATTTATTTTGCAGTTTTTAAATTGTTAATAGACCATTTACAGATACAATTACAAAAACAAGATAACGAGAACAAAGGCAACAGACAAATACGTAAGACATGATGGAGCTTTGTAAACATATGCACATAAAAATAATGTCAGTTAAATAATAATGCTGTGTTGATGTTATTCCAACTACATACACCTAGAGGGGAGAATAAACATCTAGACATAAATATGGTAACAAGCAGCTGGAAGGTCTAGATGAAACAGGCTTGTTACATACACACTTTATCTCAGGAGAATTTACAGCAGGGAATCTATTTCACTTATTAATTATGTTGGATCTAAAAAAAAAAAAAAAAAAAAAGTGTAAAACTACTGTACAGCATCGCAACACGCACACGCATTCAGGTGTAGTGCATTAAGACTATTTAAAAATCTAAAATAATCGGCTTATTATGGAGCTTAACAGTGACCACCTGCTCTTGTTCTAGAAGTAAATTTTCCATTCATTTGTCCTCATAGAAAAATTCAAATACTAAGAGCTCAAAGGCACCACAGAGGCTAATCAGCTACATGGTAACGAATATAGAAAATGGAGAAAGTTAAATTAAATACTATACTGTAGAACATTTCAGGAAAAACAATAGCATGTACAATGTGGAGTCAAGCAGGTGGCAGACCCCCTACCAGAAAAGTTACAGAGTGCAACTTTAAATAAAATTATAGGTCTTGTGGTCATTAATTACCACGTAGGTGATTAGCCCTGAAAACAAGCTTTCAGACTTTTAACATAAATTTTTTTGGAAGGTCTAAGGGAAAATGAATGAAAAATTTACTTCCAGAACCGTGCGGAGGGTGGGGCGGCGGTCACTTTTGAGCTCCATTGTCTTCTTCCTTCTTGTACATAGTGCTCTTAAAACAGAAACAAAATGTTTTAAATACTGGATGAGGAAAGGATATCCTCAACTAAATGCTTATAGACCCAAGCATCTCCCTTAAGCCTCTGCCTCCGGACCCCCACAACGTCGAGCTTCTGCAGAAAGCAGACCTCCAACTCAAACGCCATGGTCACCTTTCCAAAATCACCCCACGTCTGGCACTTCAATGTATACCTTAAAAGAAATTTAACATCTATTTAGTGTTTGCTTAAAATGAATAGATCCAACAGTTTTATTTCCATCATTCCTACCCTTTCTGTGTAAAGTCGACATTTTTCTCTGGTAGAGCAGACAAGATCTGATTCAAGACCTGATCTGGGTTTGTTTGACTAGTCAGCGTCACATTGTATTGCACCTTAAAAAGAAGTAAAAATTATTCCTCAACACAAATACACATTACAAATCCATCATCAATTCATTTTTGTAGCCTTTTATCCCGTACCTTAATCTTGCGTGGACCATCTCGTCTCTTGCTTGGAGTGAGCATGGTGATTACTTTGTCTAGGCCTCTTTCCAAGGACCCAAACATTTTACCTGCCCTCCTCTTCTTACCACTGTCTCCACTGCTGGCCATGTCCAAAGATCGAGACCTGAGACACAACAAGGAGAATCATAGTACTTTCACGGTTTATTTTACAGTCATTTACATGATTAAAGGACACTACTTACCGTCTGTCAGGACTCAAAGCCATTATTTCTAGATTTGAAGGTTCACCATTCTCTGATGATGTTTTGGTCTTCTTCTGATCTTTGCTGGCACTACCTCCAACTAAAACAAACAGGAAAAGATACAAGCAAACTGTTAAATTTCTTACTAAATGGGCAAAAGTCCTCAACATATCACCTATGAACAGGAAGCGGAATCTGTCTATGCGCTTTAGACAATATTTTGAATTGAACAGGGCAATGGTAAAATAAAAAGCATTTACCAGTTTAATTTATTTGGAATAAAAGGCCATTTGAACATCAAAAAGTAAAATATGCAGGACATTTATATTAATTGACGTAGGTAATGTTCATATAGGTAGGTTCAATATAATGTTAGGTCAAAATTTATCATGTGTACATTTTCTTTGCACTACTGGGGAACGTTTTTTTTTTTTTTTTGGTTGATTTGATTTGGATGATTTGAGCATTGCAGTTGAATTAATAACTTCTATGACTCATTACAGAGGCAAATTAAGTACTAAAATGTTTCATTCTCCTGTTGATTTATATTTTACATTTAAGAATGAGTATATATCTGATCTTGGGTTATTGTGTAAGTGGCACAAAGTAGATTCAATATATATATGTATCGCATTTGAAAATATTTTATCATGACAGGCCTACATATAGGACAGACTTAAAAAGGTTGTAAAACACAAATACCACTGGATTCCTAATATGATAAAGGTACAGTATCAGACAAAAGGGCTGACACCTACAGAGTTAGGCTTTAGTGGCAGAGGAACATGTGTCATGACAGCCCACGTGGGACAGTGAGCAGAAGAAAGAGACAGCTACACCTGTCACAGCACATGCCTGGGGACCGCCACACACAGAGCCCATGTGTATGTGTGGACACTGTCACAACAGTGTAGAGCTGCTTACAGAATAGAGGGCGGCAGGAGCAGCAACTGTACACACATTTCAAGGGTTTAACATACGCTTTCTCCACAGAAGCTCTTGAACCAAGTTATGACAAAGCTTTGAAGAGCAAACTAATGAGGCTGGACATCTGAACAAAACTCCCCTTGACAAATAATTAAGACCTAAACGATTCTCCATTCATATTAGTGTCCTTGACTTTTAGATAAGTGAATAGAATTAGCGTCCTGATAATAACCTTACCTTGGAGTTGACAGTGATAAGTGTCTGAGAGCAAATGAGTGTGTGTCCATTTTAATGGTCCAATGACAGCTAAATCATAGAATTATGAGTGGCTCTGGGATAAAAACAAGTCCAACAAATGAGTTTATTACCAGAAGACAATTTACTTGCAAATGCAGGGCATGTGGATGTGGCACTTGTAATAATAAAAGAAGCATGAGATGAGAAAAAGACTAAATGAATAGAAAGCAGTGAGCAAATGCAAATATCTGAATAAAACAGTTTATGAAAAAAATGTTTTTTTTCTTACAGGCATGGGTCTAACGAGGTCTTCTAGGTCTACTAAATCTTACCTCTTGGCGATACTGAGGTTTTGGTGCTGACATTGTCATTGGGAGTTGTGAGCACATTCTTGTTGGGTCGGCCGGTCTTTTTACTGGATACAGGAGTTTGAGGAGGAGGCACCAAGAATTTATCTGCATCTCGCTCTGGAACTCCTATGTTCTCTTTATTCTCTGTGGTGTGCTCCTGGTTCTTTTCCCGCCTCTCAGGGCGGTGCCCAGCAGCTCGCCCCCTTTCTGGCATTGGGCTGTAAGCACATCTTCTCTCTACGACTGGAGATGCCATTCTCTGCAGACACATACTCACTCGTTACTTTTGAACAATTAATGATTAGTACTGAAAGACAGTAGTGTAGATACATACCATCACTTTATTGCTTGGGATTTTATCCTGCCTTTCTTTGGGTGTATTTGGTGTGACTGTACGCCACGGGGAATCGTCCAAGTATTCAGAGTAAAAGTCCAAAGAACCAACAATCACACCATCTTCATCCTCACTGAATTGAAGAGATTCTTTTGTCTAATAAAAGAAAAACAAAAGAGAAATCAGAAACACAAGCCCAAGCCTTAGGTGATAAAACAGTATAGAGGCTGTAAAATTGAGCATGTGAAGAACAGCACAGAGGATTGTGGCTCTGCAGTCTGACCTGGAGTCCCTGGTGTAATGGAGAGCAGGAGTCCTCACGGAGCACTGGTTCAGCGCGCAGTCTGACAGGCTTACCCCTTTGCTTCTTTGACAGCAGCAGCAGGTAGGTGGCTGTGGTGTGGTCATACTGCCACTGTCACAGATCACAGCAATTAGAGGGCATTTCTACCAGCAACGACCATAAGATTTCCTCAATATGAGGACTACAAAAGGGGATTTTTGTGAGGGGTTTGACAGAGAAAACATAATTTAATGAGCTAAAGCAAAAGCAAGACACACCTCTTTCACTAGTGCAGTTGTGCTCTCTTGACCGCTTCATGTTGACAGCCATCTCAGTAATACAGTCCTCATCAATATGGCCTAGCTACAAACACAAACAATTTCACAACAAATTTATTTGTAAATATTTTTATATATTTATAGAAAACGCACAAGTATTTTCCTTTTACCGGCAGCCTGCTGTGCCACTCAACAGGGCTGTTGTAATCTTTTAACACCCAGGGATGATCCAACAACTGTCTGACAGTAAGACGACGCTTGGGGTCCACCTAGAGGACACATGAAGAACTACAACTCAATTTGCGCAGGGCTTAATTAAGCTTTACGAATTGTAATTGATAAAGAAAGCAAGAAAGGAAGAACATTACAAACAAAAAAGTGAATCTGTATTGTAAAACAATGATTATTAAAATCAATTAAATAGTAAAAAAAAAAATTAAATAATTATCAAACCCACACCTGCATCATCTGGTTCAGGAGGAGAATGCTCCCGGTTGAGAGCCAGTGTGGGTTGTCATATTTGCCTCGCTTAAAACAAAACACAAAAGTTGCATTAGAGATAAAAATAACCAAACCATTGCTATAAATATACAAGTATCTTATTGATCTATATCCATTTGAAATACAAACAGGACAGCAGGTATGTAGGTGTTTATATAGATGACATACTGTGATCTTTCTGTAAAGCACCATACAGTTGTCGTCATCAAAGGGCAGATACCCACAGAGCAGAGCGAACAGCAGCACTCCCATACTCCATACGTCGGCCTGGAAGTTACACATCATACAGCACTATTTCAGCTTCAAGCGTTTCAGACAGGATTTCACAGCTCAGTTGCACCGAGTCATGCACCAGCGAATATGATCAGCACACCATGAAGAAGCAAAATGTGGAACAGGCAGGTAATCATTAAACTTGGTGGAAAAAACAAATGGTTTTTAGGGGTAAAAATAGACAGGTGCAGTTCTGGTATAAATGTAGCATAGATAGATAAGGATGTGGATTTCACCTCTGAACCGATGTAGGCTTTCCCCTGGATGAGTTCAGGAGCAGCGTAAGCGGGACTGCCACAGCACGTCATCAGCTCATAGCCCAGACCACCCTGCACGACAAAGACTATGTTAAAGGTGCAATACACAACTCTTCTGGTGGGGGGTCCATCACCTGCTCGTCACTATGGAGAATGTTCCACAGCCTGTCCTTTCACTTATTTATCTCTATGGGGACAACTATCATCATCCAAGTTACAAGTCAGATCTGTGGAAAGGTGACACCCACTTACAATAAGAATGCATTTTTTTCAAGAGTTTAAGTAATAAAATCCCCTGTAATTGAATAAATATAAGATGGAAATGTTTAACGTCACAGTGTGGAACATTTCAGGTAAAATATATAACATCTCCATGGAAACAAGCTTTTAAAGGACCCCACACCAGAAATGTTACATAGTGCATCTTTAAAAACAGAATTTATACTGGTACAGTTTGAGAGCCATAATAAACAGAAATAAAGAGGGTTTTTAAAGAATAAATCATTACAACAGGTACAAATTAAATACCTTAGGTCTAGCACACAGACCGAAGTCTATAAGTTTCAAATTGTGATCTCCATCAATCAACAAGTTTTCCTAAAAACATAAACACAACATAGAACACAGAACTCAGATATATTAGGTTCACCTACATGTAGGCCTGTCACAATGACACATTTTGAAGCATGAAATATTGCTACAGAGATATACTGCGATAAACAGTAATATTTAAAGGGCCACTGACACAAAGCAGAATAATGCCAGTAAACACATTTTTAAAGAGGGTATCATTAAAATGCCTGAGCTGCAACAAATAAATGGCAGACTGAATCGATAATTTGCCATACAAGTTAATTTTTCTACTCTGTGCAGCTGAAAATGGCTAAAATGGGAAAGAAAAAGTACCCACGATGAATATTGAGCCCAAAAATATATTGACCCAGCTTTCATATATTGAAGGACAAGTCGATATAGTAATTATCATGACAGGCCTACCTACGTGTAATTTTAAAGCAGTAAGTATATACCGGTTTAAGATCTCTATGAGCAAAACCTTGACTGTGGACATAGGCAATAGCTGACACAATCTGCCTGAAAAATACTCTGGTTTCCTCCTCTGAAAGACGGTCTTTGGCAATTATGTAGTCAAACAGCTCTCCACCAGGACAGTACTGAATAAAAAAAGAATACAAATGTTTACATCTTCACAGATGGCGCAGGTGTTTCGTTCAGATTGTCATTTACCTCAATCACCATAAAAATCTGTGTGGATGTCTCAATAACTTGGTAAAGGCGGCAGACATGCTGATGGCTTAAGTTCTTCATGGCGTCAATTTCCAGCTTCACTCGAGGCAGGTCATCCTAAAAAGGGTAATACTAATATGTCAGTAACTCCAGTGCAGTTTTCACCCAATCTGTTTAATTGTGGGTCTGTTGTTGCTGCATTTTCTACAGTTACAAAATCAATTAAATTAAATTAAAAAAAAATGAGAAGAAATTACAAAACCATTTCAGTTTGATGTAACTGTTTATTAACATACCCCAAGGTCCTTTTTGCTCATTATCTTTATGGCAACCTTTTCGCCTGTCAGTTTGTGCCGCCCAAGTTTTACTTTAGCAAAGCCACCTGTGTTAAAAAAAAAAAAAAAACAAAAAAAAAACACGACAAAATAAACAAAGAGTTAATAGGCAAATACAGGGTGACCAGACATCCCTATTTAACTGGGACAGTCCCAGCAGATTTATACAGAACCATTTATTTGTCCCAGTTTTATACAAGAAATGTCCCAGGTGTTCCTATTTTTGACTAATCTGATAGCTGTCAACAGTAAAGAGAGGCATACATTGCCATTAGTTTAGGTAAAATACAGAAAAAGATGTTTAAAAATGACCAAACTGAAGAAAATGAGTATACTGACTGATGTTAGTCTGTTAGTTAGTTTTCCTTAATTACGCACTCGTTTCACAATGTTATTATTTTATCATCAGGTATCACAAACCGGGTGTGCCCCAGTTTTTGATTTTGAACATAAGATCGCCATAGGCAAATATTAAAAGTAACATGCCAGTAAAGTGTAAATATTGGACTCAAATCCATATTACACATTACCTGAGCCTATTGTCTCATAAACTTCATAGTATTTGTGTAGTTCTTCCGCTCCACGCAGCTCTGTCTTTTCCACTGGCATCGTGCTGAGCTCTGTGACCACGGCACACCCAAAACTCTCTGCAGAAAAAAGGCCGTTTGAAACAGCAGCACTTGATAGATCTAAAAATAAACTTTATATTTAGCAATAACAATGAAAGAAATGTGACTAGTAAACGCTGTAAAAGATATGGTGACTAGTGACGAGCTAATCAGTCTCTTAGTACTATGAAGACATCAAGAATCTATCATCATGCGCTTTGTGTAACAAATCAGAAGACAGATGATTTACCTACAACTGTCCCAAAATCGTCACACAATGTTGTTAAACGAGTTAGAAATCCACCCCGTGCATACGGAAAAGCAGAAGGCGAGTTTTTTGCATGGATCTATTCGTGTTTTGTTGCTCAAGTTTGAATTTCGCACGTCGACGTCAGGACGTACTTCCCACTTCCGGTTTATGTCTTGCGCCCTCGTGTGGTTGAATGCCGCACTCGACTCGAGGTCAGACAAGGCGGGGGCAAACTACGTTTCATTAATTAATGTACGTACGAAATGGGGACTCTGATGGTACAAGATGGTCTGTATGCCATGTTTATTCAGCTACATTTTCCGATCTAACCGATTGCTTAGCCGCACAATCCGACTCGTTTTTTTCCAGAAAATATCCCAAGGTTCTCCTGTCATCCGCCACCATGACATCCCAATACATTATGAATTTGAAACCATACCAAAGTTAAGTGAAGATTTATTTCTAATAGGCTTAGTCTTTATTTTATTGGTCTACATTTGGGGTTATGAGAAAATATATGTACTGAATAGAAACTTTGGAGGACACCCAAGGTTCTTGGCCTGTTTCTCCCTGTACATTCTATGAATCTCTCTCTTTTTTGTAAAGTGGCAAGAGAAATGTATTCTTGGCTGTCCATGCAAACCATAATGCAAACTAGTTTGAGAATGATGTTCCTTAACTTTATTACACACTCCATGTACCTCTTATTCATGTAATGGTGATTGTGAGTATTAATCATTCTACTGAATCTAGTCTACTAGGCTGTATTGATTCCAAAGGGTGTTGGTGTATGGTGGTGGTGATGATTGTGTATGGTGTAAACTTACAGAACAATAATTGACCTTTTAAATTCTCCGTCACAGGCGATAAAGCTGCATGACTTCACCATAGTGACATTTTTTGTAGTGTGACACATTGCAATTGTCCAGGTACATGATTGCCGTTACATATTTCAAGATGAAAAAAAAGTGTTGAAACATGTGCTCTGTTTGACCCTCCAGGTATGTGGGCGCCGTGGCTGACCAGAGGTAGGCCTATATTTACAGACTGACAGTTTGTGTTCACCTGCCCTGGGTCCAACCCTGTAATCAGGAAAAGGTGAGAGGAGAGAGTCCAGCTCTCCTGTGCGCCGGTCATTCATTTCACTTTCAAACTTGCACTGGAATTGTCTTTTGGCCATCACACAATCCAGGTCACTATACTCTACAAATCCTTATTAGGAATATATGACCTCATGTAACCAATCTAATATCCAGACACAAACCTTACATAAGAACTCATGTTAATGTTTAGGGGCCAATGTTTGAGCGATTGATTGCTACTTTTGTGCGTTTCTCATGGTCGTTATGAAAAGAGGCAGTCGTTAACAAACTAACTGGTGTTTAGGAAATGTCCAGGTGTCAGCAGGCTCACAGAACCGCTCATTTGGTTCCTGTGGCAGCTGGCCACGACAGGTACATCAAAGACCCTCATGCAAGGAGAGGTAACAAAAGAGGCAATAGTGTACAATAGTGTGTTTATAACAGTAAGGAATACAACTACAGAAAAGTAATTTTTAAATGCATGTCTATTTCATAATTGCATGACCTTATGAAAATTCTTTTAATATTCAAGAACATGAAATATACTTGAAACATACTTATGTGTGTTCTAATAGTTTGGAGTCCCTGATTTTAAGTTAATCAGCACAATCCATCGGGATACATAGTAGCCTACACAATTAAAATTAAGATGATGCTTGAGCATTTCTTCAGAACAGATTTTGACAAACTCCCAGGATGCCTACATGCATGCTTTACAGTACTGTATAACCCAAACTATCTCTGATTTAGCTGGTAATATATACCCAACATTCATTCTCTAAGCTGCTGCAATGTAAATATATAATATAACACTATGGGAATTTGTCTTGGTGATACTTTCACATACTTCAGGATTACTGTCAACCTGTTTCTCTTTCTGCATCTTTCATGCACCATAGACTCTTCTAGCATAAATTCTAGTTTTTTTATAGTTCCTATGTGTCACAATTCTTTATTCACACTTAAACACTATGCAAGCACCTATCTTTCTTCACACATGTACTCCAGCTATGTGCAGCAACAGCACAGCTAAATATTTTCTCTGACTTTATGTTTTCATGTATAGCAGATTTCGTGTACATAAGGAATTTCATGGTATATAAATTATAAATCAAAACATGTTTTAGATTATTTCATATAGTCTCCATACAATCATTTTTACTCCTTGAGGATAAGATTATTATTGTTTTTTTGTTTTTTTTTTACAATATTGAACATTTTCCAGTGGCTAAGTAATTTATTAGTTATTACCCCACCCCTACTACTACCCTACACAACTATATTTTGCAATTTTGTTACGTCCAATAATGTTAAGCACCTTTACCCAAGTTGTAACTATACTAACTCTAGTGTTCTCCATACCCTCCTAAAACTATCCTCTTTCCTCCCCTTTCGAGTTGACCCCACCTCACTGCTCTTCTCTCCCTGTAAAGGATGAAAGCTTGTATCCCTGTGCATGAGACTGGATGAGGGTCTTCACTGTCCAGTCTCCCCATGGCTCAGCTGCAGCTTTGCTCCTGCAGTCGGGGTCAGGCCATGGCACTGCTCCTGCTCATTCTCCAACTCGCGCTTCTCAACCAATCATTTGTTTCTGGTTTCTCGGACATAAATTTTGACCTGACTCTCAAGGTAGGATTTCTGTTTCAATAGATTTATTTGCCATTGTATGTGTAAAATTCACAACGTCTGGGCAGAACGAAAGGAAAACAGTTGTATTAGATGAATGACATGGCAAAAATACTGGTAGTTTTTGAGCACTCACACTATGTATTGTTATAGATGTTTCGCTACTATTCCTTCATAGGACCACTTTTGAACTTGTCTACTGCAAACAAATAACACTAGACAAGAGCTGCAGTTTTGAAGAGACAATTCTTTGACCATAACAGTTTGAATTTTCTCATACTTCATCCAAATGCTTGCATGCTTATTTCTTCTGCCTCTGATCTAACACATCAATTTCAAAAAGGAGGTGTTAGTTTATGGACATATTGTTATGCTTGCAGAAGTATGAGATGGTGAAGGGAAACTTCTCTCAGACTTTCCTTCGCGTTGGCTATCACAAAATAGCTGAGATTCCAGCAGGAGCGCACAACATCAGCATACAGGAGACAATAAAGAGCCGCAATTATCTGGGTATAAAAATAGCCAGGAAAGTGTTATGCAACATAGTTTATAAAACATTTTAATAACTTCCACACACATTTTTGAATTTGTAAAAAATATTGTGTTTTTTCTTCAGCCCTGCAGACTAAAAATGGTGTGTCCATAATCAATGGAAACTGGGTGATTGATAGACCGGGTATCTACACAGCAGTTGGAACCCAATTACTGTATATGAGACCCAATGAGATTCGCTCACGCACAGGAGAATCTATTACTGCCCCTGGGCCACTGAGTGAGGACCTGATTTTATATGTAAGTGTGTCATAGAACCCCACTAACATTCTTAGACACAAGTCTTATATAAGTCTCCTGTTTGTGCAGCTCATTTATCAACAACCCAATCCCAGTGTGTACTATGAGTACACTGTGCCCTCACCACACACAGAGCAAAATCCAAAACCCCATGAGGGTTCAAATGTTATTGCCCCAGGTGAGATTACAGTCCTATACACTTAACTCTATAAACATTCTCATGTTATGTAATGATTCTCATGTATGTAATAATGAAACACTGCCTTACAATGTACATAAGGCAAATATTTGGTATTATTTTATTTTATATTCACTAAACATAATGTATCATGGTTAATATAAATCACATTCTAAAGTATGTCTCTGTCTCTTATGAGGTGTAACCACAAAATCACCCCACTCAGGGGATGGGGTCAACAACAGTGGCATCTCCAACAACAACATCAATGAGAACTCCCATCTGAATCAGGCCCTAACCACACCGGCTGTGACCACAAAACTGCAGACCGTGTACGAGTGGGTAGAATCAAGATTCAGTGAGTGCAGCACCACATGTGGCACTGGTAAGAAGCACATAGCACACACATACTAAACACATGTACATACACATACTAAACACACACAGCTGTACATGCACACACTAAACACATGCTCACTGTGGTGTATGTCGTCAGGCACGCGGCACATGCTCTGGGCCTGTGTGGAGAAGGATTCCCAAACAACAGTTTCCTCTGACCTTTGCGACTCTGCTCTTGAACCAGAAAAGCAGCTAGAGGACTGCAACCCCCAGCAATGCCCTGCATAGTAAACAAATAACACACACACCATATAAACACATATAAGGTAACATATGGGCCTATGGATTTGACTTCTCTATTGTATGCGGGTTATATTTAAGGGTACAGTATGTACGTAACTGTCACTTGTGATGAAGTGGCAAATATTATCTGATCTTACTGCAGTCAAATAGGGCATTATTGCATATATGTTATTCAGGAGAGGATATCCAACTGACTTTAGCCAGAATACTTGAGGTTCTGTATTGGCCATGTGTTCTTGTCTTTTACATCTGGTCTGCAGCCAAATGTTCCACCTTTAATGTTCCTTTTCATCCTTGCTTGTTCAGTTGGGACATTGGGGAGTGGTCTGAGTGCAGTGCAAAATGTGGGCCTGGTACTCAGCAGCGTCAGGTCATCTGTCGTCAGGTTACTCAGGCGCACGCCAATGGCTCCGAGACTTCTGTGACTGTAGCGCTGGAACAGTGTGGCTCCACTGATATCCCTGAGACCAAGTCCACCTGTCAGCTCAAGATCTGTAGCCAGTGGGAGATCCGGTCTGAATGGACTCCAGTAAGAAACACAGTAACAAAATGACCCAAATCAATTCATATTTTCACCATATAACACTGCATATCTGTCAGTGCTCAGTGCCGTGTGGAGTGGGCCAACGCAGCAGAGAGGTGTTGTGTGTGAGTAACCAGGGGGAACCAGAGCCAGACACAGAGTGTAATATGAACATAAAGCCAGACACTCTGCAAAACTGTGACATGGGCAAGTGTGCTCGCAGCTGGTTCACCTCACAGTGGAGCCAACAGGTGAGACGCCACATTATTATAGACACAAGAATGTCCCTCACAGAATGTCTGCATTGTGCTCCTCAGTGCACCACGGAGTGCGGAAGAGGGAATCGCACTCGGACAGCTGTGTGCCTCATGGACTATGTGACAGATCTTCCACTGGGCAGCTGTGAAGGGGAGCGACCAGCAGAGGTGACAACATGTGATTCAGGCCCCTGCCAAAACCGCGTTGAGTGGTACACAGGTCCCTGGAGTCGGGTAAATTATCATTATACTTTCTCTTATAAATTATTACAGTTCTTCATGTATGTAATTCAATGTATTCCAGTGTTCTGCAGACTGTGGAAATGGAACACAGACCCGGAGTATTGCTTGTATTGTCACTAATAATGGGAAGATGGATGTTGTTGATCAAGCAAAATGTGATAGTCTGTCAAAGCCAATCAGAGCTCAGGCCTGCAGTCTGAAGCCTTGTGGAGTCCAGTGGTATGTCTCGGAGTGGAGCACAGTAAGTGGTTTGATGATTTTGACTTGGCAGTGCAAAACACGGTGACATTTTGAGTACTGGGTCTATGTGCTGTTGCTCCAGTGCTCTCGTTCTTGTAATGGTGGCTACCGTGTGCGTGAAGTGCGCTGTCTGACTGATGACATTGTCCCAAGTGAGAACTGTGACCTACATGTGACCCCAAACACACAAGAAGAATGCAACCTACAGCCTTGCCTTGCAGAGATCGGTAAGTCTCAGTAGCTTTAGTGAGGAAAAATTTTAACCTTTACTTGACAGAATGAAGCACTACATTACAATTCAGATCTGTGGAGAGTCTCCCCTATTTCACAGAAGGAATTATTGTTTTTTCGAGCAATAGAAACCTGTAATGAGTAAATGGTAGATGGACAAGTTTAATGTTATACCATGGAACATTCCAATAACATGCAAAGCAATAACATCTTCATGGAGACAAGCAGGTACCGGACCCTCCACCAGAAAAGTTATCCACTGCACACATAAATAGACAGTATCATTAAAAGGCCTGCGATGCAAAAAATAAATAGCAGAATGAACCAATAATTAGCCACAGAAGTTATTCAAACTTCTATGGCTCAAGTGTTTTTGTATTACAACAAAAATAACCCATATCTTAAAGAAAATGTGCACATGATTAATATTGAGCCCTAAAGTATATAGATCCAGCTGTCATACATTGAATGAGAAGTAGATAATATAGTAATTATCATGACAGGTCTACTTACAATCCTTTACCTCGTTTCAGATCTTCAGTGCAGTGACCAGTACCACAAATGTATGGTGGTGGTTCAGGCTCGACTCTGCATTTATCCATACTACAGAAGTGTCTGCTGTGCTTCTTGCTCTCGGGCCCAGAAAACATTCCCAGCCAATATTCACCAGAACAGGATACGCCGGTGATTAAAAAAAAAAAAAAAAAAAAAAAACTCAGAATGACTTTTCTTTAAATGGGATAGTTCACTGCTGACATCATTGCTTAAAGGGTCCATATTACTCTATTTTCTCATTCCATGTGATACTGGAGTTGTGTTTTGTTTCATTCATACATGTTTAATACACAAACCCTGCATATTTAGGCTACTTTCTTCTCTCAAACTGAAGACACGTACACATTCACTAGAATCATTTGGATAATTTTATCCCTGGAATTTCCAGTCTATACTGAACTAATGATAAAAGGCAGCTGTTAACTTGAAAACTGCCACTGCATAACATCACTTCAGCATTTTAATCTTTGGAGATGTAAACAGACTAATATGTCAGATTTACTCAAATGTGTGAATGAAACAAAACACAACTTCAGTTATGTTTTTGATGGGATAATAGCATTGTAACATGGCTTAAAGATCACAAGAGTCAGTTTTGTGTAATGTAGGACCATTAATGATAACAAGTACTGAATAAATTAATTCACTCACCACAGCTTGAATGACTTGCCAACCTGGTATGCTCATTACCAGAACTTACTGTGCTTAGATGCAGTATATCATTTACCTATCCATGTTTTTTATATTTATTTGAATTATCTTACCAGTAGATTATTGTTGTCAGAGTGTAAATAAAAATAAGTAAAATCTTTGTGTAGTAGTGGTCAATAAGAAGTATCAGAACTAGGTAAGACTATACATGTATCAATGTAAATATATGGAGTGAATACAATGTTGGACAATAATGGACAATGGACAGTTATCACCGTACTCAAGAGCGTTATAGTAATACCTTTGTTTTAATGGAACTGCTGAATTGACAGCATGTAAAAGGCCATAAATCAATCGCAAGAACACAGAAAGTAACATTAAAAACACCATTGACTCACATTGCATACTCTCTTGTAAAACAAAGTAGCAAGATCTTCACAAACACAACCCTGCATTTTCTTCACCGTGTTTCTCCACAGTTGTCTTGTGTCTGTGGTTGCTGTTAGGTCCATGCTTTTGTGGCTGTGTAAAAAGTCTCAAATGAACCTGGGCCTTTGGTAAGAGAACTGAGGGGTCCACATCAACGTCTGCATTTAACGCCATCACCCCAAAACATTCAAGGCTCTTTCACCGTTCTCAAAGTATGCAAGTCTTGTGATGGTTATCTCCCAGGTATCACAAAGGAACTGTCGTTATAAAACGTTACCTTTTCCATGGCATTGTACCATAGGGTGAAGGTTTTGTCAGACTTTAACCATTCAAAGCTCTCTAAAAATACTTCGAACTGCTGTAGTATTTAAAAATTACTCATTTGTGTTCCACCAGATTTCCTTAAAAATGCCACACTCTTTGTTCAGATTATCAAATGAAATGTTGTATTAAGCATCGTACCATCATTCACAAATTTCATAACTGTATACGTTTACAAAAGACATAAATATAGGTTACAATTCCGTAAAAATAAAATTGATATAGTTTTCTTAAATGATAATTTACCAGAGGCAAACTCAGAAACAGATCTTTGACACTAGGCAAAAACATTAGAAAACCCCCTGAGGTCAAATAAAACAATGTCTCATCTTGCACACGTACTGCAGTAATGTCCTGTCTTTATTACAAGCAAACTCTGTGCAGGACTAGAGGCAGAATATTTAAGTCCTGATCAGCACAATCAGTGGTAGTATGCAAGTGCACTGCTCTGTTACTGCGATATTAGCTGAACTCTGAGACATAACAAGGAGAATGTGAAGGCACACTTTTCGGAGGCAGCTTGTCCCCAAGAATTTATGTAAAACTATCACGGAAGATTTCAAAGGCAGGGGTGTAGGTCATAGACTCAGAGGTGAGGAGGCAGTGAAGCAGGTTCAGGCCAATTTACCCAAGACTGCCTGATAAGAATGTTCTATGATAAAGTTTATTGTAGGACCTGAATATCATACATAAAAATATGATTTAAATTTTTAACCAGCTGGGTCGCTACATAAATATTTATTCGCTATGACAAGTGAATTAAATTAAACAAGGTTTTCCCTTTTATGATGTTATTATACATAATGGGTAAAAATGTATGACACAAGAATAGACATTGGCTTCAGTCTACCATTTCACAAGTACATCCATGCATTCAAGGTAAGGACTTTGGCTTTTAAAAGTTAGTCTATATGTAAAGATATGAAACACACAAAGAAAATTGAAACATACACACACGTTTCACCCACACTCATTCCTCACATTCTGTGTGTTCCAATCACATACATATTAGGGCTGGAAAACAAAAAAGGACCATGTTTTGAGGTTATTAAGGGGTAGAGCTCATCATTCCTCATGTGCAAATCATAAAAATGCTACAATTCATTCTCCTGTGAACAAGACCGGTTCAGGGCAAGCCATGTCTCCTTTAGTTTGCAAATATAAAGGGGCTTGGACATTGGCAGCACAGTTTGCTTAATCAGCGACAATGCAGTCTTTTCTCCTCTTGTGCTCTATCCATCTATGTTTTGGTAGAGGTGTTCGTTTTAGATATGACCCCAGTCAAAAAAGTTCATCCGGTAAGTCATGACATTTAACTGTAGCGCATCTGTGAATCCATCTCCACAGAATTCAGCTTAGGCTTGAAATCCAAAATGTTGTCCTATGAGCCCACGAGTGTCTCACTCACTGTCAGTCTCTATGTCTGAGTCAGACCACTGCACTGGGCTCAGTTTGCCATGGCGCTGGGCATACTCTATGACTGCCGTGTAGCAGAAGTAGTACTGGTCCCAGGTCTGAATACTAAAAGCCCTCTGAGTGCGCATTCGGCGCACAGTTTGACAGACATCTACTGTGCCTATGTCCTCTAGACGTGAAAGACAGATGTCCAGAGTGCAGAATGTACCTTAGTACAAAAAAAAAAAAAAAAAAAAAAGATTATTGATTGAATTTATGAATAATATCAGTATGACACGTGAATAATATAATGTAATAACATACCTGTGCGACCAATGCCAGCACTACAATGGACAACCACTGGAGGGCCTTCGGGACGTCCGTTCCAACTGGTGCCCAAGTTTTGTACAGCTGTTTTCTGCCTTTGAATTACATGTTCACGAAAATCCAACATGGCTGTAGCACTTTTGGGCACCCCAAAGTCTGGCCAGCTGACATACAGGTAGTGACATACCTCTCGTCTTTCACCAGACTAAGAAAAGTGAGTAAAGTGTTTTTTGTTTGTTTTGATTTTTAAATAAATAAAATATTGATTAATCTTACCTGTGTGTTGTACAACTCTAAATGGGAGAGTTTAAAGTCTTGAAACACTTGGATGTGAGTGTTTCTGATCAAAAAGCACCCATGCTGCTCAGTCCTTCCCTCTTCTAGAGGCCAATACTGACCACACTTAACACGGCCTCGCTCCACCACCCTGAAAAAGGATCAACATTACCCAAATTGGAATTTGATTGGAGGTGATTTAAACTCCTTGCAACTACCCTAAAATCCTGTGCAAAACTTATCAGACATTCTGGTTTGTGCCAATTCTCCTGAAATCTTCTGTAATAAATGTATGTGATTCATGAACAGTTACATTGTCTCACCTTGTGGTCATAACAATTATTAGTACCATCTGTTCCCACACCATGCGCCAGAAGTCAGCAAATGTTTTAGGCAAAGGACCTGGGGAACACCAAATTAGTTAAAAATTAATGATAGTGGTCTGACAGAGGTCAGGTTTATTTTTATGATGGCTGAAAAGGTGCATACCCTGAGTAGCAATATAGGCATTTCTTCTTTTGTAACCATCCATGAAGCTAGCATTAATGTAGTCTGATGTCTACAACCAAAAGATGAATTACACAGGGATTCCCATCATATTTATCCTGATGAAATGTATAAATGACTTACCTCATCGTCAGCATCACAGAGCTGAGAAAGTCGCACACGTGAGTGGTCCAGGCACAGCACGTCGCTGTACCGATTTTTTATTTGATTGGCCAGTTTCCTAAAACAGAGGGGCACACAGAAGAGTTATAATGATAATAATAATGCCTTACACTGTATTGCACTTCACAAGCTTCTCAAAGCGCCACACTGTAGTTGATTATTCATATACTTCACTCTCTATGGTGATAAGCTACAGCCACAACTCCTGATAAAAGCAAGGCTATCATCATCATCAGCTCAGATCACCACCAGTCACAGATATATCACATTTATACTAGGAGAGGTGAAGTGTCTTGTCCAAGACATAACGACAGTATGCTCTAGTCAGAATGGGGTTCAAACTACTTTGGGAGGGTCGACGAGCGATCCACTGACCCACTGCCGCCCCAAGTTTGGTAGGTGCCTACTGTGTAATATAATGTCAATGTCTTACTTTGAATAATCAAAGGTTCCAGCTGGAGGTTCCTTCCGGATTTCCTCATACTCCTGGTAGATCCCCTTCTTCTTTTTCCTTTTGACATGCTCCACCAGGTCATGCAGCGTCATGCCTCCCTGCTCTGGCATGTGAACAGACTCCTCTATGCAGCGCTCGTCATCGTCTGACCAGGACAGATGTGGCGATTGGGAGGAGGTCTGATGTGGTGGACGAGGCAAAGACTTCTGGGGCAGTGGAGGAACACCTTCCTCACCCACATCAACAGACTCGATATCATTCGTCTGAAGCTCCTCTGATCTTTTGGCATTGTTGGTGCCCTTACCATCCAACACATCCATGCTATCTTTTTGAGAAAGAGGTGTGTCAGGGGGTGTGTCTGACTGTGGCGGAGCTTGATGTCCACGGCCATTGACATTAGCATTGGGACTTGAGCGACTGGTTACAGCTGAGCCATTCCAGTGTTGGTGATTTCCCAGTGGTCTGTTGGCAGCAGAATATGGGGCCTGTTGGTTAAGGTCTGGGTCTCGAGTCCTGCCCTCCACATTGTCATAGTGGTTGTGTGGATTTGCATTACTATCATCAAAGCAGTTTGAGTTAGCTGCAACCAACTCAGAACCTAACTGTGTATTAATGTGAGTGTGGTCAGCGCCAGCGCTTGACTTGCTGCACTCCAAACTGTAGGAACGCAAGAGACTTCCTACACAGTCATGAGAGTCATGCCTCTGCGTTTCACCCTCAATAGCATCTGTTTGCGTATTGACACAAGACTGGATCCATGCCACATGGCTGTACTGGGATGTTCCTCCAAGGTGTTCTGGGAGGGAGGAAATGGGGATATGGTTGGCTAACTCATGCGCCCTCACTGTGCACACCTAATCAGAGAAATATATATTTCAGTTTACAATAATATGGTATCATAATGTTTTGTGAAAATCAATTACACATACCCTTTCTCTTAACTTCTCACGGACAAAAAGCCGGAGAACTGCAAAAGGGGCCCGAAACCACAGTGGTGATGAGACAATGAAGACACATTTCAATCGAGCTGGAAATGCCCCCTAAATATTTAAAAGGTAAAATCAGTGAATAAGATTGCTACATAAAGGTTTGAGGAAAAACATAAAAAACTACATATTTACCTTGAGCAAATTGAGGATCTTGACACAGAGCTCATAGTCAAAATTTCCATAGGTTGAGTTAGTCATGTCGTAGATAAATATGAGTCCATCTCTTTGTGTTTGGATACTGAGAAGACACAAATTATTAAAATTATATTAACTAAAAAAATTATAAAAAGTTCTAAAGGTTAATTGATTTGCCAGATAACTACAGTCCAAATACTAACAAAACTGTTGTACATGCTTCACCTTTCTATGGCTTTGTCAAGCTGATAGATGATGGCCTGCAGGACAGCCTTGTGCGTGGAGGCATCTGGCCTATGTAGACGAGCTGTGAATAGTGCTAGAGCGGCTCCTTTTGCATCACGGCCAGGCTATGCCACAGTTTATTAAAACACAGTGTCATTTACTTTGCATTCAAATAAATTACGCAAAAGTGTTTTTCACTAACCAGGACTGTAAATTTTCCACTGAGCAGCTCGGAGCGAAGGGGCTCCTCGTCAGGGTTGATATTAATGATTCCCTCTTTGAGTCTTGTGTTCTGATTGGAACAGCGCATGACATTAGTCCTTTGAATGCCTCATTTTGTATGCATGGTATTGCTTCATTAAAATCAGTCATACTGACGTAACTAATATTACATAGCAAGAAAAGTTCATCCAAGTCAAGAACAGTGAAAGGCCAAATGAAGGCAAGTTCAAGCAAAAGTGGGAGTGCTGAAGCCTCAAACCAAAGCATGTCAGTAACCAAAAAGTCATGTGTTGGAGGCCAAAGTTTGTGTCATGACAGAAAAATGAAGAAAGTGTGTATTTCTGTGAGCATAAAATGTTATATTCCTGTTATTGTTATAATAGGAAACTGTATTAAAGGAAATGTATGTAAAATGCACTGTTACTCTTTTAAAAGGGTACTATAATAACAACTGAACCTGGGTTGCCACTTTCCAGAGATGAAACCTGCAGCTTTTCTAATAATCGTCTTGAGAACCAAACTGCAACATGTAATACTTCAAAATCTCCTGCAGATGGCAGTATGTTTAGACTTAATTCAGGCGAAGCTTAGTACTGTAATTAGCTGAGGCCTTATTGGTTCATGGGGCTTAATTTTTCTCAAAAACACTGAAGTTTGGGTGAGGATCCTTATTAGAAATCTTACTAAATAGAAAATGCACAGAAAAGCCTGAAACTGACAAAACACATTCAAGAAAAAATGTAAAAAAGTACCTTATACGCTTGAAAGAGATCAATGGCTCTGGACACATCAAACTTGCGTGCCATAAGAAACTTAACAGCTGTAGGTTGTGAGACCAGCCCAGCACTGTGTGGCTGCTCTCTGCTGCGCACTTCACTCAGGAACTCTTCCACAGCCTGGGTGACAAGAAACATGTAAAACAAATAATAGAATGCTGAAGGAATAAGTCCTTAACTCCAATCCAAAATATGGCAAGCGGGAAACAGTGCAGTAGGTGATCATAATTCTGTGCAAATTCATTTTCAATTTATCTAGTTTGGACGACCTCTGAAACGTTTATTTTAATTTGCAATGCTCGTCCTAGAAAATTTTACAAAAAGCAAAAAACACAAGAGTGTTCACATTATAAATTAAAAATAAACAAAAGGCAAATGCAGATCCTCACTATTTGTTTATCAGTGATTACACGTCTGACTACTGTTTAATAACTGACTGTTTAATAAAATAAAGACAATACAGTTGACCTAATAACTACACATTTCTTTTTGGATTAGAAGGAGACCATTTAAAATGCAAAACTTAATATGTGTGATGCCCGAGCATCGAAACGGGTTTCAAAAGCTGCTTTCAGTCACAAGTCAGGATAAACCAAAAATGTAAATAACTAAACAAATAACAACAAAGCTTAATTTTATTGTCAGTGCATAACTGCAGTGTTAAAATCCGAATGGGGAATCTGGAGTTCGATGTTTGCCATGATCACCGAGAAGCCCATCCCCTTTACTAGAAAGTGATGGCAACAACAATGCTAAGAACCGCATCTTCGTTTCTGTGAACTGCGACCCGTAAATCTGAGTGTCATGAAGCAGTCTGCCACCTCCCCGTGGAAAAGAACTCTGATCTGATACACGGGTGACCACCACATAAAATCATCCTGAATAATTGGTCATATGTGTACTTCTAGGCAAAACAAGCAACAAAATCACAAAAGCAACAAAAGCTAGCATTAGCAGGGGGCTATGATACATGTGGTAGCTGGACAGCTAACCATACCGTTATTTACAATCCAATCTGCGTGGGCTGAGCCGACAAAAGTAAAACAACTGGCAAGTAAACCCGACATGATTTACATATTGGACAACAACTAAAATACTGTCAATGTCCGTGGGTTGTAAGACGGAGCATCAAGACCCTAGTTAAGCCGCAGCCTTCGCTACCAAAGCTAGCACCGCTAAGTGCTGTCAGTCACACCGGAGTCACTCGATTCAAGAGGCACCAGGGCCAAGGCTGTTTACTTAACAAGAGTACTAATACGTGCAACCACGTGGCATGATATGTACCAAAGATCGCTAACACAGACATTTGTTCTTCTGAAGAGTTAAGACAGTAATGAGGTTGGATAACTTGAGAAAATTCCAACAAGTTAACCTTACCAGCTGCTCCTGAGTTGTCAGGGCTTCCGCCATCTTGAAGCCTCCGCAACGTCGCAGCGGGCGCGCCCACTATCCCTCGCCCCCGCCCCAGACTACTCCACTCACCGATTTGCCGTACGTTTGCATTATTTACGTTTACCAAGTTTACCACTAACCAGCCATTGCATCTATTTATCTATTTCAATAATCGTGGTGCAGCGTTAGATATCTCGTCTTTGGGTTTCCCCATACAATCTTACTTGTCTTTATTGAACTCATTGGCAACACATATATTATATTGCATTTTCTTCTGCATTAATTTATTTTATGGACCTAACTCAAACTGCAACAACCTACTGTAACCACTAAATAACCAACACTTGACCCGAGCCGGAACTATTGTGTTGTCTTACGGACTTCTTTCTCAGAAACCCCTGGGCGGAGCTTCACCTGGCGGATTTTTTCAACTGCTCACGGGAAACATGTTTACATTTTTTAATTACAAACTTTGTAATACAAAGTACTGATTCAGGAAACATTACCAAGTCAATTTAGTAAAGGTTTCTTGTAATAATGGTTCGACTAAGTTCATATCAGCTTTCTGTAATTGGATGAACCAGTGTCATGGGATCATCATGGTTTCACTACTAAACAACATTTTGTTTATCTGGCGTTTTCCCTGAACAATATGCTACTATGAGCAATGCTCCTCACCCCAAAAAGAAAAACTACATGGGATTGCACCATATCAAGAAAACCCGAAGGTAAGTTTGTGTCAGACATTGTCTATTTGGTTGGTGATAGTTCTCTGTTATTTTAAGAATTTATCTTGTGACTCACCACTAATTACTTTCAGGGCTGAATCAAGAGATAACTGCACTCCAGTGGGCATTAGTGACAAACCAAGCATAAGAGGGAACAGCATCATTGTGAGTGTTCGCTTTTAACCAAAATACTTTATGTTGTTTGAAAATTTCTGAATCTCATAAATCTTACATTAGGAGGGAGGAGCAAGACCTCAATTTGGAGAATCCACCATAGCTCTTGACGAAGAGCTATTGCAGGTGCTTGATGCCGCTGATGCTATAAAACCTTCAAATGCTGTTCACACTGACAATGTAGCCTCTGTTATACCATTGAGAGGCTATTCAACAATTTCAAAGAATCAAAATAAGGTTTTAACAAGTAATACCATTAGCAAGATGTGTACTGCTCAGCCAGATAAAAATGTATCTACAAAAGGTGCCAATGTCCCAAGGAGTGTGTGCAATAATGTTGGTAATCGCCAGAAACCTGGCTGGAGAGACGACTGCCAAGGTCTTGCTCAGCGTCTGCTTTTCAATGAAGAGGAATTGCCCCAGTCTACCTCAAGTTGCACTGTGACAGAGAAAGAAAATCCTGTGCAAACAACAGATATTACTACTAAGTAAGCATTGCCACTTACATAAAAAAATAAAATAAAAAAAGATTCACTGTGACAAGTTTATGAATGCTCTTTAATTATAGTACACAGAATCAATCTCCCAGAAGAACACACTTACCTCGGAGTGTAGATAAAGGCAAAAACAGAGAGCACCTGAATGCTTCCAGAGACTACATATTGTTTAGTCCTACACAGTTGGCAAAGGCTAGAAAACGGGCCAAACTACAGGAGTCATTACAGAATCAGTCTGCGTCAGTGCTTACGGTTCCCACTGGATTAGATGCTACGACTCTGAATAACACATCAATCCAACCAGGTGTGTTAATCACTAATGTATATTACTTATGCTTGCCCAGACCTCTTCCAATATGAGTGTGTGTGTCTTTGGTTACAGGCACTGTTATGTGTGCTCCAGAAGAGCAGGCAGAGAAGCTGTTGTTGTCCAGTTGGGGTTTACCTAAACCTGTTCTGGATCGTTACTGCAAACTTGGAGTGACTCATATGTTTGAATGGCAGGCTCAGTGTCTAGCAGTTGGCCATGTTCTGCATGGAGGAAACCTGGTTTACTCTGGTAAGTCTTGAATTATTTAAGTATATAACCTTTTTGTTGCATTTTTTTTTTTTTTTGCTTTTACAGCTCCCACTAGTGCTGGAAAAACACTAGTATCAGAACTACTCATGTTAAAGCGAGTACTGGAGACAAAAAGAAAAGCCCTTTTTATTTTGCCATTTGTGTCCGTGGCCAAAGAAAAAATGCATTACCTTCAGGTATGGAACAAAGGAGTGCATACACACAACATGAACGTCAAATATTAACAGTTTGTTTAATTATTGTTATTAGAATGTGTTTGAAGAAGTGGGAGTTCGTGTAGAGGGATACATGGGCAGCACTGCTGCTGCAGGCGGGTTTTCATCTTTGGATGTTGCTGTTTGCACTATAGAAAAGGCAAATTCACTCATCAACAGACTTATTGAAGAAGATAATATGGGATTGTTGGGTAATTATGATCAGTCAATACTATTTTTATATGTGTTGTGTATTTAATCATTTATTTTTTAGGTATGGTGGTGGTTGATGAGTTGCATATGGTTGGTGATTCTGGAAGGGGGTATCTGCTTGAGCTCCTCTTAACAAAAATTCAATACCTTTCACTGAAACAAAACTTAACAGGGTCTGTATAAATACATCTTCTGCTGCCTGGCAAGCTGTACATGAATCATTGAGAAAACCTATGATGTTGTAGGTCACTTTCTGAGGGTGTACAGATTGTTGGTATGAGTGCCACTTTACCAAACCTTTCCCTTTTGGCCAAATGGCTTGGAGCAGAGCTTTATCAAACTGACTACCGGCCTGTACCACTTCAGGAGCATCTAAAGATTGGAAGCAATATTTACAACAAGAGTCTTTCTGTGATTCGACACTTTACACCTGCACTGAGTGTTAAAGTAAAGTATAAGTTTGAACTTTTTAAACAAAATGTAATGTTCAACTAAGACTAATTGCATTGTAATTAAAATGTTTTATTTTCAAGGGTGATGATGACCATATTGTTAGTCTCTGTTACGAGACGGTGAGTGAGGGACATTCTGTGCTGCTTTTCTGCCCTTCAAAGAATTGGTGTGAGAAACTTGCAGACAGCATTGCAAGGGAGTTTTACAATCTTCATCATAAAAGTAGGTGCAAAGTATTTTGGAATCAGCTTTTATAGTACAATGGACTGTTATATGCTGGATTATGCATTCAATTAAGATTGCATGCATATTACCATGTAATATGAAAATATTTACAATGTAATACAAAAATATGACTCATAAACAAGCACCTTCCTCTCTTCAGAAACTCATTGTGAAAGAGATCATCAGCCTGTGACCCTGAATATAGAGGGTCTGGAGGAAGTAGTTGCACAGCTAAAACGAACTCCTGCTGGCTTGGACCCTGTACTCCAGCGCACTGTCCCGTGGGGCGTTGGCTTCCACCATGCAGGTAGAAACGTACCAAATTTATCAACTAGTTCTACACTACCCTCAATGCCTCTATACCTCTTACAGGCCTCACATTTGATGAGCGAGATGTTTTAGAAGGAGCATTTCGTCAAAGTATAGTGAGGGTCCTGGCTGCTACTTCTACACTCTCTTCTGGGGTAAATCTGCCTGCCAGAAGAGTCATCATTCGGACTCCTACCTTCAATGGGCACATATTGGACCCTCTCACATATAAGCAGATGGCAGGGAGAGCTGGGAGGAAGGGGGTGGACACTACAGGTACATTTATGTTAAAAAGTAAATTTTTTGGTAATATTTGGGATTCATTTGTGCCCCCTTCCAGGTGAGAGTGTATTAGTATGTAAAGAAGCAGAGCGACAGAAAGGCATAACACTCCTCAAAGGTGATCTTCAGCCAATCAGAAGCTGCCTAGTAAAGAGGGAGGGAGAGGGTGTCACCACTAGTATGCTGCGGGCCATCCTAGAGGTACAGAAGTAAAGTAACCATAGAATCAATACACAACATGGAACATGCACTTTCTGAAAAACCTGTATTTAACACTAGATAATTGTTGGAGGTGTTGCCAGTAAACCACAGGATGTCCGCTTGTATGCCTCATGTACGCTTCTGGCTGCTAGCTTGAAATGTGAGGGGAGACCGACAAATGAAGAGACCAATCAGGGGGCAATTGAGGCCTGTGTTGAATGGCTCATGGACAATGAATTCATAAATATCCAAAAAGAAGAAGGTGATCACAAACCTTTTTTCTTAGATCATGTTACAAATACAAGTAGTAACCCAGCTCTCAGTGGAATACTTACAGCTGTATTATGTTTGTCTACTAAGAGGAGCGGTACTGTCCAACTCAACTTGGTGCTGCCACCCTATCTTCATCTCTCTCACCTCCTGAGGCTTTGGGAATATTTGCAGATCTCCAGCGGGCTATGAAAGGCTTTGTTCTGGAAAACGACTTGCATATTTTGTATTTGGTATACATTCAAGTATCTCTTTCACTTTTTGCTTCCTCAAACCACAAATATTTGTAACCGAAGCTGATGTGACCCTGCTGTGTCTTGATTTCTCTACAGATTACTCCACTATATGCAGAATGGACTACTATAGACTGGTATCAGTTTTTCTGTCTGTGGGAACAACTGTCGTCTTCCATGAAAAGAGTTGCTGAGTTAGTAGGCATCCAGGAAGGCTTTCTCGCACGGTCTGTCAGCGGAAAGCTTGTTGCCAAGACAGAGAAGCAGCGTAGGCAGATGGCTATACATAAACGGTAACATATCTTCTACACCAACAGTTTCAGATTAAACCTTTTAGGTTAGTTGTAGGGCTACAGCTATACACTATTTTAGTAGCTGACTTGTCAATCTATTATATTTATTGCACATTGAGCTTTTTAGATACATGTTTAAACGTTTAAACGTTTTTAAGTAAAAACATGTAAATTATGGCCTTTAAGATAGAGAATGTTTATGAATGCATTAGGATCTGTATAGTCCAGATATGATGATGATTGTTAAAATAGTCAAGTTTTTTTTTTAAACAGTTGATGATTGTATGAATTGTTCTGATTAATCACTGCAACCCAAGTTAGTTGTTTGTCCAAAGCTAATTTGTAGTACATGTAACAAAAATGAGCATTTGCATTTTCCAACAAAATTAGGTAAGACAATGGCACATTACCCACTTTTAGACTAAATTAATTTTCATCTTCATCTATCTTTGTGATTCAATGTTCCTAAGAAATGAAATCATTTTTCATCAGGTTTTTCACCACTCTTGTACTGCATGATCTTGTGAATGAGGTTCCTCTGGGAACAGTGGCATCCAAATACAATTGCAATCGTGGGCAGTTGCAGTCTCTACAACAGTCTGCTTCAACATACGCAGGTACACAAATACTGTAATGATCTGCAAAGTTTTTTTAATATAAACTTTTAGGATGATAAATATAGTAGATACAAATAACTTGTCTGAACTCCTTGGTAATAAATTGTTTAATAAAAAATATTAATGGGCCTCTGCCTTTTTTAGGTATGGTGACAGTTTTTTGCAAGCGTTTGGGGTGGCACAACTTGGAGCTGCTGTTGTCCCAGTACCAGACAAGACTGAGCTTTGGAGTTCAAAGGGAGCTGGTTGACCTGGTCCGGGTTTCACTGTTAAATGCAACTAGAGCCAGAGCACTTTATGCACAAGGTCTCTGTACTGTTGCTGAGCTGGCCAGAGCTACTGTGGAGAATGTACAAAAAGCACTGAGGAATGCTGTACCATTTAAGAGGTGTGTACATACATTTCTTTCTGAGGTCAATGCCTAGTGAATTGTAGACATGCAACCCAAATTTGATTTACATTTCAAAGCATACAGTAATTACAATCAGTGAATAATGATATATATTTGTACATGGAATAATATGGTAATTATGTTGTACCATTGTATCTTATTATTTATTATAATAATATTGTAGTTGCAACCTGTTCTTTAACACAAGGTTAAACTACAGCCACAGAAGCAACAGTTTAGTTTATTTTAAAATTCTAAAAGTAATTGGTTATATTATGTAGGCCTGTCAAAATAAATATTATATTGAGTTAGTTGTTTAATATATGATAGAACAAGATTTTTGGGGGTCAATATTCATCGTGGATACTTTTTCTTTGTTGTATTTGGTCATTTTTGGCTAGTTTTCTGCTGTATGATCAGATTTGAACTGTAGAAGGTTGAATTATGAACTAAAATTAAACCGAGTAATTACTTAAAGGTGCATTGTATAACATTTCTAGTGGTGGATATGCTGCCTGCTTGTTTTCGTAGAAATGTTTTTGCTTTGTCAAGAATGTTCCACAGTATAGATTAAACCTATGTAGAGGGAGACAAGCAGCACTACGCTGCATTACAGTTCAGATCTGTGGATAGTCGCCCCTGTTCACAGAAGGAATTACCATATTGTATTTTTGAATCATAGAAACACTAGTAATAACTAAATGCTAGCTGAATTAGTTTAATGTCATATCATGGAACATTCCAGGCAATCAATAACATCTCCGTAGAGACAAGAAGGGAAAGGGTTGAATTTTTCGATTTATTTATACAGCTCTACATTATTTAACAATAGTGTGAAAATATAATATAATAGTGTACATTTAGAATACTTTTTTGTGACTAATTCTACTTTGTTTTGATTTAAAATATTATCGTCTATATTTTCTTAAGCAATGTATCAAACTTCTAAATTTGTGTGTGTTTATAGCTCTAAACGTGCAGTGGACGAGAGTGAGTTTGAGGCCGTAGAGAGAAGAAGTCTGCGGTGCGTGTGGGTGACCGGTGGACGGGCCTTGACTGAACAGGAAGCTGCAGTAGAGGTCATCTCTGAGGCACAGATGCTACTTCAGGAAGACCTAGCACAGTTAGGAATACAATGGGACCCTTTAATACGTCCTCCTGTAGCCCCTAGCAACCGCAAGGACAGCAATGACTCCTCTGAAAGGTCCTCTGAATCACTAATGGGCTCATGTGAAGTACATGAAAAGAACTCTAAAACAAACTGTATCAAAAAAACTAATGAAGGAGGGGTTGATAAAAATTCAGAGACAAAAGGAGAGGATGATAAAAATATAAAGACAAAAGGAGAAGAAAAGAGTGAAAAAGCGATAAAGGAAACGGTAAAAGATGCAGCAACAAATTTGAGAAAAGTAGAAGAAAACAAAATTGAAATTCACACCAAGTTAAAGACACAACGCATACCTGAAAGAAGCCTGACACAAGAATTATCAGAAATTGTATCAAGTCCGTCAATTCAAACTGTGCCTGAAGTCATTCAACCACCATCTTCACCTATGCCCCCTCCCCAATTCAGACCACTGCGCTCCAGGACTGAAAGGAATTTTGATGGGACAACAACTGATGGATCGAGAGGTAATGGACAATCACCACTTCAGTCAGGCAGACTTCAGCACTCTATGGTTCTAAGTAAAGTCCTCAACTCAATACAAACAAAAGACAAGTCAATCAAGAAACCAAATGGTGCAGAGTCTTCTACAATTCCAACCACTCCAAATATTGCTGTTCAAAGTGCCGAACAAGAAAACATAAATAAAGACCTGCCAGATGAATCACCTGGATCAGCACCTCTATTCTCCCCAGAGGCAAAAAGACAAAGATTAGCAAGTGAAGACAAGTTTTCATCCCCGGAGCTTTATGCGAGTCAAGAAGAGGTGAAAAATGATGAGAGTTTTGGGGACAGCTTTGAATTGGACTCTCAAACAGAAAGAATCATGGCACAGCAGAACCATCAATACAGGACTGCAAATGACAAAGGGGAATCTAAACCAGTTGAAGGAGATGAGGTGGAAGAAGATTTAGATGAAGTTGAAGAGAAACAACCTTGAAACCAGGATTGGACTTCTTGCTACAGACAAAGAAGTAGTTGCATTTGGTTCTTCTCTCACTGATAGCCAGATGGAATGTATCCTTAACACCAGCGATCAGGTTAGTAAAGTACATTTCTTATGCTGTTAATGCTTCATCTACGTTTAGACTATTTTAGACTCTTTAGCATAACTTAAAAGGAAATGCAAACAAAACTAGACATTTAAACTTTAGGTTGAGCTCAAAAGGTTAAGCGCTTAAATTAATTCATGTTGTTATATTATTAATTCTAGTCATTATTATATTTTTTACTTTCCAACAGATCTATCTGGCAAATAATGTGGTTGATAATCAAATGGAAGGAGATTTAATGGAAGAAGTGAACTTGAGAAGAGACCCGCCCACATCAGAAGATAGCCCTGACAGAAGCAGTAGTTTTATATTTGACAGTTTATACGATAGTTCACTTTTAGGATGCTTGAGCCCAAACAATGGAGAAAAACAATCAGACGATGAGAAGACAGAAACGGCTGAACAAGGGTGTCCACAACCCTCATCACAGGAGCGAAGGCGCAGTGAGGTCTTGGCCAATCAGGAAGCAGAAAGACAAGAAGCTGTTCAATGGGGTGAATCCTCTTTTAATCTTTCTGAGTGGGGAGACTCATTATTAGTTGGTGAACACTTCTTGGAAAGGCAACTTCGCCAAAATGAGAAGACTAAATCACCTAATGCTGATAAACCATCTGATACGCCACAAAACACTACTGATAATGAAGACAAAAATGGACAGATTAGACAAGGAAATCAGGAAAAACTAGAATATGTAGTTACCAGAGCAAATCAAAACGACACAGAGGTTAATGATTTGCCAGAACAAAATAACATGGAGGTGGATGCATTGCCTCAACAATGTCTCCAACAGGAATCTGAAAATAATCTTTTCTGCAGTCCTGGTGTCCAAGAGATCTTTGACCGTTGGCCTAGTATGACAGAACAGACTTGGCAGAAAACTACAGCAGCTACTCATCCAACTCCTGCTTCTTCAGACACAGTGTATGAAGCCAAAAGAACTTTTCAAAATGTTGCAGTTAAATCCAAGCTCGTTACAGAGAGAAAAGACAATGCTGTAGACCTGGTTCCTCCTACTCAACCAACAGCGCCAGTCACGCCAAGAGTCAAACTGACCACTTCTTCTGTGCATTCACCACTTACTACTCAACCGCTCAATCAATCAACTCCCACACATTTGCCAAAAACAAGAGTCTCTAAATGCCCCACATCTCTTGCAGAGACTATCACAAAACCTGCAACAGTCATGAATCATAAACAGGAAACAAAAACTGTCCCAGAGTCTGCTCTTGCTTCAAATACTGAGTTTGAGAATAATGCTGCGTCAGCTTCTGCACAATCAAAGCCTCCCTCTGACTTGGAAAACTGTGAGATCGATGAAGGATTTAGTTTGCAATTATCTCAGGATGCTAGCCCCACTTCAAGTAACCCTGGAACATTCTCCATCATTGACGTTGCGAGTGACAAGCACCTCTTTGATACCTTTATAAATGAATGGAAAACAAAGGGACGATATGCTCTGGCTTTGGCTTGTGAAAAAAGAGCACATCGACTGGAGCAGCTGGAAACCGGGATAGGAGCCAGTCATAAGATAGGTAATATTGGCTATCATTTATTTAAAAGCCATACAAAACTGATATTGTAATTTAGTGCTAATTAAAGTGTTATTTGGCATTTTAAATTCAAAGCCTAATTTCAATTTCCTGCTGTCACACATAAAGGCTTTATTTTATTTGACTAATCATAATCTAATGAAGTAATTGCTTTAATATTTTAAATGCATGCAAATTATTAAAGGCCCTTTCACTAGCTAAGACCACGCCAACAACGACATAGTGCGAAGAAGTTTATTGATAATGTACGAAGCGGGGCAGAGATGGCTGGGTTCAGACTATGGGTGAGGGCTCCGTCTCAATCTGCAATTGGCCCAGCCGGAACGGGACCCCCCCTTGTAGGGTTCTTATGACTGAAAGACAAAATAGGGGATGGGAGGGTGGGGTCGAGTTAGCCGAGACAAACTGGGATGATGGGAAAGGCTGCTACATATAGGCTTCTGGGAAATTATAGGCCTGGTCGAGGTGAGCTGTGGTTCGCTGGTGAGAGGAGAGGGCGGCTGAGGCGTGGTCCTGCTCCTGAATCTCAGTTAATCATATTAACTACATATATTATGAAAAATCTGAGCTTTAGCCATGTTAGAATGTTGTTACATCCTCAAAAACATATCTGGGGTTGAGTTTTGATCCATTCACACACGTTTGAGTAACACTTTATTATTTCTCTTTCTGCATTTCTACACTTTACCTTTGGTTCAGTAAAGACTGGTAATTCCAGGGCTGAAATGATCCAAGTAATTGTGCAAGTGTATGGAGTTTAAAAACAGAGTGGAGCACTTCCTGTATTATCACAAAGTATCACTAGGTGGCAAGGGGTATTTTCTGTTTGAGAGAAGAACTCAGCATAAATATGGAGGATTTGTGTGTTAAACATGTGTGAATAAAACTAAACACATTTCTAGGTATGATCTGATGAGGAAAAAACATAATATAGATGAGGAAATAGCGTAATATTGGCGGTTTAAACTATTCTGTAAACAAATATTGTGCACCTTTTATTAGTGACATCCTTTTGATTTTTCTTTTGCAGCAGCAACAGCTTCTCATAAATCCAGTCAGGAGAATGGTTTTCCGGTCAGAAACAATGAGGGTCATGTGCTGATGGGCTTGTCAGTCTGTTGGGGGGCAAGAGATTCATTCTACATTTCATTTGAGAGAGAGCAGAGCCAAGGTAATTTCAGTATGGATCAGATTTGGCTTTGGACTGGGGTGGTAAAATGCATACACAATCTACATCAGTGCCTATGTCTTTAGTTTATTTATTTATTTGGTTTCCCTAATCACCGTGTTCTACTGTTTTTATGCCAGGTCTTAGCTCCAGTTTGGCCCCTCCTGCTCTGGATGAGGCGCTGACAGTCAGTGAGAGACTGAAGCAAGTGAAGCTGTGTCTGGAAACCATATCCAATAGTTCAGGAAGAAGTACTGCCATTGTGTATGACGTCATCGAGGTTTACAAAACCCTCGTACTGAGTTGTGGCGTGAGCTTGCAGATGAACTGTGAAGACCCCAAGGTGATAAAAACAGCACTATACTATTACTGACATGTATTTGTTATTATTGTTATTTTCTCTGACAAATATGTTTACAGGTTGCATGTTGGCTGCTGGATCCAAGCAGTGAAGAAAAAATTCTACACAATATGGTGACAGTCTATTGCCCCGAAGAGCTCCCCCTGCTAGAAGGACTTGGAAGTGCACATACATACTGTCCCCGCGTCAGGGCAGCGACCGAGAGTGTGCTTCTTTATGCTGTCATGAATCAGTTAACTGGGTTGCTAGAGAAAGATGGCATGCTTGGTTAGTACAGGAATCTAAAGTCTAAGTCTAAATGAAAAATGTAATAATCCAATATTTATTTTATCAGACTTTTTCACAAGAGTTGAGATGCCATCCCAAGTTTGTCTTGCTCTGTTGGAATTAAATGGAGTAGGGTTCAGTGTGGAAGAATGTGAGAGACAAAAACACGTCATGCAAGCCAAACTCACAGCTCTTGAATCGCAAGCATACAGTCTAGCCGGGCATAGCTTCTCTTTAACAAGCATTGATGACATAGCACAGGTTAGCAAACCTATTTTCAATTTAAAAAACAGAACATAAGAAAGGGAATTCAAGTGCACAATTTTATTATTTCAGGTGTTGTATTTTGAACTCCACCTGCCTCCTAATGGTGACATTGGGGGCTCAAAAACCAAGAAGACTCTTGGCTACACCAGAAGAGGGGGCAAAGTGCGACTTGGGAAGCAGTTTAGCACCACCAAGGTACAATCACTAATAACTGACACATGAAGATTTGATTGTGATTTGATTGTGTTTTTCTTTTCAGGATGTTTTGGAGAAACTGTGCCCCCTGCATCCTTTACCTGGTATAATTCTTGAGTGGAGAAGAATAACAAATGCCTTGACCAAAGTGGTGTTTCCACTCCAGAGAGAGAAGCGGTACCACTCTGTGCTGGCTATGGACAGGATCTATCCCATTGCACAGACACACACAGCCACAGGTAAAATGACATCTACTAATACTATAATACTTAATTTTAGTCCACTTGTATGGAATACAAGTAATGTATTTTTCTGTTGTAGGTAGAGTGAGTTTCACTGAGCCCAACATACAAAATGTTCCAAAAGATTTTGAGATTTACATGCCCACAGTTGTGGGTCAGAGCCCTCCTTCACAAGAGAAATGTCATTTAATCACCAAACCAGGGCAAGTGAAATATTTGATTATGCAATATCAGTTAAATTCATCAGGACCATTTAAAATTAAACAATTACATTTTATTAAAAGGAAAAAGAGACGGTCTGTTATACCTTCAGTGGCAGCCAGTAATACAGACAGAGGCCCTGCATTTTCAGTCAGCATGAGGCATGCTTTTGTGCCTTTTTCAGGTAAAAACATTTAGAAACACAATTTTCACTGATCACTTTAACAGTCATTGTACAAACTCCAGGTGGAATGATATTAGCAGCTGATTATTCCCAGTTGGAGTTAAGAGTCTTGGCTCATCTTTCAAAGGATCATAGACTTCTTCAGGTAGGACACATATTCTTAAAACAAATGATAATAAAATAAATAAAACAAATTTTCCTGTGTCAGGTACTTAATGGCGGAGCAGATGTGTTTCGCTGCATTGCAGCTGAATGGAAAAGTGTTGATCCCGAGAGTGTAAATGACAACTTGAGACAACAGGCAAAGCAGGTGAAAAACTGTTGGATGTTAATATTTGACAAAGCCTTCCAGTAGTATATAAGTTTTTTGTTTTCAGATTTGCTATGGCATTATTTATGGAATGGGTGCAAAGTCTTTGGGGGAGCAAATGGGAGTGGAGGAGGATGATGCAGCATGCTACATTGAGAGCTTTAAATCAAGATACAAAGGTAAAAAAAAAGAAGATTGAATAATATATGTGCCACTGAAATTAACCTGCTCAGTTCCACATTTCAGGGATTAATGCCTTTCTCAAGGAGACAGTGAAGAACTGTGTGAAGAATGGTTATGTTCAAACCCTGATGGGACGTAGGAGGTACCTGCCTGGAATCACAAATGCAAATGTACACATCAAAGCACACGTGAGATTTTATTTTTTTTATTCATACAACACTACAAAATCCACAACAAAAATAAATATCATAGTAAACAAGAAGAAACTCATTGTAAAGTAGGATTGCTCAGGAAGGTGTGTGGTTATTTTTCTCATAGAAGGGACCTTCCTCCCTTATGTGGACAAAAATCAGATCCCATTGATATAACTCCTTTATTATTTGCTGAACATGACTTAAAGTTCAGATGGGTTAAAGTAGGTTCTTTTTCTCTCATTGTAATGGTGTAATTCATATTAGAACGTTTAACCTAATGCTTAAAAGGGGAGTCTATCTGTGTTGATAATGTGATATTTTTATTGGAATATTTCAAATTCTATATAAATAAACTATGATTTTAATATTATCTTTCCATTATCTTTATTTCTCAGGCTGAGAGACAGGCAGTCAACACAACTGTTCAGGGTTCAGCTGCAGACATTGTTAAACTCGCCACTGTCAATATCCAGAAACAACTGAGGAAAACCTTCCCTACAGCTCCTCTTTCCCATCATCACATTCCCTCAGGTAACATCCATAATGGTCCATCATTTCATTTAGTTTTCCAAATAAAGTAACTTGCTTTTCTCTTGACATAATTAAAATATTCAGAAAAACCACAACGTAGGATCACTACATCTCATCGGCGAGGTGCATATTTTGTTCTACAGCTACACGATGAACTCATTTATGAAACTTCAGAAGAAAACCTTATACAGGTATGGGATTCTCCATAGGATCTAGTACATATTCTCTATTTGACATTATGATTACTCAACAATCTACTTTTTAAAGCATTTGGTAATGTTTTTATTATGTCTTTGTACAGGTTGCTCACACAGTCAAGAGAGAGATGGAGTCTGCAGTAAAACTATATGTAAAACTTAAAGCTAAAGTCAAAGTGGGACCAAGTTGGGGTAATTTACAAGATCTAGATATTTAATAAATTTGTTTGTTGTCATGTAAATAAGATATGAAATGGATTTTAAATGAAAGAAGCTATGAAATGCAGATACATCAATTGTAACAAGACAATGATGAACTGTTTACTATTTATAAGTCTGAAACATATGTAATTATCTTTGAGTTATATGAACAATATATGAAATGAAATTGCACTTAAAATAATGAGTCAAGCAGCTTTATTTTTTCAGACATCTTAATATCTCACAGTTTACTGTTAAATTGTCCCATTTATTGACATAGTGTATCATGTGGCTTTTTTTGTGAACAAAGAACACCCATTTTAAGATTAAAATATGTCTATTTTGGTCCATACCTCTTGACAGTTTTGCATCTTTACATTAAATTATTTTGTTAATTTTGGGAGTCAAAATGCCGCCGTATGGTATGTCCTCAGTGTAATTACCTGCATTACTTTTTGGTTCATGACTGAACAAAGTGCACCATGAACCAGCAGAAGAAATATAACACAAATGACAAAGAAATGAGTAGAAAATAAATACATGGCATAATCACACTAATAAAATCATAAATTATAGTATTCTTAGATTCAGAGTCAGCTGTAAAATGTTTCAATTCAAAATGATCTGAAGTTGAGGGTAAATCTTAAACCTACTATAGTGATATTGTCATTGAGATTTTACCCAGATAAACAGATATTTTCAATATAGACTCTTGTGATGCTTGTATAAGGTTATAATGTGACACATTTAATGAGAATGAGTCATGACTCACAAACAGAATGACGTTTGAAAATTTGAATGTTGTGGTATGAGCAAACGGCAATTTTAGCAGACTTGCTGCCACAGACAAAATGGATACTATTGAAGGCATCAGTGTAATTATAGACCAAGGTAAAAATAGAAGTGAGAATTTATTTCACAAATGTACAGTTCTGCTACTTGAGCATCAGTGGATTCCACTGGCAGGGTCTGAGGCACCGGCAAGGCCAGAAAAGACCTTGGCTGCCTTAAAAGCATGGGACCAGTGATGGAGCCACTATCTTTTTCATTTGACAGATGACAAAGCTTTAGCCCATAGTACAGGGGTAAAACCGCATACATAAAAAGAACTGCAAGGACACCAGAGGTCTTATGTGTGTATCCGAAGGAGGGGTCAGGGCATCTCCCCTCCGCTGCTGAAATAGTATCTGACTGGAGGCCCAGGCAGATCCTCATCTCCTTCTGCCTCTGGAGCAAATGAGACTGTGAGGTCCACATAGCGCCGGTCTGCTGATGGTTTGATCAGTTTCTGCATCCTACACAAACAGAATGTATTTTAACAGCTCCATAGACTCAAGACAAGTGAGAGGCTTTCTGAACACTTACGTTAGTTTTAGTCTTTTTGAGTGTCCTGGCATGACAGGCACATAAAGCATCTTTACTCCATACACAACCATAGTTGGTTCAATTCCATATTTTTCCTGGTAAAAAAAAAAGTCTGGATTACAAAGTTGCATTAACACAGGCAGTAACTGTAAAAGAGTAAATCACTCACCCTAACTGCATTCATAAAATCTGACAAAGTAAAATCTGGATGTCCATAGACAGTCCAACAGTCCCAGATGGAGAAGTAGATGTTGTTCCTAGAATATGAATGACAAACATGACCTTTAACTAAAGTCTAGACCTATTATATTAAGATTATACAATAACAATCCTTAATCGTCACACACACCGAATGAGCGTCTTCTTCACTGGTGCGGGTTCAGTGAGCACTACAACAGGGATGGCCAAGTTGAAGAAACAGTTTTTGAAAGAGTCAAACCCATAGCCTCCGGCCACTTTAATCAGCTCTAGAGCCACCTGAAAAAGTATTTATTTGAAACAGAGGCATTGCAAATATCTCTGATCAAAACAGATATTCTCTTACCAGTCCTGCAACAGCAGCTGTTGCTGTAGCAATAGCAGGAATGATCTTTCCAGCGATGCGCTTGGTCTTAAAACGGTCAGCAGGCTCAATAGAGTACATTCTGGCTCTGAGAGCGGAGGCTGATGTGACGAAGTCCAGGTGACCATTGCTGTCATCATCTTTTTCAAATTGTAATGGACTCATTTGTAATGTCTCTAAAACAGTTTTATACAAACAAAAGATAACAAAGTTTCCTCCACACAACTGCATTATTTATGTGAGCATATGTAGTATGTTTTTATGAACCTGGTGTGATGCAGTTTGTTGCAATGGCCTTCTCCAGCTGTTCAATGGCCTCCCTCTCCTCTTCACTGCTGGTGGTCAGTTTAATCTCAGATTTTTTAGCAGTCTCATCTGTCACTATACTCTGAAAATGGCAGATTAAAACATGTAGTGTCACAAATATACTTTTTATAAACCAAAGCCAAACATTAGAGTGTCTAACCTTCTCTGTTGGCTGATAATCTGGAATAGCCACATCTGCGAGTATGCCACTAACGACCTCTTCAGAGAGATCCTAGCAAATACAAACAGGTTCAGAAAATGAAAATGTCACCATGCCAAGTAAAAGAAAAAACAATTTACATTACCTTTTTGGTGTAAGAAATATTGTAAATCCCAGCATAAAGTCGGGCTGTGCTGACGATGAAAGTCAAGTGTCTGACATAAAAACACAAGTCATGAAATATAGAATTATGGATAATACGCTGATGCTGTTTAGTGGTATACTTACAATGGATCTTGGAGGTCAAATTCAATAGGTGATGGGGGTCGTTTTGGAGACTGCCAAAATAAACCTAAAACAAAAGTAACTAAGTATTAGAGCTTTATTTGCTTCAATAGTCACAATCAGTTCTTTGTAAACCTACTTCCATCTTTTAACCTTGTGTCCAGAGGGAAGGAGTGCAGAAGCTGAAGGGCCTATGAGAAATACAAAAACAAAACAGTGAGAAAAATTTGGAAATTAGTGCAAAAGGGTATATATAATAAAAACAATGATAAATAAAATATGTTTGCAAGAGATAGAACCTTTGTCTTGAAATATTTCTCAAATTTCAGACGAGCAATGGTAATGCACTGCTCCCAATGAGTAGGTCTTCTGCTCAACAACTTCATGACCTGGAATGAGCCCTCCAGACTTTCTCCTGCCCTCATTCTCTAAAGAAGAGCAAAAAGGCAAGTATGTGTTAAAACTACATAAATACAAAACCTGTTGAGCATCTGAATAAGTCAACAGAAAACTCACTCACCTGAAGGACAACTTCAGCTGAAGAGTGGCTCTGCCAGAAGGAGTTGTACAAGGAAGGTTTGTGGGTAAAGGCATTCTCAAACTGCAAAGAGTATGTGATTTTGGTTATTTCTTCAAGCTTCTTCTAAAATTAAAAATTATTTATACATAATAATAATGCTATTTTAAATTCACCAAACCTTATCTCTTGCCCATTGGATAGTGTGCTCTATAACAGATGGGAAAGACTTGAGGGTACAGAATGGGATTTCCTCTTCTGGGGGATCCCTCTAGAATATATTATATAGAGTATTTGTAAATGTTACTGTTCCTTAAATTGTACAGGAAGCAAACTGTAACCATTAAGCTTACATGGCTATTGTAGGACTCTGTCAAGTTTGGCAAAATTATCTCTGTGTGACCTTTAGTGCCCATAGTACCCGAGTCAAGAAGTGCTTTTTGATTAGAAAGACAACGGCTGAAAATACAAATGAGAACAACAATATTTAAACAATAGGAAAAGGAAACTCACTAGATACTGTAAAATACAAATTAAGGAATTGATATTATTGATGTGGATAGATAGGTAAGTTAAAACATTTAACTTACCTATCTACATATCTGCGAGCTTCCACATTATCCAGTGCTGTCACCACTACATTCAAACTGGAGTAGAAGGAGTCACTGTAGATCCCTTCAGTAGCTGGACACACTTTGTTGAGATGAGCGTCAATCTGTAGATCTGAGTTAATATCTAGTGTAGCTTCTGCTGCTGTAGTACTCTTTGGTTTCTATGAACAGCAAAAGCATTCATTAAAAAAATATGCCATAACAAAATAAGATTTGTTTTCATTACAGTAAATTTGAAATTGAAACCGGTACCTGTATATGATGTGGCCTGAAAAGAAACTGCCGATTGAGATTGGACTTTTCTATCAGATCAGGGTCAGTGATGCAAACCTATAATAGAAAAAATATTTTAGTTAGCAAAGAAATATTTAGTAAGATCTATTTTAAAGTTCAAAATCGACAGCTCACCTCTCCAGAACATTTAGCTAGTCCAACACCAAGTAGTGCAAAGTTCTTTAGCATCTCACATCCAATTGCACCACATCCCACCTGTGGTAGTGGAATAGTATGAACTTGTCAGAGAAAATGACATCTTTGATCTTGAAAAGTGAGCGGGTTTAGAGAAAAATGTTTTACCATAAACACTCTAAGCTTCTTTAGCTCCAGACTCAATGATTCACCAATGCAAGCTCGTAATCCATCATACCGGTCTCCTCTTGGATAAAAGTCTTCAGCAGGTAGAGACTGCAAGGGCCTGACTACTTCCACAGCGTCAATATAAAACTGAAAATGGATAGAAAGTCAACACCGAAAAAATTCAATAAAACAATAATTTAGGGCTTTGCTATAAAACATACCCACTGCTGCAGCGGTGCAAACTTTCCAGTAATGGCTTTCAAAGCTTCCTGACTGGCAAGGCCTCCAACAGCTGCCGCTAGAGGCGGTAGGACCCCCTTAGCTGTTCTTGCCAAACACCGAACTAACTCAGAATTTACTGGAGTCTGTTGGAAAATAGGCAATAATTCTTTGTTATATTGGATCAGTTGGAGGATATAAAATAATCTTACCTTGTTCCTCAAAGTAGAGTTGACTTCTTCAGTTAACTTCAGTAAAGTTTCTGCATCTTGTAAACATCTGTTCATAAATTATGAATTCAATATGTAACATTTTTAACTCATATGCTATAACTAGTATTTACATATAATTATATACAATATATCAAACACTAACTTGATATCTGGGAGTCGACTATGCTGTTGCTGGAAACTGTCCAGGGCCAGCATAGCTGCATGAATTTGCAGAGGTGCCTAGTGAAACAAAACATAAACATGGAAATGAAAATGTTGCACTAACACTTTTTATTTTGCAGGTTTAAACTTCTTACCTCTGGCTTACTTAAATCCGGAATCACAACCTGAGGGTCACAAAGTTGTTTCTCCATTGTTTCCTAAAATAAAATAAAAAATGTTAATATGTAAGATTATGTGATCATTTGCATTTTAAAGCCTATTAGTGAAAACAATTGTATGCATTTAATTCCATCACATAAAAAAAAGAGTACAATTTGCACTTAAAAAAGACAAACAAAAATAATAACATCGGGTTAGCATTTTATCTTCTATAACAAATATGGAGAGAGTCTAGGTGTAACAGTATCTATCCTTTTGCTTTTAGTTGTATGATCATATTCAATATTGAACAGCAACTATCGATTATATTTCAGCACAGAAACAGTTAAAGACCATGACTTTTGACTGTTGTGTATAAAAGGTGTTCTCATTAATATTCCATAAGGTTTTTTATGCCTAATCCAAAATTTCAAAGTTTATAAATTGATTGATATAGTTAATGTTTTGACATACACTAACCAGAATTCATTTGGTATGAACTCACAAATTTGAATGTTTTAGGAGTTTTCACCAGCACTGCAAAACCACCATGGGCATATGGACACAGCTGAGTTGTGTCTCCTATTGTGAAACTGTGAGGAGAAAGGACTGAAAGAAAAACAGACACATGAACAGAAATGAAGTATCTTCAATGTCACTTCAAATAACTGGTTATGCAGTACAATTCTACCTGAAATCTTGCGCACAGTGCCATTGAGTTCGTCCATGCCATTGACCTCCCTAAAGACAACACACTGTCCCGTCTCCAGGCCATGGGGGTGGTTGTCCATACATGTAACCACACCAGGGTTGTCCTACAGGTGTTGTCAAACAAGTACAATTAAAATGTTGTGTTTAATTGTGTTAAATACCTCCACTGTATTATTATTAATAAAAAAGAAAATACCTGAGTAATACTTTGGATAAATATTTCTTTTGGCTCTTCTCCCGTGGGATCAGAAACCTCAAATTCCTCCCCAAAATCACAAAAGACTCTGGCGCAAATGCCATATGCATCACAGCCAATGAACTGTTAACAAACATGAAACATACCCACCCATCAGTATTTGACTTATGTATGACTCCAGCTCTGGTTTAACTAATGGTGGAATCGTTCAATTAGTGTGTGGCTCAGATTTACTTTGATAGGAGGTGACTGTGAGTGGCAGAAGTCATTTATTCTTCTCTGGAGGTTGAGTCTGGCTTCTGTCAGTATAATACACTAAGGGAAAAAGTCATGGAAGGTATTGGTAGGTAGCAAATGAAACTAAACTCATATGCAGTATATTCATTTCATACAGTTTAGTTGAATTCATTCATTTCATTGCATATATTATACCTGGTACTTTTTGAGAAAGCTGAGATCAGTATTATCATCCAAAGAGGAGGATGACATATCCACATGAACATAGGGATTCAATTCAGCTACTCGGGGACATACTGCTTCCACCCTAAAGTATAAAAAGGTGAGAGTATGAGAGAAATGAGACTGGTCTAAGCATATAAGTAAAACAGAGTGCAACTATTTACAAAAATATAGAGCAAAAGGGCTATAGGAATGGTTGAATTTACCTCTTTTTCTGAGAGGACACGTCATCTTTACGTATGAAAAAGTTAGAACCAAGATCCCATGTTTCACACCTCTTTGTGTCATGAAGAGTGACAGCCTGAATAAAATAAAAACAGACCAACAGCAGGCTTATAATAAAATATATAGACATGCAGCCAGTCATGTTCAATTACGTACAAAAATTTTTTTGGCCTACCTTGACACCAGCCAGGACAATATTTTTTGCTGCAGATAAAGTTGGGTGTTATACAATTGCAAGAATAACAACAAAGAATGATTTAGGTTTATAATACTTACCAATCTCTACACCAAGTCCTCCCATTCCGCTGAGAAACACAGAAGACTGAGCCATCTGGTGCATAGCAAGGTCCCCCAGCACATAGCGCTGCCGGCTGAAAACAACAGGTTTGTAAGAGGTTGTCAAGTCAGTAATATAGATTTATTTATGAAACCTACCTGTAAAGTGAATCGTCAATCTCCATGGAGTCGGATGCCATTCTGAGAAACAAAGATTAAATCACGTGAAATTAAATAATCCTCTTTTTCGTAAAACCAACGCCCTCTGGAAGCTAGCTAACGTGATGATGATGTTTTTCATTCGAGAGTCAACACTAATGACCTGGAAACACAGTCGAGTTTGATGATATGCTACACTACTATCCGATATTTTATTTGTAAACCTAAGTGCTACATTACACAGAGACAGACTTTAAGATTAGATCCCGTGTTAGCACATTGTGATACGAGCTAACACTGGTGTCTGTCTCTGCTGCCTGGGGATGACTGGCGCTAATTTAACGGTTTTGGTTATTCACTCTCAGCGCATTCGTTTGTAAGACATTTTTTTGACAATAACGTAGCATTTAAGCATAAAATAACTATGACATGACGTGAAATAGTGCTTTAATTGAGAGAAATGACGCTGCTACCTGTCAGTGTGCAACTGGAGCAGGAGGAATGAATGGCCCGGTCGGAAACTGAAAGTTGTTCCGGGTTACGCTGATTACGTGACGGAGAAATCTCACGTATCAAAACACTGATATAAAAATTTTAAAAAGACTGGGATAACTTTTAAAATGTTTTTTTAAATATGTTAAATCTGGTCACTCTACCTTTATTACTCTTTTCGTTCACAATCAAATATAGACGTTATTATTATTATTATTATTTTATTAGATTTTTTTACTTTTTTATTTTTTTATTTTACACGGACCATGAATGGACGTATTAATCACAGAGTCCTGAAAATGTGTTGTTTAAATCCATTTTATATATTTTTCAGTTTTCAGACAATCTTCAAAATTTTTAGCAGTGTTTACTAACGTTTCCATGGTAACTCCTAAACATTTCACCATTAGAGATACACTGTTGTTTTTAATTTTCAGATTGACATGGGCTCTTTTCAACAATACACTATTTATGCTGTGGTTAAATCCAGTTTTTATCACCTACGGCTGTTATCTAGACTCAAATCAGTTTTAGTGATTTGGAGTGGGTGATCCATGCTTTTATCTCTACACGTGTTCACTACTGAAATGCACTGTACACTGATATCAGCCAACCTGTTACGCTTACAGTCAGTCCAAAATTCTGCAGCATGTCTTTTAACCGGCACACGTTGTAGAGAACACATTACACCTATTTTACCCTCCTTGTACTGGCTCCCCATTTATTTTAGAGTTGATTATAAAATATTATTGTTTGTTTTTAAGCACGACATGGACTGGCCCCTTCAGTCGATTCTTTTAAGTCTCATTTAAAAACACACTTTGGAGACTTTGTGTTGCTAAAATGTGCTATACATATCAAGTTGGGTTGGATTGGATGTAGATGTCACTGCTAAGTATCAGTAGGCAATGGTAAGCCTAGGCCTATTTTTAATGTTATGCGCATCTTGGGACCTGGGCATGACTTGACTGTTTATTATAAAAAATAGAAAAATCAAATCAAGGTATTGATACTCTGCAGCTGATGTCATCAACATTTCTTGGGGGAGTGATGCTAAATGTAGGCTCTGCTCTGTCTGAGGCTTTATTTAGGGTGACCAAATGTTCCTATTTACCCGGGACAGTCCCAGTTTTGAGCCCTGTGTCTCCTGTCCAATCAGATTTATACAAAACCAGTGATTTGTTCCAGTTTTATACAAGAAATTTCCCTCCATGGTGTCCCTGTTTTTTACCAATTTGATCTAAAACAGGCCTAAACCAGGACTAAGTTAAGATTAAACCAGGACTACATCAGGTCTAAACCAGGACTAAAACAGGACTATCACAATTTTTGACTAATCTGATCAGCGACAACAGTAAAGAGGAGCATCAGTTTTATTTATATCAACCATCCGAACCTGGGTGTGTCCCAGTTTATAATTTTGAAAATCTTGTCATCCAAGCTTTATTAAACTTTTTTGTTCACAATCAAACATAAACTTTTTTTTTATTTTTTATTTTTTATCTTATTTTATAAGGGTTTTTTCTTTCTCATTTAAGAAGAACAAAGCAAAAATGTCCTGTAGCCACTGCTGAAATAATCAAAGGTCAGTAAGTTGGTGAAACATTTACTTTCTTTTGACCCTTTGAATGACTTAGAATGGACAGAAAGATATGTTGTTAACTTACACCATAGGCTATTGCTTTTAAATGAATGTGGTCACTAGTCAAGGACCTTTCCACTTTCAATTCAACTGTTCACAACATTTTTTACTGTGTGTGTCTCAATTTAGACTTTAGAGTCACCCACCCTCTGTTCATATTGGTCAGGAGCACACGGGAACACCTCCCCTTGCTCTGAAGCCAGACCCAGTGTCCTGTACCTGAACACATCTAAGTCTACATTGGACTACCCCTTCCATCTCTGAGCCAGTTCTCTCTATATTTAAAATGTGGAGCAGAGTGGCACTGCATCCGCTGCAGCGGCTCTCAGTCTCTCATCTGAATTTAAGTCCAACAAAAACTTTGCAGAAAAAGATGTCAACCCTTCAACGAGTGTATGTGACGCGACAAATACCACCTGATGGCCTCAAGATACTGCGAGAATCTGGACAGTGAGTTGTATTTTATACATTTTATTCATAAATACACATATGATTTATCTTCTATCTATCTATTCAAAAAGGTAATAATCTGCCTTTCAGGGTCTGAAATGTAAAAATGCGAAGGTCTAACTTTGTGTTAAGGACCCAGGTTCCTGGTCAGATAGTACTGGTCTTATCTACAGCTGATATATGTTCATGTGTGTTTTTCCAGAGTTCAGTTTGAGCTGTGGAACTCTGATGACGTTCCAGTCCCCCGGAATGAGTTACTCCAGAAGGTCAAAGGTGTTGATGGTTTGCTCTGTGTGCTCACAGAGAAGATAGATGCAGAACTTTTAGATGCTGCTGGTCAGTGGAAAACTGTGCGAAATATTGATGGACGAAACTTGAATATACCAATGTTGTGTTGTTCATCTGCAGGCCCAAACCTGAAGGTCCTCAGTACGATGTCCGTGGGGTTTGATCATCTTAACTTGGAGGAACTTAAAAAGAGGTGTTTAATCCATTATGTTATTATGTGCGCATGCATTAACAAAATCTTTGGCACTTTGATTAACTCTCTGGTTGTCCAGAGGAATTCGAGTGGGGTATACGCCTGAAGTTTTGACCGATGCTGTAGCTGAGTTAACTGTTGCATTGTTGCTGGCAACATCCAGAAGGCTGATAGAAGCGGCACATGAAGCTAAAACGTAAGTTAGTTTCAAGAATAAACAATTAACTTGAACCCATTAGAAGATTGAAAAGGCCATATTGTTGTTTGTGACAGAGGTGGCTGGGGCACATGGAGGACACTGTGGTTATGTGGATATGAACTGGCCAATAGTACAGTGGGCATATTTGGTCTGGGAAGAATCGGTACTAAAACGGCTCAACATTACAGATTTTACTAGAGTGACTATTTCAAAATGTGTTTTTTTATTTTTAATTTTTATTAAAGGTGTGGCTATTGCTGAGCGCCTAGCCCCATTCAAAGTAAAAAGATTCATCTACACAGATGTTGCCCCCAGGCCTGATCTTGCAAGTCAAATCAATGCAGAATTTGGTAAGAATTTTTATTTTCAAGTTTTATGGAATGCAAGGATAGTCTTCTCAAACTGTACATTATTAATCACTAGCCTACATGCTTTTTGTTCAGTCTCTATGGATGAACTGGCAAAACAATCAGATTTTCTTGCTGTGTGTTGTGCTTTGACGCCGGAGACGAAGGAGATCTGTAACAAGGACCTCTTTTCTAAAATGAAGAAAACATCCATCTTTATTAACACTAGCAGGTCCCTCTCCCCATAATACGTAATATATATTGTATACATGCTGTTGGATATGTATTGTTCTTTTCTCATAGTTTTTGTCTTCCAGAGGTGGTGTGGTGAACCAGGAAGATCTTTACGAGGCTCTCTGTAGTGGGCAGATTGCAGCAGCTGGCCTCGATGTTACAGTGCCAGAGCCGTTGCCAACTAGTCACCCACTGTTTACACTAAAGAACTGTGGTATGTGCCAAAAACTCCAGTATTTACTTATCTCCACTTAGATTAGTCACAGCCCTTAATCTCTGTATGTTTGTTTTCAACAGTGATTCTTCCTCACATTGCCAGTGCCTCCTACACTACGCGTAATGCCATGTCATCTCTGGCTGCAAACAACCTGCTTCTGGGTTTACGCGGTGAACCAATGATCAAAGAGCTCCATCTTTAAAAAAAAAAAAGCAGATGACATAACATAGCTCTTTATCAAGAGTTGACTACATATGGACAAAATGTTTTTTTATTTTGTAAAGTATATCCTGCTGCCAAATGGAACAATATACAAGAAATAAATGTGTGTGTTTTTTTTTTCATTCAAGCCCCTAGGGTTGCCTTCACTTTTTCCATGACTCTCACAGCTAAGGTGTGGAAGTGAAGAGATTACCCATGTTACCAAAAAGTGAAGGGGTTACGGCTTCAAACTTATAAAGAGAATTGCAACAAAAAATAGTAAAAATTAAATTCAATGTGTAATTATAATGTGTAATATGATTTAAAATAATCTATTTCACATGTTAACAAGTTGTGTAAACAATTTCACACATTCAATACATGATGATATAAACTCAAGTTTTAGATCCAATAATGTATTTATATTTTTTTATTAAATCATTAAATTCCCAGATACCCATTCCTCATAATTAATGTGTTTTACATTACTTTTACATTGTTCTTATTTAGAAACACTAGCTTTAAGTTTTATACTTATTTTGATAAAACATTACAGGTTTACCTCTGTATGTTTAATTTTAAAAAAAACAAAAAAACAAATCATCATCAGTTAATCAGTTAGAAATTGTTGTTTCACAAGATTGTACAAATCATTGGTCAAAAGTATCCAGACTTCCATGTGGCAATGAGGATCACACAAAGACCCGCAGCATAAAGACTAGACTTAAGGTGCAATTTAAGAATAGTTTTGCTCAAACTTACTAGGAGTAATTGGGCAATGGACAGTAATCATCTTGTGGGAGCCACGATTATTTATCATTACAAGACAAACATCTACTAGGAAATCCAGTATCGGGGGAAACCCTGGTGTGTTCATCTCATTTCTCATCATCGGAAAGCCGCAGATATCTCAAAAAAAATTTTTTTTATATTTACACTGACATTGGGATTTACTGAGACCTCCAGAATTTGTAACCAGTTTTCATAACACTTAACAATTATTGAGAACATTGTCAAAAAGTCCACTCACATTTGTAACATAAGTTATTCATATTTATCTATTATACATTTTCATCACAGTAAACAACACTCTGTAACTGTGAAATATACTTTGACTTTCTTCAATTCTTAAAATGTTTCAAGTAAAGAAGTATGTTCAAGGACAGTACGTAAACATTAACAACATATCTATCGAAGAATAGAATAAATTTAATCAATTATACCAACGACTGGCTACAGCTGAGTCGAGAGGAGGACAGATGTTTTTTTCAGTTAAAGTACACATTTATTAAAAGAATGATTTGTCTTTATAATATGCAATATATGAATGGAGGGAAGCAAATTTTAAGATCAATGTTTAAGATCACAAAAGCACATTGAAAAATAAATTACAGGACTTTTCATTGCACAGTGCACATAATTCATTAACTACCAGAAATAAAAAATATTTTTAAAAATAAGTAGCAATAAGGCGACATAGGTGTAGACATTTGGCCTCAAACCAATAAACCCAGAGAGAGCTAGGTTGATTTACTTTACCCTTAAACTGCTGACTCCAGTCACAGTATCGTGGCAGGCATTCAGCAATAAAAGCTGCTAGATCATCAAAGACAACTCTGATAAAAAGATGGAACTGAATGAAGAATCAATGTGAGAATAATAAACAAATGTAATTCAGTTCCAGGAACAGCCTGAGGCCTAGAGCAGAGCATTGGACATGTTGCTGTTCTGCCAGCGCAGACAGGTGGTTTTGGAGTGCTTGTACAGGTGAGAGGACTGACTAAAACGTTTGCCACATTTAAGGCAGGCATAGGGTTTCTCCCCTGTGTGAACTCTAATGTGTTTCTTGCAGTCTGTTAGAGTAAGAAAAGTTTTGCAACATATTTTACAGGCATATTTCCGATCTCCCTCCACCACAAGGACGTTATGTTCTGATAATGCCTTCTTGCACTTGGACAGAACATCAGCTGAGGCTCTAGTCAGGTGAGGGGGGAGCGGTGTGGACCTGCCACTGTTCATGTCATACCCTCTTCCTTCATTGAGAAGGAGAGGACTTGTTAGAGAGGAGGAAGTAGCACCTTGGAGTACACCATTTAATCCTTCTTCTGCCATTTTAGGAGCAATGCGCCTGTAACCAGAATATGCCAAGGCAGTGGAGGATGATCCAGCAGATCCCTGTGATGGATTCCCCAGGGTGTGTAGAGAGAGTGAACTGGAACGTTGAAAATCCATCCCAAAGCGATCTACATGTGCTCCACTAGCCCCTGGTCCCCTAGGGTTAACCAAACTTTCATGCATAGGACGAAGGAAAAAAGAATCTGTTTGGAGGCCATCTCCAAAGTTTGCATGACTTTCAGTGCTAAGGCGAAGAGAAGATGACTGGCTGGAGCCAGACTGTTCTGCAGATTCCCGTCGAACCAGAAAGTGAGGGGCTGCAGCTTCTCCAGTTGTGGTGTTTGGGAGGTCATCCTCTCCAGCAACAAGCCCTCCGCCACTGCTTGTAAAGTCTTTGGAACCTAGAAAACTTGATATGCAAAAGCCAGCTTTGGCATTTACACGGTTATTGCTGTTAATGCCTTTTAGCGGAAGTGAAGTGGACTGAAGTAATGAGCCTGAGCTTGGCTGTGGCTCAGAGGTGAAGCTGCGGTCACTGCTCTCTGGACTCAGCTCCACTTTCTCCTCGTCCTCATGGCCCACACGCTCAGTCGGGTCACTGGCTTCAGCTTGGGATGTCACATCACTGATTTCATCTGTGGGCTCTGGAGAACTCAGAGGCTCTTGTTTAACCACAACAACCTGTTGGAAAAGAAAGGTAAAGCTTAGGCAAAATCATGGAAAACTGATTAAAAGAAAACACAAAACATCAGTTATATACAGCCAACTATGCTAAATGTTACCTTGTGTTCCTCTTCTTCTGGTTCATCTTCTTCTGTTCCGACCTTGACTTTCACCTCTGCTCTGTTGTTCTGGTGCTCAAGGTCATCCATGTCTTCCTCTTTGCCAACCCCTGCCTGCATTCTCCCCATGCCCTCTGCCTGACAGTGCCCGCTATCGGACTGACTTGGCATTTGTGGGTCATCTTGTGATATACCAAGAAAGTTGCCATCTAGTTTGGAGTCATCACCCAGTTTGTGTGAATCAGGGGAAAGAATTGCACCATCCTCCCCTGCATTCACATGTTCATCTCCTAACAGTCCAAGGACAGGGTTAGAGGTGCACTGCCTCTGCCTGTTTTGGTCCTCAGGAAGTCCTAGAGTGGATGACTTGCGTTTGTGGAAGCGCCTGATTGAATAGGAGGCCTTCTGATCTGTTCTACTGCCCACTCCTACACTCCTCACACCATCATCTTCAACTCCATCCAATGCTGAGCTTACCAGGCTCAAACCCAGCTGCTGAAGCAAGAAGCTGCGTTGTAGTTTTGAACTAGCAGAATTTGCCACTAAGTTTGGATTCACAGCCATGTCAGCCTGCTGCTGTTGTCGGTTACGCTGCTGATCTTGCGGCGTGTGATGAGAGCCTCTCTCAGAAGATGATGGCATGGGAAGGGTACGTGTAGTCAGATAATGTTTACAAGCCTTCACTACGTTATTTAGGTGCAGATGGGAGGCTGCTAACAGAACATCCATGACATTACTCTCGCCTAGCATCAGGGTCGAGGTGTACATCATGTCCACTAGAGCAGCAAAAGCTTCAGCTGTCACCACCTGGAATTAAATACAATTAATCAATACAAATACAGACTCCCATCATAGGTCTAGACATGAGCACTCACTTCACTATCGAGCTGGATCATGTTCATGCTTGCATCTCCATCCACCACAGTGAAAAGTGCCCGGAAGTGTGTGCTGCAGGCTGCCAGCACAGACCGGTGGGCCTTAAAATGTCGACTGCCAACAACAATGACACAGTCGCACATTTGTCCATGAATTCGTTGATAGTTCAGCTGCTGAAATATCTGCTCAAAATGTCCAGGGAAATCCATGTCCCTAAAAGAAGAGATGATTGTAAAATAAGCAAGTAATCTGCAGTCTAAAGCAAAGCAAGCGCCGTAATTATGGGTTTAATTTAATATAATGATTGTGTATTTACAATGCTTTCTCTGATCACTAATATCTTGCTGCAGTAAAGGCTAAGAAAACAATCCAGCAAATGGAAGTAAAGTTAAAAGAAGCATCCACTCATTCACCTTTGATGTTAGCTTAATGCTGGCTGCAACTATCCGTGCCATTTTATTCGCTAAAACAGCCTTTTCACACAATGTATTACTCCTGTGTGATGCGTGTAAACATAATTAACGAAGTTCGGGTTGACTAAACAACTGTAGTGTGTTTTTATCTCGTATTCTTTTGTGTATTTTGCACTAACCTATCGGGCCTTGTTGGTTGCGCGTAGACTCAGGTTTCCTCTGGCAATGTTGGTCTTCAGTAAATAAACAATCCTTCCACAAAGAGCCGGTTTCTGACTGCGGATTCTGTATCACGACGACGCCATGCTATTTTATCTTTATTCGATAGACGTGTCATTAAAATAAACTCAACTCAGACAGTGTTATTCAAAACAGACTCACATGATGGCGCTGCAAATCTGACTGAACACTAAATGTATTTCCACCACGGCGTGTCGCACTTTCACACATCACCCTAACTGAATATACATTTTTATCCTGACAAATAGTAGTAATACTGTATTTTTTCGGCTTAGGATGAATCAGTAAAAGAGTACATTCTCCAAGGGTGACCAGACGGAACAGTCCCAGTTTTGAGCTCTGTGTCCCCTGTCCTCGATATCCAGCAAATTTACCCAAACCGTGTGATTTGTCCTAGTTTTATACAAGAAATGTCCCAAGCCAACAGTAAAAAGAGGCATGAATTGACATTTGTTTAGGTAAAATACAGAAAAAAACCTTAAAAATGACAAAAAACACAAAGAAAATGTGACTATACTGAGTCACAGGGAGCGTCCCTATGTTCCCACAGCCTTATGTTCCTCATTTCTAAGTTTCTTCTGTTTCTTTTGTGTGTGTGGTTTTTTCTTCCAAAATTAGGCCCTAAGTTCCCATTTTTCCTTTATCATAAATTTGCATCAGGTTTTATTCTAATTTCTCCCAATTTGGTAGTCACATCCAACCTATTATCCAACAGCAGTTGAATACAGTAAAGGACCTAGATTGAAATGACTCTGAAACATTCCTTTAAATGTGGCAGAAAAATAAAAATGACTTTCCTCAGAGTTTCATTTTGAGAAAAATCTTAGAAATAAGAAAAACTTGGGGAGAGGCCATAGGGCTGAGGGAACATAGAGCCGTGCCAACTCGCACGCGCAGAACAATTTTCCTCAATTACGCACTCGTTTCACAATTTTATTATTACCAACCAACCCAAACCAGGGATGTCCCAGTTTTTTATTTTGAAACTCTGGTCACCCTACATTCTCCCAATCTCCACTAGTCCGTCCTGTCCGTAGGGGGCGGTACTGTGCTCCTTTTGCAGAAGTTTTCTAAAAGAGTAAACCACGCATGCCAAACAACAATGGCGGCCTCCTGTGCGATGGTGTGCTGTGAAGAAGAAGGCGAATCTGATAAAGCTATAATTGGTAATTATCAGATTATCATCAATTCTCTTCCCTACTTTACAGCAGGATTTAATATAAAACGATGTTGTTAGTTTAATTTGGTTGTACTCTAGTTATCACTTATTTCGACCCAAGCAGCCCCTGTTTGCATGGGAAATTAAGTTGGGAAATCAAGTTAGGAAGTTAAATTGCTATTACTATTACTATTACTATTACTGTTTTAACAGTGACACTACAATCGCAACATGGGTATATAGACTACACATACAGACAAAAACAGTTTTTCTCATTCTTATTATGTGGACATGCCCTGCCTCATGTGGAAGCTCAGAAAAAGAAGGAGTGGCTGCACTAGCACTGATTAATGATTGTCTATAGGTATTGGGGTTGAGGTAGAGAGGATTCGGTTCATAGAGACTTTTTTGGTTTAAACAAACTGGATTTCAGCTTTGAAACTGGTTACACAAATCATTAATATGTGATGGTCCTTCTGAACCGAAACACCAACACCAAGTGAAAACATAAACAACTTGGACTTAATGTGTTTTGTAATGAAGAAAAAATCTGTACTACAACTGTTATTAGTAAAAGCAGTACAGTATATAAATTAAACATGTGTATCTTGTGTAGGGAATGAAAGAGGTCTTAAAATCTGAATCTTAAATATTGTCCTTTGTGATGCTTTCTGTTTGTTCTACGAGACATCTAATGGACTTCTTTTATCTGTTAGTGCAATTTTCAAATGGATGTGTTAAAAATCCAGAAAGGCTTCAGTTTTCTGTGTTCAAGAACACAGATGAAAGAAACCCCAGGAAAAAAAGTCGACGCATATTGGTGAGAGGTTTAAATACCATTAAGTGGGAATTTTTTGCATATTTGTTGTTGACTGAGATCTTCATTTCTGTCCTTGTTTTAGGTTGCTGAATCAGACAGACTGTCATATGTGGGTGACAACTTTGGACCAGGTTCCATGAAGTGTAATAACATTTGCAAGTAAGTTTCAAACCTATTAAGAGGAAGTGAAGTGGTCAGGTATATATTGCAGTTATTATAGAGTTAACATTTGTTTCAGATATTATGTTGGAGTTTTGAACAAGCAGACTATGCAAATGGAGGTGCACAATGCTCAGCTGTTCAATTTGCAACCAGTTATTCCAGGTATAGACAATATCCTATAATGTTATTTATTTATTTAACCTTTATTTTTCCAGGCAAAACATTAAGAACAAATTCTTATTTACAATAATTAGTACAGCTTTGTGTAATGTTTATATTTACTCACTGGTTCTTTTTTATACCTAGGAGAAACTGATGCTGCAAAATCTGACCACACAAATATGACCTACAGAGATAAGGTACTCTGATAAGATTACATTACAAAATAATTACATTATTAATCATAGTTAACATGTAGTAACCCACTGTCTTTGGTTCTTAAGGTTGACTCTCTGATTGAAGCTTTTGGTACAAACAAACAAAAGAGAGCTCTGAATTCTCGAAAACTGAATCAAGTTGGAAGTGATGCTCTACATCATGCAGTGACTAAAGCAGCGGACACTGTAATTGAACAGAAGGGTCTTGAGAGTAAGCAACATAACCACCTGCATCTTATGAATGCATGTTCATAATGTACTTTTTCAGTAGTATTTACTTCACATTCTTATGTTTTTATTGTTTGTCTATTTTTCATCAGTTCTCCAACAAGAAGTGGCAGAAACTGAGTTCCAAGGAGATGCTGCATTGCACCTACCCCCCTGTAATGCAGAGGCAGATAAACCAGAAAATGTTTATGCATTTGAGAATTGTATCCTTTCCAGTGAATTATTTAGACAAAAAAAAAAAAAAAAAATAGCTGAAGTTTATTCTTAATGGTGACAGTATTGACCTCGGTGGAGTTATCTGCTTTGAAAGATGTCGGTGCTAAGATGGCAGCACTCACTCCAGAGGAACTACAAAAGATGAAGGATACTGGAGGGTCAGACATTTGAGCAGTACACATTTTGAAGGTAAAAATTGTGCAATGTTAATTCTTTACATTCTCTTTTTAAAGGCATCTTTGTGTTCTAAAACACTTGGAAAACCTCCCAAATGACGATGAAACCAGAGAAAAAATTCTTTGTTGCTCCTTCTACCTTTCCTTGCTCGTTAAACTGGCTCGACAAAGACACATCAACCGAAAATGTAAGTTGTACTAATCTTTCTGTGTTTAAATAACAATTTGTATCTAAGGCTGCTGTATTACGGTTAGTTGGACAAGAGGAAGGATGCCCGCGCATTATTCAGAACAAACTGATGAAGACATTTACAGTGGAAACTTACAAAAATGGCAGGTAAGTTCGAATTAATGGATTCAGTGGTCAACTGTCAATGAGACATGCACCATGTGACCTCACTTGACACCTGAATTATTTTCCCAATATATACAAATGCACTATTAGACAAACTGCTGCATATTTTTATTTTGACCCAATTTACATCAGTTGTAAATGACCCATTTACACATTTTGCAAATTTGCTGCTTTTTTCAGCAATCTGCAGCTCCCACTCAAACCTGACCCATGAGAAACAAATGCTATAATGGTAATGATTCATGATTCACACCAGGCATAAGGGTGTTAAGAAGCCCATAGGTTGTGTTCCTGTGACTATCAGATTGCAAATTTATATTTATTAACATTTATAGTTAATATTTTTGCATGTAGCAAAAACTGGCATAATTTTTTTTAGTCAGCACAAATAAGCAAATGAGTAGCACTTTCACAGATAGTATTCTGACACTAAACTCTGCTGTGTAGAAAGTCAATAACTAAATGTAAATACTGAGTTAACTAAAACTTCCTTCTATGTAGTGTTCAGAGCATGATTCCTTCTTCTATGCGAGCAAAACTAGCAGCACACAGCTTGGCCCTGCTATTGCATATGAACTTCATGACTGCCAATATAACGCTACTGCACCGTGATCTGGGGATTACAGAGGCCAAGTAAGAGATAAAAATTATAACACTGAAGCTTATTATTCACTCCATGTCTTTACTCTAAACTCTGCTCTTTTCTGACAGAATGATTGAGGTGGCCAAATCAATGGGGCTAACTCTAAGCAGATCGCCAAAGGTCAAAGGAGAAGTGTCACCGCTGGATGAGTACAAGTATGCTACACTTGCTTTACCTCTGGTCAAATATGATAAGTTCACAGAGCAACGTAAACGCAAGAAAATGCGCTGAAGCAAAGAATGTAACGAGAAGTTAAACCACAAATGTTTATTAATAGAAACAAATAAAATGTTGCAAATGTTCAAGTTACAAAAAGTGTTGTCATCTGTCAAGCTTTTTATTAGAAAATATCTACCTTGAATAAAAGGTATATCTAGGCACATAAGACATCACATATTGCACACAAAGTTTTCAACTGGCTCTCACAAGTCATGTCTGTGGAGGCTGTTGTGCTCTACGAAAAGGGATGCTAATTTATGAAAAATGTAATGGTTTATAATAAATAAAAGTTAACACAATATAAATATTGAGACATTGGAATGGTACAAGCCAAATTTTGGCATTTTCTTTGCATAACAGACTCACTATAAATATTCCTGGTCACTGATTACAAGGCACAGATTAATGGTGTCATAGTTGAACACAACTCCTGCGTGGCTATACCAATTTGTGCAGTTCCTTAGCAGGGGGACATGAAAGTGCACAGATGAAACAACTACTTAAGATAAACTGCATTCAACATTTAAAAGTTAAAGCTGATTATAATGTAGTTTTTAAATATAGTTGGCAATTACATCATTACAAAAAGATACAATCCTACATTTAGCAATATTCTTGGTTTTATCGGGTTGAGGATCACAAAGTTATCCACCGGCCCAGTGTACAGCAGTTATCAAAAATGGAGATTGTATTGTCATGATCAATAATTGGATAAGAAATATTTTTCTTTGTTAAATAGTTGTGTTGTATCATACAAATAATGAGGTGATGTATTACCTTTATGTTTTGAAGGTCACTTTATCAGAAGTGTCACATGACTGGTTTGATGAGTGTTTATCTGCTATTTTTTCCATGCTAGTCAGCCTAAGGTACTGTTTATCAGACTGAAGAAAGTCCGTGAGACTTTCAGTCTGAAGAAAAAACATGAAGGAAAATGTTCATTCGGTCCTAACAAAGAACCCAAATGCCATTGTCTTTTTTTCATAATTTCATTGGACTGGGACATTTACGAATAATCAAACATGGATCCAAATACAAACTCTGGATCAGTATAGATCAGTAAACAAGAGCCTTCCACTTTGAATCAACATAGCTTTTCTATTATCTCACACATAAAACTCACTTCTCCAACAACGGGTGTGATCAGCCAGAGCAGTCACTCAAGTTGTCATGTGACAGTTCTGGACGCTAAAACATGCAAATAATACATAACCTCTTATTTGTCTGACATAGATAAAAAACAAAATTATTATCACTCATTAATGCTCTCCAGAAATCAGAGGATAGTGCAAAACATGCTACCACTGTGGCATCCATTCTCTACAGTGGCACTTATCCTGTTTGTCATTGAAATTCCAAGTCGTGAAGGATACTGAGATGAGGAAAGGCCAGAAGGAGAGCTGGCTTGTGGACGAGGAGGAGGATTTTCCAGAATCCAAGCAGAAGCAAATGTATTGCTGTAACATAAATAATTAAATTCAGTAATACTGCAATACTATACATAACAAAGACTTATAACATAAAAGCTTACTCATTATTATGCTTGATAATACTGTTGTTGCGTAAGACACAGCTCTCATTGCCTGGATCCACATACAGCAGAGTTTTTTTGTTTCCAGGATATCCCTGGAATATGACGTTGTCGTGAACAACACCTCTTACAGCGCCTAGTACAGCGATTCCACAGCCCTGTGCTGGTTGAACACGATTGCGCAAAACCTGAAGAAAAGACAATTTGTGTAAATCTTTTTAAAAGTCTTACAATGGACGTAATATGACACAGGATACCTTAATATCGGCATTTCCAGACACTTGAATCCCATATCCACAATTTCCAAGCATGTCATTCTCCACTATCTGTCCGTTGCCACAAAAAATAAGTCCATGACCTCCATTTTCATAAATGCCATTTCCTCGAAGTTCCACTCGACTGTCCTTCTCCACTGCAACACCACCTCGGCCATTTTCCAAAACGCAGTTCGCAACAAGTCGAGTTAACTGACTGCTCTGCTGGACAGCAATGCCGGTTCCACGGTTACAGTTCACAAGGTTGCTAAATGCATTGAGTGGTTCACTGCTCTTCACATAAAGTCCAACAGCTACAAACAGAAAAACAAAAGCCACTGAGTTGAGAAGGAGAGTTTTTTTTGCCTCTTGTCTGGTATAAATAATTTACCTCCATTGTAGCTCATGCAGTTACCCTCCACTAATGCCACACTGATGGAGCGCCGGGCAGAATGGCGCTCATCCTCGCTGTCCAGATCACTCTCCCATGCAAACAGCTCCCCCTCCTCATTAAGGTTCTCCTGACCATCTCGTCCTTCTGCCTCTACTCCTCTTCTCTCCCCATTAGCTCCTCCATCTCCCATGCCATCTTGTCCTGGCCAGTTTCCCTCTCTCACTTCAATGTTCTCTGGATCCTTCCTACAAAATACTGCCAGCCCATACATGCAATTATGGGTGATGAAGTTTCCTAAGAGTTGTGGGAGGCTGGATGACATAACCCACACACCACACCCTTTATTACCTACAGAACAAAACAGGGGCAAGGTTAGACAGAAACATTGAGAAATTATCAAAATTTCTTTCAATAAAAGTTTGCAACAAAAGTGAAGTTGACATACAGTAAACATGATTTCCCTCAACAAGGCCACGACCTCTTTCTCCCACCACCACGCCATCTGAATAACCATGACAAATATAGTTATTCCTCAAAATCGGGTCTCCTCCTCTTCGGATGTCCACACCCCCCCACTGGTTCTCTCTGATCACATTATCTGAAAATTGCACACAAACTTAAAATACAATCTTAAAGAAGAATTACAGAAAGAAAACAAATATTTAGGAGGAAGGGCAAACCTGTTATCAATCCTCTTCCATTCTCATTAATGGCAATCCCTGCTGCCTGGCCCTGAAAAATGTGATTCCCACTAGGAAAATAAGTAATATTGATACATGAGTGAATTTAAGCTTTAGACATGTTACAGACAATACAATGTGCTCTTTTTATATTTATTTATTTTTCTACCAACCTAACCACAGGGTTCCCACTAAAGAGTATGTATACACCAGCCTCTTTGTTGTTATAAATCAGGTTGCTCCGTATGGATCCCTTTCCATTTCCAAGTACCACAACACCAGAACGCAAACCACTATGTATTCGGTTACACTAGATTGGAAAACAGAAAAATAATTGAAATTATACACACTAAAACATATTATACATACTAAAACATATGTTGTAACAATACTTGCTATGTTATGGTATCACTACAGAATGTAACATTTTTAATTTCACTCACCACAATGATAGGGTTTGCCCCTTTTCTAATGTCTAGTCCTGCTTCCCCATTTGAGTGGATGTTATTTTCTGCAATAAGACCCTGAGCTGAGAGGCGCAAAAACACACCAGAGGCCCGGCACTCGCACACTTCATTCCTCAGCATTACAATCTATAATAACGACAATGACAATGACAGAGACAATTAAACCTTTCAAAGTGAATACTTAGCCCATTCTTTAGGTTATTAAAATGTAACTTACTGTGGAATTTTGAATACATCGAACAGCATAATTTAGCCCACGAAAAACATTGCCTTCCAGCCGAGCTTGTCCATAATTAGACACATGGACTCCTCCTTTTCCATCTCTAAAGAGGCACCGTCTGAGGATGCATCCTAGAGTGGAGGCTGCCAGCATGTTAGCCTCTGGATCTCGCTCTAGTTCTTGCTGAAAAGTGAGAGGCTCTGGTGTTTCAGATGGTGGATCAGGACAAGAAGCCAGTGGAAGGGAGCCATCAGTCCGGGGCTTCAGTAGATGGGATAGGCCGTGATGGTCACATGGGATTTTGTAATCCAAAGTAAAAGATATGCTTTTATTTCCCTTTTCACTGTCTAGATTGTCATCTTCTGCCTCACTATGCTCACCATCACTCCATCCATCTTCAATGACTGTGCTGTGGCAAACAGCTTCTAACACAACCTTCTTCTGCCATTCTTCTATGCTTATAGAGTTCTTATTATTGCATCCTGTGGGATGGGGCCCAACAGAGGATACGGAATTAGGTTTAAGATTGCCACTATTCTCTGATGCAAAACAAGTCGGAAATGTCCTTGTCAGGGCAGCCAAGTACTTGCAAGCCCAGTTCCTTTCTGATGTAGGGGGGCCTTCAACTGTTACCGAGGCTATATCACTGCCTGAGAAATCACAGCTGTCCAGTAAACTAAGTGCAACACCAATTAAATGGGCAGAACTGCTCTGTGAGAAGGAGCAGAATCGAGCCTGGCAAGTTCCAGGTCCACGAATTTGTAACTGAGCTCCTTCAAAATTACAGTTATCTAGTTGAACGTGTCCCCATGATGTCTGGAAGATAGAAAGGAAAAGATTCAAGAACGTAAAATACTGAATCATGTTTATACAAATGACAATAAACAAGTTATTTACCTTATAGACCACTGTTGAAAACCATGGTGGCATGAAGACCAAATTACATAGCCGGGCAGTAGGGCATTGTTGCTCTATACAAACTAAGAGGGCCACCTCACCTAGAGTTCCCAGTCCTATCAACTCCACAGGCACTTTTATAGCCAGTTCAGCCTGCTCCTCGTACACTCCTGGATGGAGAACAACACGATCATATGGACCAGCTACACCAAGAGCACCACGTAAGGTCTCAAATTCACATCCTGGTCCAACATGCCAAATCCTGCGGTCTTTCCGGCGACGAAAAAAGACCAAACAGGCAGATGATTGGAGCTCTGGTCCATTTTGAGTCCATGTACGGGTGGCCAAAGAGTGCTGTTTTAGAGCCTCTCTCCAGGACGGTGGCTCTACATGAGGCTGACTGGGCCAGTTGGGATGTCTGCACTCTGAGCAGTCCAGGCACAGTTGTCTCCAGCGGGTGTTATCCAAGGACAGCACAAGCTCTCGCCAGGCTCGGCACACCTGGCAGCAGCGCCCCAGGTCTGGGAGTGGAAGATAGGCCAAAATAAGCCTCCAGAGCTCCACAGGGAGGCTGCCCACCTCCATGGCAGCAGCGACACCAGCTGGGAGCTCAATAATGGGAGGTGCACCTAGAGACGCAGCACAGTCGCACATTCGCGCGAGCAGACTATGTAATAACAGTGTGTAAAAAACATAAATACGTTTATATACCTATACAACATGTTACCGTAATATTAAACACGATCTAAATAACACATAGCCCACTAACCCATGGTAGAAAACAAACCCTAAAACAATATAACAATTCTGTTTTGAGGACTACAATGTTAACGGCCCAAAGACAATTAATCTATCCAAAAAAATAACTCAAAACATGTGCGACATCCTTATGGCTAGCTTCAGCGTTAACAATTGCACACTAAGACATCTCAGCCTGTACGAGTCACAGCTAGTCTAGTTGTATCCACATATGTCTAAATTCCCCACCGTGCAGTATTTTTCATGTCTGTCATTGCGACTTTCTTCCCCAGGCGATCTGTGTTTATTCCAATCGGCGAAGATGCAGATGTTCCCAAATGATGGTGAGCCTCCGTTAGTTTACGACAGAAGGAAAAATGAGAGCGTGACATCTTCCGCTTCCTACAGGATACGTAAAAGTCGTGGATACAGATCTACCAATGACAGTGAGACCTATGTTATTGTTATTTTAATAGATCCATGACCTATCCTTAGACTCTATGGACATATTTAATGGATGTTTAAAAAAATAAAATAAAAAAGTAGCCTCATTGTTGGCCAGTTATGTTGATGTGCTGTGCCGACACTTTTCTTCTTTTCTGTGATAGATTTAACTTTTTATTTGCACAGAGTCCGACTCAAAATGCAGCATGTGACAGAATAGCATGAGTTTCATACAATAGGCTTTTACCTTACCTCGCCTGCCATGTTAAAAAAAAGAGAGATAGAGAGATTACTTTATATTGGTTTACAAGGAGCTGTCAGCAGATGGCAGTATCACAAACTCTGGTCTGATCCATGCACTGCACGTTTTTTTTTTTTTTTGTTTGTTTTTTTCCCGCAAGTTCTCTGTTAGTGTTGCGTAAGTGCCACGACAAATAATGTGAAAGTGATAATGATAAATGGAATTTCTGTTTTCAAAACTCATAGACACTAAACGATGCATCAGTCTATTTAAACAAATATTTGCTCGCCTGGATGCTTAAGCCACTCACCTAAAAACTGGAACAACTCCAGGTTGGTCATGGTTGGTAATAACAAAATTGTGAAACGATTTTGTAACTAAAGGAAATTGTTATGCACTTGGCTCATTCTTGATATATTCACGATAACATGTGAGTCAGTATATTTTCTCTGTGTTTTTTCTGTAATTTTCCCTAAACAAAAACCTAAAACAAAAAAGCTTAAACAATGTAGGCCTCTCTTTACTAGGGCTGGGTATTTTTAAGAAGTTGCCGATACAATACATACCTCAATATATAGGCCACGATACGATACAGATCTCAAACAGTGCACTTTTGATTCAATACGATATATTTCAAATCAATTTGATACAGTTCATTAAAAAATAATGGCTAAATCTTGGTTGTGATACTAAAAGTCTTGGTTAAACCATGATTAAGTTCATATTAAACACACCCATTTTACTCACAAAAACAGTGAAAATGTCAAATATGTCGCATAAACAAGTTTCCTTCCTCTAAACAAGCAACAAAGCTGTAGCGCTGTAAAATAATTTAGTAAAATATACCAAAAAATACTCTTGGTGATATATTGATACAGCAGTACACGATATTAATACTGTATCATCACATTAAACAATACGATATATATCAGTATTTCAATATTTTTTCACATCCCTACTCTTTACTCTTGGAAAGCATCAAATTGGTCAAAAATAGGGACACCTGGGACATATCTTGTATAAAACTGGGACAAATGACTGATTTTGAAAATCCTCTGGGACAAAGGACATAGGGCTCAAAACTGAGACTGTCCTGGGTAAAACGGGACATCTGGTCACCCTACCCAAAGGTCTTTGATTTGCAAAGGACTGTTAGAACTAGGGGTGTCAAATTATCGCGTTAATTGCGATTAATTAATTACAGTCATATTTAGCACGTTATGTTTTTTAATCGCGTTAATCTCATTTTTAATCTCTAACTTTACTGTTTCTGTATGCGAGTCGCTTTATTATAAAATCTGTTTTTATGTGTTGTTGGGACAACAACAACAACACACACACACACACACACACACACACAAAAAAACACATTTATAAATTTTTTTATTTATTTCGGTAATTCCACTCATTGCCGGAAACCCACACAAAACGCGCGCTTAAGAGCGATATAAACATCATGTTAACGTTGGCGGCGTCAGGTCGAAGAGCCAGTAGAACAGAGGCAGCAGTGCACAGGTAAAAACACATTCGTGTCTTGGAAATTATTCTCCCGACGTGAAATATAAAAGAAAATAACAAATATAATATCGCCTGAAAACAACCTGCATAGGCTCATGATGTCTGCACTACTGTCCTATAGTGACCTGCCACATGAGGGGACACACACACACACACACACACACACACACACACACACGCACACAAACACACACAAACGTCATCGTCATTAACCTGAGAACGCGCGGACCACGTTTCCTTCCGTAGACACCGCGCACACCGCTGTCCTCCCATGAGCCGCGTGTGGACTGTGTTTTCTCGCGTACGCGGCGTAAACCGCGCTTCCTCCTGTGCGCCTCTAAACCAGAACTAACACCAAGGCTAAAACCAGGACTAAACCAGGTCTAAACCAGGACTAAACCAGAACTAAACCAGAACTAAATCCAGAACTAAAACCAGAACTAAGACCAGGTCTAAACCAGGACTAAACCAGGACTAAACCAGAACTAAAACCAGAACTAAAACCAGAACTAAAACCAGGTATAAACCAGAACTAAAACCAGAACTAAAACCAGAACTAAAACCAGAACTAAAACCAGAACTAAAACCAGGTCTAAACCAGGTCTAAACCAGGACTAAACCAGAACTAACACCAGGACTAAAACCAGGATTAATCCATTCCAGGACTAAAGCAGGTCTAAAGCAGGACTAAACCAGGACTAAACCAGGACTAAACCAGAACTAAAACCAGAACTAAAACCAGGTCTAAACCAGGACTAAACCAGGACTAAACCAGAACTAAAACCAGAACGAAAACCAGGTCTAAACCAGGACTAAACCAGAACTAAAACCAGGTCTAAACCAGAACTAACACCAGGACTAAAACCAGGATTAATCCATTCCAGGACTAAACTAGGACTAAAGTAGGACTAAAGCAGGTCTAAACCAGGACTAAAACCAGTGATCTTATATATAAAGCATTTCTCTATCAATAATATTTTTAATATGGTTAAGGAAAGATCTTTTTATTGTCTTTAAGTAGACAAAAGTTATTATGTTCAGCTTTCCTCGTCTTTGCTACTTTACAGCAAACCGTTTCTTATTCATGGAGACTTGGGCTCAACAGCCAAATTGGAGAGATTTGTTAAACAATAAATGACTTTATAAAGTCACTTTTTTAAATCTATATCAGTCTTTTGATCTGCCACAATAATGTAATAATGAATTTAAATGAAATCAAATTGAAGGCTTTTCTCAGCAATTTTTAGGTGAGATTAAAATGAGATTAATTAGATTAATTAATTACAGATCATAATTAATTAACCTCAATTTTTTTAATCGCATGACAGCACTAGTTAGAACAATAAAAAGTAGGAATCATAGATTAATACAATGATATATAGGCACTTTATTATTATTTAGTATTTACAATTTACATTACAAATGTAGATAAGCCTGTGATATCTGTAGTATATGGATTTCACACTACCCCTTGTTTAGGGATTTAAAGGATTTACCTGCAAAACAAAGAACAGAAAACAGATCTTCAGGAAACATGACCTTTTTTCAGTGGGTATTTCAGTCATGAACATAGACTCAGCCCTCTTATCACAATTTCAGTTTAATGTTTAACTAAATTCCCGTAAGGCTGGTGCTTTTTTTTTTTCAGTAGAAGTAATATGGTTATAACCACCACCACCACGGTGTATGATAAAAACATTAAAGCTGGACTTACTTTTCTGGTTTCTACTCAAGATTCTTTTGACCCATTTGGCACTGGGGTCAAGGCAAATTTTCTGTCCATTTTTTTTAAGAGTGGCACTGTAACACAAATGAGCATGACTTAAAGGTGCACTGTGTAACTTATCTGCTTGTTTCCTTGGAGATGTGCCTAAAATTATGGCCATCTATTTATTAATCTTGCAAAACAAATTACAGATTAGATTTGTGGAGAGGCAACCCTGCTCACAGTAAGAATGGATGTTTTTGAGCAATAAAAACGCCTGTAGTTGAATAAATGCAAGACAGATTAGTTTAATAACAACAATTTAACCCAAAGCACTAACATCTCCATGGAGACAAACAGGTTGCAGACCCTCACTAATAAAGTTACACAGTGCACCTTTAATAAACTAAACAGATTAAATGAAACTGAAAATAGTATTTACACAATCTCTGTTTCTTTGCAGTGAGAGTTGGCTGGATGCACCTCCACCTTTCTCAAATAGCGGCCAATGCGTTTTGACTCCTTCTGAATACACCGACATCGTAGATTCAAAGCTTGGTCTCCTTGCACAATAACTGAAAAGTAAGTATCAAGTTTTACTACAACAAAAACAAGATGCTTTTAATGTTTAACATTTCTCAGTGTTATTCACTGTTTTATCTTTACTGTATTATTTGTTTATTGCTCTTTTGACTGTTTTAATATGTACTCTGTAAAGCATCTTTGAGTGTCCTGAAAAGCGCTATATAAATAAAATGTATTATTATTATTGCATGTCACTCACCTTGAGATGCTGTCAGGAGTAGCACCAGCACAACTGTAAATACAGGAGACATGCCTACACTACCAGATCTCTTGGAAATGCAATATAAAAAACATAAACTTCTCTTTATACTTCACAGACTTACAAGACATGCCCAGTCACAAACGTTTTTTTTCTTCATTCCTTATTTTCACTTCCTGTGTTAACTTTCTGAGAACAAAACAACTTTTACCAGCTGTGTCATAACCTATACAAGCAGATCAAGTGCGTTCATGAACTAGATTGGTTGATCTGAAACACATCTGAAATTGTACCTGTAGTGTTATACTGTTTTAATAGCTCAAAAAATACATATGCAAAGAACGGTAGTGATAAACTACCAGTCCAGGCCTGTCGAAAATGATGTTTTGCATGCATGGAATGTTAAGTCTTAGAAAGCCATTCAGCTTGAGGCAGACACTCTATCTCACAGTTTATAAACAAAAAGAGTTGTTAATCCTCTAGCCCTCCTCCAAACCCTCTGACATTTCCTGTATTCTCTTCTTTTGGCCCTTTCCCCTGTATAACTTGCCGTAAATTCTATTGAAACCAATTGTTTCCCATCTTTGCTTAAATTACTGTGGTGTCAACCTACTTAACCCAGCACAATATCTCTTGCATCGTCAGTAATCACTATTACAGCAGCACAATAGAGAGATGGAGCAATAATATGTCATCTGTGAATCATTTGTGTTTTTCCCATCTCCAACATTCCACATTGACTGTTTCTGGGATCAGTATAGATGCATAGATAGATTCACACAACATAATCCCAAATTATGATATTACATTATTTGAATTTTGTTCTGTTTTTTCAAACACAGAATTAGTATTTATATTTAGTAATTAATTAGTCATCAAATCCTAGATCTTAATAGCCATTGAAACTATTGAAAATATGTGTAACAAAGGAAATTCCATCGCTCAACTAATTCAATGAAAACACTGCACTGAAAAATGAACAGTGATCCTCAGCATGTACTGCATGACATGGAGTGAGGGACAGGTTCTGTCTGAACCAGATCCATGAGAACACTGCTCTTAGACAAACAGAAGTTTGATACTTGTTCAAGTAGCTAAACTTATGGAGAACAGCACTGTATAATGACACCTAAATAATGTTACAAGTGGACACATTTGTGTTGCTTGTATTATAACTTCCACTTTTTTCATGGAAGTTTTTGATGACCACGCAGGGAAGTTTTGAAATATCTAAATGCTATAAAATGTATTTCATCATATTTCCTTTTCACATGAGGAACCTGAGCCCGTTTTAACGGATATTTTAGGGGATAATTTAATCCTCTTATATTAAGGTATTATAGCTCTTATCAAAAACATGTATGATTGCACACTGTTTCCCAGTGAAGTTGTAAAGTGAAGAACTACACTGTAAAAAGATTGCTGTAGATATTACATGATAATACATTACAACTTACTGGTAACAGGATGTGACTGTAATGCAGTGATGCAGTAGTGACACAGTAAAATTACAGCAATATTGCAGTATATTTTACAGTAATTTGCTGTAATTTATATACTTTTTATTTAAGTTAAAAACACCAGAATGTTTTTTGTTTTTTTTTTAGTTTATTGAGTACACAAGATCAAACTCAAGTAGTACAATACAATTAAATCCTGATCTATTTCAAAAGTGTTCCAAAGTTTATACAAACATATTCATCATTCATACACTGACTTGTGTTTGCCAGTGGGGCAAAACTTTACTTTTAGATTATCTGATTTAAAAAGAGTATCATCTGTTCATGAACCTTTTAATCTGACTCAGTAAATCAGCAATTTTTTTATTTTTTATTTTTATTTTTTTTACTGACATGACTTTACTGGTATAGAATTCACCAGTATTGGCTAATAGAAAATACAATGACACTACCAAACACTATTAAATTTTTATTTTTTATAACAAAGACTGAAGTATACTGTTGAACAAAATGTTCAGTGTGTCCTGATAAATAAATACAACAATTAAGGAGACTTTGATCCTTTTGGAGTTACTCTAAAAAAAACAAGACCACAAGATTTAATCATTAATCACTATTTCTCATGTAAAAAACAAGTCAGAAATACACAAAAATATACATGAAAATACAGATACTCTACTCACCAGTCTGCTAACAGCCCATCTCAAAGGAATGCTCAATGCAAAAATATGAATCAACATAACATTAGTACCAACATGACTAAACTATGATCTGCATTTCTACAGTTAGTGATAGTTTAACTTCATTACCAAGACTGACAACTGCACAAATTACTACTGTAATACTGACTTGCAGTAGTGGCTTTTAGATCTTATTTGCTTTATTTGTTAATGAATTATGACTGATTTCCTTCTAATAACAGAACCTGTCAGAAGCACTGGCTATACTGGACCAGGACTAAGTGGGATTACTGAGAACATCTGGAGAACATTTTGATGTAGTTGAACAATAACTTCCATTTAGCTTTGTTTCACTAATAACTGTTGTGTTTCTAGTGACACAATGTATTATAAATAGGAAAACAAAATGTAAATATACTTTCTAATTTTCTGTCTTCCATTCACTGTTAATTGAATCTCTCCTGTGACTGGTCAATTTCCCCCCTAAACCCACTACTGTAATAGCCTACCTATTACCTAGTATCTGTACTTTCATATTTGCAGTATGTGTAATGTCATTTTTACGGTGGCATATATCATACTGTAATATTTACAGTAGTTTCCTGTTCTCAGTATTTCCCAGAAACTTTGCCAATTGCAGTAAAGTACTATAAAAGTAGGACGTGATCTAAGTTTAAATGTACTTAATAAAAACGAGTTTTGTATCACGTGAACCCTATGGAAAGTGCTCACACGTGTCCATTGGGATTTTACTCGCTAACCACAACATAACACAAGATTGTCACATGTCACAGTCCTTTAGTTTACCACATTTTGCTTGGGTCACTCCTCTACCAATCTGTAATAGTCTAATATGTTTGCTTTTACTTTCATTAAAAAAACAACCAACCAAAATATGTTAAATATGTCTAACTGTCAACAGTCTTCTGGGATTGTCCAGAATAATGAAAGATATGTTGATATGAGCCAAAACCACAAGACAAATCATGCTCAGTAAGTTACTTTCTACTTCCTTCATTTTTTTAAAATACCAGGGGCAAATTAATCTTTTAGGGACGTGTTTGAGCTTGAGGATACAGTAGTGTCAGAGGCACGCACCATAAAGTCAATGGCATTCTGTGGAAACTGTAAAAGCACAGATCCTGAGCCAAATACATGATATGAAGTAAGAGTGATGAATGATAATGATAAGTGTCTATTACTAAGTAAAACAATAGTAAAAAATGTTAGAGAAAGTTGTCTGCACTTAGGCATGAGGCAATACTGAAATTTGTTCTCACGATTATGTATGATAATAATAATAATACAATTAAATAAAATAATTGAGATTAAAGATTATATCACTGTAAATAGTTTTAAATGTTATGGATATTAATTATTATAATTATAATATTTTAATAGATTCTATATTTAAGCAATGGTCATAGTACTGTTTGTGTTGGGCAGTTAACTGAGTACGTGTACTGAAAATTCAGAATACTTATTTTGAGCAACTGTATTCTGCTATAGTTACTCTTTCTTTTGGTGGTACTCAGAATACAGTTACTTTCCTAAAATCAAAGGAATGCTAAAGGAAATCTGAAGTCTAAATACTTAGCAGTACTTGATCATGCAATTTTGGCTTTTAACTCCACAGAAAACACAGCTCTTGCAGTGTGTATATGTGTGATTTTTTTTTTTTTCATCCCTAATTGGACATAAATGAATGTGTATCAAACAGGGCAACAAAAATCAAGCTGTTTGTAATGATATGTACTGTAAACTGTAAAAGTATTCCAAGTATTCAGAACAGAGTACTCTGAATGGCCCATATAACGAAATACAGTATAAAATACATTCTGATGCAGGAATTCAGTATGCTGTAACTAAATACATTTGCAAACTATTCTACTCATCACTATTGTATTGTACTTTGTACTTTGCTATAAGTGAAAACAACAGTGATCTAGGAGAGATGGATAAGAAACTTTTTTTGCTTCTTATTTTGAAATTATTATTACCAGTTATACTTTTGCTCTTTGTTATTATAATGTATAATATGTGAGCGACTGTGTCCTAATGATTTCCTTTGTGGATCAATAAGGTTTGACTAAGTATAAGTCTATAAAATGGGATTATCTTTGTTGGCGATTATCACGATTACATAAAATGTCCCACAAACGTTTATTGTCTACCCTTTCATCACAATAAATAATATTATCATTAATTGTCCCATTCATAGCTGTACCATTTTGAGCTTACCTTCTCTTGGGAAAATACTTTTATTTCACAAGGAATTTTACCATATCAACATAAGTTTAGTGGTACTTTGTTTAAATAAAAGTCATTATTAACTTAGGAAATTACTTTTTTGAAGTTATAGATGCAATGTTATCAAGCTTTAGTCACATTTGTGAAGCACAAATGAAAAACTCCTTTAAAAAAAAAAACATTACTTATCACTCTACACACCGTGAAAATTCCCAGTCACGTTACAACTGCCCCAAATTGTGCAATACTGGAATGAGTCATTCTGTCGTTGACTATAAAAGTGCAACTCGAGCTCTCACTCTCCACAAGAACAACTGCACAAGAGCAGCAGTGACAACAAAGAGAGTAGAAGACCATAACCTGAAGTCTGCAGTTTGTTGTTAAATTTTCTAAAGATCTTTATCCAACAAAACAAAAACAAAAATGAAGACCCAAATGATTGCTTGCCTTATGGTGCTCCTTGTTTTCTTGACAACAAGTGAAGGTAAGTCTTTCTAAACAATAAACATTATTTTGCATTATTAATACAATGAATTTTTTTACACTTTCTAACCTGATGTCCTTTTGATTGTTTGAAGGAATGAGTCTGGGGGTTGAGCTGCACTGCCGCTGCATCCAAACAGAGAGCAAACCCATTCTCCGTCATATAGAGAAAGTTGAGCTCTTTCCTGCTAACTCTCATTGCGAGGAGGCTGAAGTCATGTAAGAATACAGATAAAACTGTTATATGAAACACTTTTGAAAGCACAAAAGTCTGATGTTTGTTTGCTTGTGCAGTGCTACACTAAAAAGGACTGGCCACGAGGTGTGCCTTGACCCTGAGGCTCCCTGGGTGAAGAAGCTCATTCAGAGGATTTTGACAAGGTAAGATCTTGAGATGTGTTTAAAAATATACACAAATTCACACAGAATTGTTACTTATTTTTTATTAACGTAATTGTTCTTTCTCTTATTTTCTGCAGCCAAACACGTTGAACCTGTGTGAATTAATCTACTTCTTTCATTGCACAAAAGAGACTTTCTGTCACTTGATGAAGGGAAAGACACCCAAGGCGCTTAACAGTACATTATTTATTTATTTATTTATTCACTCCACACTCTTTGGTGGTATTGTAGCCACAGCTGCCCTGGGTCCGACTGACGGAAGTGAGGCTGCCATCAACTACTCTGACCACCACCAGCACCAACACACACCACATTCTTTCTGGGTAGTGTGGATGAAGGGCCTTGCCAAAGGACACAACAGCAGTTTTTGCCACCGGTGACCCACTGCGGTACCTAATATACCTAGTGGTCTCTCATCCAAGTACTAACCAGGCCCGGCCCTGCGAGGTCAGGCTTTGACAAACCGCTATGGCCAGAATGTCACAAAGCCAATGTATCAAACAAGCTGGTCTTGTCTGTTCTGGAAAAAAAAAAATAGAAATTTTAAAATGTATTTATTTATTTTTTAGGAAACTGGTATTATAGCCTATTTATTTGAATGTATTTATAGTAAAATGCGTTGTGTAAATACTTGCTGATTGTTTAATAAAATGTGTAAAGTGACATTTTGTTTTGTGTTTGTCATCTAGTAGAATAGCATACCTTTTAGTTCATAATAAGGCTCACAAAAGGCTAACGGATCATGAATGGAGAACAAAATGAATATTTTTGTTATTTATCCTGTGTCCTAAACAAACAATGGAAACTCCACACTGCTTTGTTTAACTGAGGTCCAAAGATATAATCAAGGGATTATGATGATGAATTATAAAATCTTACTTGACAGATTCTTACCATGCTACTCAGGTCATTGACTTCAAGTTCAGGCTATATCAGTCAAGTCACATCTTGAGATGCTTCATGGATTTATATTGTGGTAATGTGTGGACGTATCATAGACAAATAGTCTATTTTATGTAATGAAAACAGTCTAGGAGTTAAAGATCCAGTTCTACTGTGCACATTTGTGTTGGTCTTATTGTTGACCTGTGTGGGATGCAGGGAAAGGGGCGGGGCTCCGAGCACAGCCGGTGGTAGGTGCGCTGCGCTGTAGTGCGGCGTATGATGCGCGCAGAGACTCCCCATTTGCAGCAACGGACGGACGGACGCTCCAAACAAAACACTGAAATGCACGCAAAATGCTGCGCTTACGAGCCGTGACGAGCGCTTGAAGGAAAACAAGATCCCTGCAACACTACGGAACCTTACATCTTTGAAGCACAGCTCAAGACAGTAGGCTACCTTTTTGTCGCAGGAACCGCCGATGCGCTTCGGCTGTGCATGAATCCCTGCCTTTGGTCTACGGGTCCAGGACATAAACCGGGAGGTGTCGTTGACAGGCGTGCGTGCCAGTGCGTGTGGAGGTGGATTGAGTCAATTGTCTATTGAGTAGACCCCGCATCTCCGCTCACCTTTGGCACCTCCTTCAGGATGGCGTTAACGATCTGCACGAGGTTTACCGATGAATATCAGCTGTTCGAAGAGCTGGGGAAGTAAGAGCATGTTTTTTCCCTCATCTGGCATCAATCCGTATGAAATGTCAGTCTGTTATGTAATAGGCCGCCTTGGCTTAGGGACGCGGGATCCAGGCTCTGTGTGTTGCAGTGTTCCGTGTGTGGGTAAACGCTGCTGGTGTAGCCTACTGTATGCGACGTACTCCAGAAAACCAGCTTTATATGCTCCAGTGTATCGTGAATGGCACATTTCACCACACATTTAAAAGCCAATGATCCCATTTTGCTTGAAAAATACATTTTGTATTGTTCCGCCAGACTCTTTACGCATATGCGCATGGTGCCTTTTTATGGAACGTCCAATTCATGTGCTCCCACACTGTAACCCGACCCCGCGTGTAAAAATGTAAAACGGCGAGATTTGGAAACCCACCACCAACACTAACTACTAGCCTTCTTAAATGACTCCCCTCCTCCCGCCCCAAACTGTCCTCCTCTTCCCGCGTGACAGAAATACACTCGGTAATGCGACAGCACACCATGTAGTTGGCGATGACACATTCCTCAGCCAAGCACCGAGCTGCGGTCAATTACCAGACACGACCAGGGAATTCCTCACCCCAGACTGAGAGACACGGACGGAGCCCATAGGGTCAGGAGGCATCACAGAGAATAGCCCACGTTAAATGTTCTTTATACTAGTACATCTACTCATGTGTAGGCCAAGCCTATGGATCTATGTGGTCAGCCTACCTTTAAAAGGCCAGTACAAAGAAGCCTTGCACCTGTCTGCAACATGAGCTGATACTGAATGCAGTAAACCAGAACAAATAAAAAAAATGTATTCTCATTATTGCCTTGTTTTATGGCGGTTTATTGAATCCTTCCTTCCGCCTTTCACTCTCAAGGCTAGCATAGGAGAATAAATATAGAGTGCCCTCTCCTACATATGATCCTAAGCTATATCCATCTAACACCATTAGTCATTAATAATGCACACACAGGGCTTTCAGTGCTATTCCACTCACCTGAGTTTTGGTCTCTGTGCTGTAAGCCCATGACCTCCCACCATTTGAATTTGCAGGATTTCATTGCTTCATTGCTTTCATCATTTCCAGTATAAATAAAGGCTATGTTTTTTCATGTATATTTTTGCTGTATTATGTGTGGCATTTGTCATTACTAAAATTGAAGATTAACACTTTTTCTGATACAGATTATCATAAAAAGTTTTATGATAAAACGTTTTGCTGATAATCTGTGCATGCAATCATTTTTGTCTTGACCAGTTTTGTCCAAATAAAAAGTCTCGTTACTATTCATTTACAATCTTACTCAATCTGTTTAATCAATTATGACCTTTCACAGGAATGCCATTTTGCAGCTCCTTTGTGTATCCTATGACATATGACTTCACTTATGCTCCAGGCTTGTTGCAAACTATGAAGGATAATCAAGTAAAAAAGATAATAATAACAGACTCAGACTATGACAGTGCTGTGATTTTTCCTCAACAAAATTCACTATAAATTAGTGAGATGTATTAGGAAAATGCCCACTTAAGAGGTTAGATGTGTACTATTATTATTACATTATATACATAAAATGGTTAGCTTTGTAAATCATATTGGAGTGTGGCCAAGTTGTAGCCTGAAACACAAAGCCTGTACTGTACTGTTCAAGTTTGAATAGCAAAGTAGCAGATGTAACTACATAGCTGAGTGGAGCAGAAGTGGGTTTTTTCAGGGTTGTGTTCTGTTCTGGATGAGAGATGCGGTCCTTCATAGCCTCCTTCTCTTAAATATAGCTGACCTAGTTTTTTGATCTTCATACAAGTGTCGGAAAGACCAGGACACATGGTAGTGTTGCAGTTGGCTATGTACTGTCCTGGTGGTGATTTTCTTGGTAATTACATGAAAACAAATAATTTTAAGAAAACATACTTAAAACAACATATCTTCATATTTGTTTTAGGGGTGCATTTTCTGTGGTCAGAAGATGTGTGAAGATCTCCTCTGGACAAGAATATGCTGCCAAAATCATCAACACCAAGAAGCTTTCTGCCAGAGGTAGGACTCCCAGCATGATACACAGAGACAGGAGGACAGCACAGAAGGACATGCCCCCAGTCACTGACATGTGAACGAACTGTGAACATGGCATTCTCAAAATATGCTTTAGGCCAAGAGTGTCCAAGCATAATGTGTATGCATTTAATATATAGTATTCATATTTCAAATTATCCTAACCCTGTTTATTCATGTTTTAAATACATGAAAAAAAAATTTTTTTAATGCCAATTTGACTGGTAATAAAAATAGTTTTTTAAGCAATAACCTTCATTACATCCATGAATAAATCCTATTGTATCAGTGTATATCACACTATAAGTTAACAAACTCCTTAATATTATTTAGCTGTAAGATCAAATAATGTAGTGCATGTCTAAATGTAAACACTTTTCTTGCCTAATATGGTCATAGAATATAATACACATTAGGATAATAGTTTGTTAAATTGTACAAGTCAACACTAAAAGGCAACAAAACAATAACACTCCTTTTAAGAAAGTTGAGGGTAGATATAAAAAAAAATCTTATTCTGATTTTAGTTTCAAATATTATTTTTTTCTTATTACATATAGAAATGGTGTTTAGTAATAATTTCACGAAGAGATATAGATCAGTGCAATTTAACAAACAAAAAATGTTCACCTGTTTTCACTGCCATAGTACTGGCTGTAATGTAGACAGACCTCTTGATTATAATCCTCTAGCTGATCATTAAAACTAAATGAATTGAATTTTAAATTGATTCAAAATCAAGTAATTTAAAACTGTCAATGATCAGCTTTGATCTCTTTCTTTGAAAGGTCTACAGCCAATCCTTCTTCAGTAAAAGCATGTGGTTTAGAGTTCAGACTTTGCAGGGAGAATTTAGACTTTTATGGTGTTAAAATTCAGTGATTAAAACTCTTGCTTTTCTTTGTGAAATTAATATTACATCTTTATTAAAAATTAAATGAAACTCAATAAAAAAATAGACCAATTAATATGAGAAAAAATATTAATACGGTTAATAATTAATTTAATACGTCACATACTGCAGCCTCCTCGCGCTTTGTCCCTTTAGTTTTGATGTTCCATATAGCTCTATCTTGTGTGTCCGAGTGTGTGTGTTCTGTATTGATGTGGGGCTCTGGCTGGTCTTGTCGTCCCACGGGCAGAGCTCTCGCAAAGACGACCCAGTTCTCTCACATCCGTCACTGTAATTGTTGCTGCTGGCCTATTTGCCATAGGCCCAAGACATGCACATATATAGACATGTTCTCTCACACATGGAAATATTCACATGCACATGTAAGCACACACATGACCTAAGAATGGCCAGCAGCACATTTTCCTTTGCAAACCAGTGGTGCATTGCTCTTTTTGCTGCAACCAATGGAGTTGTGTCACTGTTGGGTTGGCTGTGATCGCTGGTGTTATCTGATTGTGAAATTGGGATCTTAGTCATCAGAGAATATGATTAATGTTTTGGTAGCAGCACAGTGAGTCTCAGAAGTTTAGGATTCAAATTTGATGATCCAGCAAAACGTGTTACATTTGTTGCAGATTAGTGCTTTGTGCTTTTGTGAGTGTTGCTTCTGAGGTTTGCCTCTGTCTAAAATGAGCTATTTTAGGGTGCGCTGTGTAACTTTTCTGGTGGAGGGTACTCCATATTTATTTTCTTTACGGAGATGTTATTTCTTTGCTTGGTATGCTCCTGAGTATATGGCATTAAAAATCTATTCAGCTTTAGTTTCATTAGAGGTGATTTTATCATTCAGAAATACCTTTAAGAACATGCATTCCTTCTGTGAGCGGGCACGCCTCTCCACCGAACTGATCTGTAACTTGGCCTGCTTGCTTCCATGGAGATAGATAAGTTTAATGCCTTATGGCGAAACATTCCAGGCTGAACAGTTAAGTATATATCGATATGAAGATTAGCATGTGGCATACCCTCTCCAATAAAGGTTATGCAGTGCACCTTTAAACAAATAACTTACAGCATTAATCAACTCACCAATAATCAATAATAATCAATCAATTAACCAATTCAGATAAG